CTAAATAATCAGGCAACACAGCGCCTTCCCATCTCTTCCTCCGCATAAGAAACAAAATTAAGTTGTTTTTTAAACACACAGCCTTGTGGGAGTGATTTATTTTCAGTGGCATTGGTTTAATACCAGTAAACCAGTGGACTGGTTGTATGACATTCAGTGGCTACCACACAGCCTCATCTCGGTTAAGCTTTCCGGGATAACTATATTTTAAAAAAATCCGTATTAACATTGAAATTAATACAGCCAAGAGCTGTATTTAGCACAGACAAACAACGGCATAATCAGTTACGGGCAGGGGACAAAAGCTGCTGCATTGCACACTGCAAACCCACTCACGGCCACCGCACAGGAGCGGCTGCGATCGTAACAGGCGTCTCGAGACTCGAAAAGCACACATCGAGTAAAAACAAAAACAATCGCGTGACGTTTGCTCAATGTTGTTAACATTTCCCGGCAATGTTGTTGTTTTTGTATTATTGCACAGAGACAACAAAGACGCACGCGCGAACGCAACACAAAACACTGCGGCGATGCATCATTCGACTGGTCCCAGCCACTGTAATGGCGCCCTGACCTCGTCGCCTTACGACTCTACACCACGGCGGCAAAACGCCGCGAAGTGAGCGGGAAATTATTGCATAAAAGAATAAAGCTCGGCACCGACTCGAGTCCTCGCAGCATAAACTAAATCCCCTCCCCCCTCACAACACACCGGCATCGATTTTAACAAATAAACAACCACCGTTTAAAACACAGCGCGGCACGCCAAGTTGCTGCCAATGGCCGGTGACGTCACCGCCGTTTGCAACACACAAAAAACCGTGTGAGGAAAATATCTGCGACTTTTTTTCTTTTAATTGTTGCCAATTTTTCTTGATTCGCACGGGAAACAACGTAGACGGCGGTGTTTTCCCTCAGATGCGCGACGTTTGTGCGGTTTGGCGAGGCTCTCTCTCTCTGGGTTCGTGGTAGTGATGATGGTGGTGGTGGTTATAATGGCAGGCAGCGGCGCGCACAACATGGTGCCAATGTGTCTTGATTCGCACGGGAAACGACGTAAAAGGCGGTGGTTTCCCTCAGATGCGCGATGTTTGTGCGGTTTGGCGAGGCTCTCTCTCTGTGTGTGTGTGCGAGCGCTCTGGGTTCGTGGTGGTGATGATGGTGGAGGGAGGCTGATGGTGGTGGTTGTTGTTGTAATGGCAGTCAGGGGCGCGCGCACAACATGGCGAGTGCAGCAGCGTGCGTGCGTGCGCGTCTGCACGTACACCACCACCGCACCTCTATCGATTATTTATATCGAAGTAGTACGATTTTAAATGTTGGGGGGGGGGGGTGTTACAGTAACGGTAACGACATGAAATGGTAAAAAATAAAAATTCGTGATTAAAGTCAAATCAGCTGTGTTATATACTGTAGCGTGTGTCTAACAATGTCTCTATACAATACACCGGCAAAACACGTGTTTATGTAAACATTATTTTAGTTGTAAATTATGTTTGTATACAAAATAGTATACAGTATAACACTGTATGCAAACAATAAAGCATATACCCCCACACGCTGACGTGTATACTGTACACTTACTTTACATACGTTGCTTTAAAGATAATTGGATGTATACACATTGTTATATTTTGTTTTGGTCGTAAAGTACACATTTTATATGCGTACCGTATACAAAACATTGTATCGTGCTAGCCTTTAAATTAACTAATACACTCCCACGGAGTCTAAAGCACAGCAATTATAGACTGTATATACTGCTTATGTAACTGTTACACATCACACACGTTACACATTTCACCAACACACCGTTGTTACATTGTATAATATTTTATCTGTAAAATATACACGTTAAATGTACACTAATTTCACAGTGTGATATGTTAATTACTTAACTGTTTACAAAACACACTGTTATTTATGTTTTTATTTATATTTATATACATAACACACACTATTGCACTATTATATTCCCGCATGTTGTTGTTTGAATATAAACTAATGTACACGATATAAACAATGCAACAACATGTGCTTGTGTACAGAACAAAGATAAAGCACTCCCGTGTAGCCTAACAGACCGTGGCACAGCACTTTGACCCGGCCGCCTTTGTCTTCCTAGTGCCGAATAACTTCAAATGAGTCTGGGTGTCGACCTGGACTCATTTGAAGTTATTCCCCCACCACCACTACAGGAGCTGTTCAAATATTCGCCACTGATGTTGCCCGTGAGAGGGCAATCGAACCCAGGTTGTCCTCCGACACGGTGCGCTCACCACTCGCACCACCGCTCCCCACGTGGACACGTTACAAGATTTAATATAGACTGTTGGGGGGCTCTTAAGTTAGAGCATCTATTGGAATGCCCGTAACACAACACACACACATTTCGATTTTAAGCTTTCGTGACTGCAATGATTCATCTTCTTTGGTTCTTTCGGTAAAGTAACGTAGAATGAGAATAAAATAATAAAATAAAATAATAAAATAGAACAATAAAATTCTCACGACGTTTCGGCCACAACACAAGTGGCCTTCTTCAGGTGAAAGGAACAACCTATCGGGACGACAGAGCTACAATGAACGCTGACCATACTCATTGTGCCGGGTGATGTGGGTTATTTGACCATACTTCACCACGCTGTGCCGGGTCATGTGGGTTATTTGACCATACTTCACCACGCTGTGCCGGGTGTTGTGAATTAGTGTGCCGGGTCATGTGGGTTATTTGACCATACTTCACCACGTTGTGCCGGGTGATGTGAATTAGTGTGCCGGGTCATGTGGGTTATTTGACCATACTTCACCACGTTGCGCCGGGTGATGTGAATTAGTGTGCGGGGTCATGTGGGTTATTTGACCATACTTCACCACGCTGTGCCAGGTGATGTGGGTTAGTGTGCCGGGTCATGTGGGTTATTTGACCATACTTCACCACGCTGTGCCAGGTGATGTGGGTTAGTGTGCCGGGTCATGTGGGCTATTTGACCATACTTCACCACGCTGTGCCAGGTGATGTGGGTTAGTGTGCCGGGTCATGTCGGTTATTTGACCATACTTCACCACGCTGTGCCAGGTGATGTGGGTTAGTGTGCCGGGTCATGTGGGTTATTTGACCAAGGTGCCTCACTTCTCTTAACCAGCTTAAAAGACGCTGCGAATCTTAGCAGCGTTCATTGTAGCTCTGTCGTCCCGACAGGTTTGTTCCTTTCACCTGAAGAAGGCCACTTGTGTTGTGGCCGAAACGTCGTGAGAATTTTATTGTTTTATTTTATTATTTTATTCTCATTCTACGTGACTTTACCGAAAGAACCAAAGAAGATGAACACATACACAGTGATAGATTATACCAAAACACATTCACACCGTTCTATATACTCGAGTCTTAGTGCCCAATACTTTTAGACATTGTTATAAAGTGCATTGTGTGTGTACTTGTACACGAACGCCACAAAGCAACAGCGAGTACTGTATATGCAAACCCCCCCTCTGTCTCAATCCACTACAGGATGAAGGCCTCCTCCCTCCCCCACGCCGTGCCGGGTCATGTGGGTTATTTGACCATATTTCACCACGTTGTGTCGGGTCATGTGGGTTATTTGACCATACTTCACCACGCTGTGTCGGGTCATGTGGGTTATTTGACCATACTTCACCACGCTGTGCCGGGTCATGTGGGTTATTTGACCATACTTCACCACGTTGTGTCGGGTCATGTGGGTTATTTGACCATACTTCACCACGTTGTGTCGGGTCATGTGGGTTATTTGACCATACTTCACCACGCTGTGCCGGGTCATGTGGGTTATTTGACCATACTTCACCACGCTGTGCCAGGTGATGTGGGTTATTTGACTATACTTCACGTTGTGCCGGGTCATGCGGGTTATTTGACCATACTTCACCACGTTGTGCCGGGTCATGTGAGTTAGTGTGCCGGGTCATGTGGGTAATTTGACCATACTTCACCACGCTGTGCCGGGTGATGCGAGTTAGTGTGCCGGGTCATGTGGGTTATTTGACCATACTTCACCACGCCGGCCAGTACGGGATAACGCAATGACCTATATACTGTTTGAATAAATACGCAGAGAGTATATACCAACAATAATAACACAGATCCCCCGTGTAACCCTACACGCTTACTGAAGGTAGTTAGCTCTTACTAACACCAGCATTACACCAAGGTGAGTAATGCTGTATACACAGCACCACGCCCGGCCGCCTTTGTGTCCCCAGCAGCTTGTTTACACGGGCACCGAGGCTGTCTACCTTACAGTAGGCACATAACGGAATCAAATAACAATTCACATCAGCAGCCGTGCTCAATGCACTGCTGGATAAAGGACCCCCCCCCCCCCCGCTTACGTTATCGCGATATAACAATCCACGATCACATCGCTCCATCTCCTCACGGAATCCCCGTAGACAAGTCCCCGTTTGGTTTACAAGCGTAACAATCAAATCCAGATCGCGGTGTGCCAACCACAGCGCCACCCATCTCCCCCCTGACACACGAAAAGACAAAGCAAACATCCGCCCGTGTAGCCCACACAGACTTACGGGACAAGTGCTGTTTGCGAGCTCCTGTTAACAAGGCCGGAACGGCACACGAAGACGAAATGTGGTGTTTTCTCGCCCCGACACACGAACCGCCTTTGTCTCCCTATACCCTTGATGTTGACACACCGCACCAAGGCACTGCTTTAAAGGCCGAATCGATCTTGTGGCAGAGAGGAGGAGGGGAGGGGGAATCCCAGAACCGTTTCGGAACATTCGTCCACTTTTTCACGTGATCCGGGAATTGAACTCGGCTCACGCAGCGCAATCAGTAGCCGACTGTGCTACCCATCCTCTCCCACACACACACACACACGCGTGGTCGTGTGTGTGTGTGGCTCTGTGTGTACACACGCGCCTACAGCACCGAACTCAACCCCCCTCCCACACGTCCACCCGCCCGCCCGCCCCCACCGAGCGACGGCGGCGAACCTCACCTCGCAGAATCGCTGGCAGTAGTTGCCGGACGCCGAGGCGAGCTCGCCGGGCTGGGCCCGGGGAGGCAGGCCGTCCGTGAGGGCGAGCAGGCGGCCGCGCAGGGTCTCGCCGCCGTCCGCCGCCGCCACCACGACCGACGCCTCCATTGTCTCGTCCTCCATGGCGGCTCCTGCGCGCAGTGGGGGTAGCGCGTCGCGCACGTGACGCCCAGCGCGCGTTGCTATTGGACGGCGTGGGAGAGTGGGGGGGGTGTGTCAGAGTGGACACCACCCCGACCCCTCCAAACACCGCCTCCCACCCCCCCCAGAAAAAAATCCCCCCACACACCCCCACCCCCACACACCCCCACCCCCCACAAACCCACACACCCCCCACACACCCCCACCCCCCACAAACCCCCACCCCCACACACCCCCACCCCCCACAAACCCCCACCCCCACACACCCCCACCCCCCACAAACCCACACACCCCCCACACACCCCCACCCCCCACACACCCCCACAAACCCCCACCCCCCACAAACCCCCACCCCTAACACACCCCCACCCCCCCACACACCCCCACCCCCCACACACCCCCACCCCCCACACAAAGCCTACGACAGACTGGGTCGAGGCAAGTGCCGTCGCTGTGTGCGAATATCAACGCGGGGTGGAAGTGGACGACGGTGATGAGAGAGAGGGGGGTGACGGTGATGAGAGAGAGGGGGTTGACGGTGATGAGAGAGAGGGGGGTGACGGTGATGAGAGAGAGGGGGGTGACGGTGATGAGAGAGAAGGGGGTGACGGTGATGATAGAGAGGGGGTTGATGGTGATGAGAGACAGGGGGTTGGCTGTGATGAGAGAGAGGGGGTTGATGGTGATGAGAGAGAGGGGGTTGACTGTGATGAGAGAGAGGGGGGGTTGATGGTGATGAGAGAGAGGGGGTTGACGGTGATGAGAGAGAGGGGGTTGACTGTGATGAGAGAGAGGGGGGTGACGGTGATGATAGAGAGGGGGTTGACGGTGATGAGAGAGAGGGGGTTGATGGTGATGAGAGACAGGGGGTTGATGGTGATGAGAGACAGGGGGTTGGCTGTGATGAGAGAGAGGGGGTTGATGGTGATGAGAGAGAGGGGGTTGACTGTGATGAGAGAGGGGGTTGATGGTGATGAGAGAGAGGGGGGGGGGGGGGTTGACGGTGATGAGAGACAGGGAGTTGACTGTGATGAGAGAGAGGGGGGGGTTGATGGTGATGAGAGAGAGGGGGTTGACGGTGATGATCGAGAGGGGGTTGACGGTGATGAGAGAGAGGGGGTTGACTGTGATGAGAGACAGGGGGTTGACGGTGATGAGAGAGAAGGAGTTGACGGTGATGAGAGAGAGGGGGTTGATGGTGATGAGAGACAGGGGGTTGACGGTGATGAGAGAGAGAGGGGGTTGACGGTGATGAGAGAGAGGGGGTTGATGGTGATGAGAGAGAGGGGGTTGACGGTGATGAGAGAGAGGGGGTTGACGGTGATGAGAGAGAGGGGGTGGTCAGCCCCCACGCCCCGGCCGCCTTTGTATCCCCCAGTCGCGATGTTTAAGGGGCCGTCATAAATGACGTCACGCGATTTTGGACGATTTTTGACCCCCCCCCCTCGTCACACGGCGTCACAAAATGTCAGACCCCCCCTCAAATATGACGTCACAAAGCTCAGCCCCCCCCCCCCCCACCAAAAAAAAACATGCTTAAAATCGCTTTAAACTATTGTCATTGTAGTGCGTATTTAATGTGGCACTCTGATGTTGTAGGAGAAAACATTTATTAAAAAGTCTATTTAATTAAAGTTGTGCATTTTGATGTGACGTCACATTTCTCAAACCCCCCCTCGTCACAAATGTCTGACCCCCCCCCCCCCCCAGGTGCGTGACGTCATTTATGGACGGCCCCTAAGGACACAACGCACCGTGAGGTACCTTCATTTGAGGGCCGACTCTGATGGAGGATGGCGAAGCGCAAGATCGGTGCAAGATAATCGTCACTGGCACGTGTTGGAGAGAGTGTGGAGTTCGCCGGACCGTCCGCTTGCTCACACAGACACACACCACCGCCAAAGACAAAGATCCCCCGTGTAGCCTTAACAGGACTGTTGGGGCAAGTGCTGAGTCCCGCGTACCCCGTCTCATGAGGGTTCCCTGCCACATTTACACAACCTGGACCGATATTGCTGCTGTTGTGGAATCCCAATTGCTGTACACATAGCACCCGTGACTGTGAGTAGCACGCCTTTCAACCCCATTATCAGTGCCCTACCTTATTATAACAGACCAATTGAGACCTTACCGGTCACCCCGTGCCCCTTTTAAATCTCAACGTTCATCCTACAAAGTCCCTTCACAAGGGAGAAACACAAACAAATAGACAAAAAAATCAGTTTAACACGTAGGCTTTCGCGACCAATATTATTCATAATAAAGGTTTTTGGGTTAGATCGCGTTTATTTATAAATGTGTCGTAACCCTCCACCACCCGACACGGCCAATCAGCAAAAAAAGTGTCACGTTGACAAAAGACAAATAATTCACTACTTTAGCCCACCGGTGTGTTGAAGAGTGAATCCACATTTACAGTTTGAGTACGACGTTTCGCTGGTAAATGCATCCAGCATCATCGGGCAATTCGCCAGAATGGTAAAGCCCTCGCTTGCTCCCGGTTTTATATAGAGCCCGTATTGAAACGGCTGCACGCCGTATGGACCTGATAACTCAATTTCCCTGTACAAGAATACGGGGTAAACCGTATGTGTTGACAGGTATTTGAGTACCACCTATGAAGGCCTCCACAGTAGTCGAGGAAGTGGGTGACCAACACCACGGCCGGCCGCCTTTGTTTCCCAATTGCTAATGATTACACATCGTACCAAGATACTCACACGAGGCTAAATCGACCTCGGGGAGGCCCCCATAACTGTTTCAGGTATCACCGTCATCGATGTTGGTGGTTGTGAATGGGAATCGAATTCAGGTCGCCGGGTTCGTACAGAAGCGCGCTTGCCGCTCCGCTACCTCTCACCACATCCACTCATCAACCCCTCTCATCACCATCGTCCTCTCACCCCGCCCCCTAGTGTCTCAACCCAGAATCACTCAATCACTCACCACCTTCCATCGCCGCAAGTCTCCAACTCACCTATCCCTTCCCCCACCTCCAATTTGCATCCTCCCATACCCCCCCCCTCTCCCATCACTCGGCCCTCCCATCAACATCCTCCTATCAACCCAACCTACTAGCACCCGCCATCATCCGAACCTCACATCAACATTCTTCCATCCCCATATTTCCATCACCATCCTGCTTCTCATCGCCATCCTCCCATCACGATCCTGCATCCCATCACCCCATCCTCCCATCACCCCTCCCTCCCATCGCCATCCCACTTCACCTCATCCTCCCATCACCCCATCACCCCATCCTCCCATCACCCCATCCTCCCATTACCCCATTCTCCCATGACCCCTCCCTCCCATCCCAATCCTCCCATCCCCATCCTCCCATCACCCCATCCTCCCATCACCGCATCCTCCCATCACCTCATCCTCCCATGACCCCTCCCTCCCATCCCCATCCTCCCATGACCCCTCCCTCCCATGACCCCTCCCTCCCATCACCCCATCTTCCCATCCTCCCATGACCCCTCCCTCCCATGACCCCTCCCTCCCATGACCCCTCCCTCCCATGACCCCTCCCTCCCATCACCCCATCTTCCCATCACCCCATCCTCCCATGACCCCCTCCCTCCCATCCCCATCCTCCCATCACTCGATCCTCCCATCACCCAAACTCTCCTTTCACAACGCTCCGATGACCCCACCCTTCCTCATTACTCCGCACTCCAGGGCACTGCGTGCAAAGTAAGCAAGGCAAAGGTGCTCCTTTACCTGTTGGGTCACGTGCGCGCAGGTGAGAGCACCGGGGAACACAAATCAACTAAACCTGTTCAACTGAACTATTTTATTTATTTGACCAGGTAAAGCCCACTGAGCCTTAAACTACATTTGTAAGATTTGCACACAGCCATAGACCAGACTTTCTTTTTAATAATTGATAGACTCTGCTTGGGGTGCACTCAGCCGTTTGAGGTCCTTTACAATTCCTGCTTCTGTTGCAGAGTTTGTGTGTAATAGGGTTTAGGCCAGATGTTGGCAACCAAAATAACACAACATTTATTTTCTAATTCGGTAAGGAAAAGCCTTAATATTTCACGATCCATACTCAATTTTGATTTAAAGCTTTCGTGACTGCAGGGATTCATATTCTTGGTTCTTTCGGTAAAGTCACGTAGAAGGGAAACAATATTGTATTATTTAATTGTTCCCCTTCTACGTGACTTTACCGAAAGAACCAAGAATATGATCCATACTAAGGTTTATTTTGGGGCTTAGTTCGCGTAAATACAAATGCGTCGTTAAACCCGCCACCACCCGACAAGCCGACGTTGGCTACGTGTTAAAATAAATATTTCAAGAGCCACAGTGCACTGTGTGGTGAATACGAGACAGTGACCCCGTAACAAATAACGTGTCACGAAGAAGTCGACCTCCGTTGGGGGCTAAGTTGACTGTAGTGGGGTTAGGGTGTATTGTTTAATGGTGAGTTGAGGGTTAATGGGTTCGGGTTTATGGGTCTGAGTTTAGGGGGTTCGAATTTGCGTTTTGGGATAGGGTTTAGCGGTTATAGTGTAAAGTTTGGGTTTAAGGATGAGCGATTAGGGCTTTTGTGGGGCACGTTTGCGGTTATAGTTTTTGGATAGGGTTTGTTGGATTTGGGTTGAGGATTAGAGTTGTAGGATTGTGTGGTGAGGGTTAAAGTCAGGGTACATATTGATGGGTTAGGATTAAGGGGTAATGGGGGTCTTGGTTAAGGGTTTAATGCGTGAGGTGATTAGGGACAGCGGTAATTAAATCTGAGATTTAAATCTTTGGGGGACAATAGCTGACGACTACTACTACGACCCCGCGTGAGCAAATCGCCGCGATCCCTTCGTGCACGATCAGCTGCCGTTCGCCAACGTGACCGCACGTGGGGAAGAAGACGTGACGAAGTGAACGAGGTGAAGAAGGGAGACATCCTCGGGACAGGTACTTTGTTCGTTACTCCATATTCACCGTGGCCGGACAGCCGACGCTTTATCTACAGCAGGCGTGTTGGGATGCCATCAATGGTGGTGGTCTTGTAGGTAGGCCTGAACACCGTTCGCGGAACCTACGGTGTTGCCAAGAAGGCCGCGCCGGCCTTTGAGGCACCTCAGGCGGCGGCGCTTGCACGCGGAGGCCGCTGCCGAGGATTCGGGCCTTTGGGGGAAGTCCGATACAAGAGGGGTGTCGATGGTGGTGAATGTGGCGGGTTGTACTTTAAATAACTTATCCTGTGAGTTTAATTGTATTATCTTAATGAGTACAATACTGCAGTTCGTGTGCAGGTGATATGTTTAATACTGTAATTACATCGCATGATCGCGAGATGACGCGACCTTCATCGAGGAGTGGATTGACCATGGCTGACGGTGATGAATTAATACGGCATCGTATTGCGGGTGTTGTCAGGGGGGGTGGTGGGACAATAGGGCAAGCGATTTGGTAGTTCAAAGGGGGAACACATTGCAATGGATGCGGGATAAGGTGAAGCAACTTGGAGTTTGGAATATAACGTGGAGAGATGACGACCGCTTGTGTTTCAGTTTCATTTATTTTGGTATAGCCCCTGTGAGCCATTCGGCAATTGAATCGGGTGCAACCGCAACAAACAAACAAAAAACTTGAACAAGAAAAACATCTTAAAGTGACTATGTGACTTTGTGCAAACAGAAAATCCAGGAAAAATCGGCAAAATATTCCTGAAAAAAAGCACCGTGCACCAAACGCTGTGTGCAAAAATCCCGTTGCGATCGAAACGTGATTTACTTTATTTCTAACTACGTGACTTTACCGAAAGAACTAAAAAGCGTGGCAATATAGTTAGATTTTTTATTATTATTATCTGGAAGGTTTTGATTGGTGTACACGAAGTGTGTTGTGACACCTCCGATGAGCGCGGTTGGCTACGTACAAAGTAACAAGTTCAGCGTACATGGCACTGTGCATACACACTGGCAGAACGTGGCATTTGAAAACGGGTATATGCAGTGGATGTTAAGAATATAGTGTAAATAAGTAATATTTAAAACAAGTTTTTTTTTAAAACACGCTTTAATTAAATGTACCGTGCTAGTAATTGAAGAACTCCACGACTCCAGGAAGTGACCCCGAAGCTCGCCACAACGTAAGGGACCTGTGGTGATTTACAGCCAACGTCAGTTTACCGTGGACAATTAGAACCAAGCCGAAACATAACATGTACAAAATAATGTGTTAAACTATCTATTTAGATTTTTAATGATAGAATATAGTATTGCCATCAGTATGACATGAGTATACCAAGTTTGCAGCCGATGCCACATTGGGAAGTGGGTTACAATTGAGTTACAAGATTTGAGGATACAACAGACAGTGATTTTAATAAATTCGTTTAATAACAATAAAAAATGAAGCTACTTGGAAGTTAAGGTTTAAAGATTTACTTTGTTTCACTCGGCGAGAACTCGAGACCAGGTTAGTCGCACGTGCAAAAACAACGTCGCCGAAAAGTTTAGTAGATCTAAATTTGAAGTTTTCGTTCTTTCGGTAAAGTCACGTAGGTAGAAAATAAATTAAATTAAATCACGACGTTTCGGGCGCAACACAAGCGTCCGTCATCAGGTGGGACAACCACGGCAAGAAGTTTCTTTTTTGAAGTTTCTTTCTTGCTGTGGTTGTCTCACCTGATGACGGACGCTTGTGTTGTGCGCCCGAAACGTCGTGATTTAATTTAATTTATTTTCTACCCACGTGACTTTACCGAAATAACCAAAGAGCTTAGTAGATATAATCTTTTTAAAAAACAACAACAGGTGGTTGGGATGGGTGGGACGCTTGTGCAGGGAGGAGAGGAGGCCCAGGTCATCTTAGACGGGCATTGGAGACCGGTGCCTAAGGGGAAGAGAAAGCCAAACAACTGATGGGGGGTGGGGGAATTGCGTTTAATGCAATTGTTGTTGGAGATCGCTGCATGTCAACTGTGCAGCAGCTGCGGCATCTAGAGGACGGTGTAGTCAGCGTTGGCAGTGATGGAGGGGGGGGGGCATCCATGGCTTTCGCCACGATGACATTTTATTGTAACTGCGCTAAGGTGGTGAGATGTTAACTACCTCGCCTGGTATGCAGGAGGACGTGGGTTCGATCCCCGACCCAGCGAGATGTTAACTACCTCGCCTGGTATGCAGGAGGACGTGGGTTCGATCCCCGACCCAGCGAGATGTTAACTACCTCGCCTGGTATGCAGGAGGACGTGGGTTCGATCCACAACCCAGCGAGATGTTAACTACCTCGCCTGGTATGCAGGAGGACGTGGGTTCGATCCCTGACCCAGAGAGATGTTAACTACCTCGCCTGGTATGCAGGAGGACATGGGTTCGATCCCCGACCCAGCGAGATGTTAACTACCTCGCCTGGTATGCAGGAGGACGTGGGTTCGATCCCCGACCCAGCGAGATGTTAACTACCTCGCCTGGTATGCAGGAGGACGTGGTTCGATCCCTGACCCAGCGAGATGTTAACTACCTCGCCTGGTATGCAGGAGGCCGTGGGCTTCGATCCCCGACCCAGCGAGATGTTAACTATCTCGCCTGGTATGCAGGAGGACGTGGGTTCGATCCCCGACCCAGCGAGATGTTAACTACCTCGCCTGGTATGCAGGAGGACGTGGGTTCGATCCCCGACCCAGCGAGATGTTAACTACCTCGCGTGGTATGCAGGAGGACGTGGGTTCGATCCCCGACCCAGCGAGATGTTAACTACCTCGCCTGGTATGCAGGAGGCCAGGGGTTTGATCCACAGCCCAGCGAGATGTTAACTACCTCGCCTGGTATGCAGGAGGACGTGGGTTCGATCCACGACTCAGCGAGATGTTAACTACCTCGCCTGGTATGCAGGAGGACGTGGGTTCGATCCCCGACCCAGCGAGATGTTAACTACCTCGCCTGGTATGCAGGAGGACGTGGGTTCGATCCCCGACCCAGCGAGATGTTAACTACCTCGCGTGGTATGCAGGAGGACGTGGGTTCGATCCCCGACCCAGCGAGATGTTAACTACCTCGCCTGGTATGCAGGAGGACGTGGGTTCGATCCCCGACCCAGCGAGATGTTAACTACCTCGCCTGGTATGCAGGAGGACGTGGGTTCGATCCCCGACCCAGCGAGATGTTAACTACCTCGCCTGGTATGCAGGAGGACGTGGGTTCGATCCCCGACCCAGCGAGATGTTAACTACCTCGCGTGGTATGCAGGAGGACGTGGGTTCGATCCCCGACCCAGCGAGATGTTAACTACCTCGCCTGGTATGCAGGAGGACGTGGGTTCGATCCACGACCCAGCGAGATGTTAGCTACCTCGCCTGGTATGCAGGAGGACGTGGGTTCGATCCCCGACCCAGCGAGATGTTAACTACCTCGCCTGGTATGCAGGAGGACGTGGGTTCGATCCCCGACCCAGCGAGATGTTAACTACCTCGCCTGGTATGCAGGAGGACGTGGGTTCGATCCCCGACCCAGCGAGATGTTAACTACCTCGCCTGGTATGCAGGAGGACATGGGTTCGATCCCCGACCCAGCGAGATGTTAACTACCTCGCCTGGTATGCAGGAGGACGTGGGTTCGATCCCCGACCCAGCGAGATGTTAACTACCTCGCCTGGCATGCAGGAGGCCGTGGGTTCGATCCACAACCCAGCGAGATGTTAACTACCTCGCCTGGTATGCAGGAGGACGTGGGTTCGATCCCCGACCCAGCGAGATGTTAACTACCTCGCCTGGTATGCAGGAGGACGTGGGTTCGATCCCAGACCCTGACGATGCCTGCTGTGTATTTGGTTTTTTTCCCCCTCCACATTTAGAATCAACATCGCGCGTTTGAGTATTTGAGCGCTTCTGTAAACGAGCTGCATTAAGCTCAGTGGGCCTTACCTGGTAAAAAAATATATATATTTTATAGCTTTACATGCTGAACATCCCCGGCATGGCCCGAGTGCTGTGTACAACGCAGCTTGTGCGAGCAAAGGCCTCGTTTCCGCCCTCTGGTGGACAAATTGGCGACTGACAGTTAATCTCAAATGGCTTCCACAGGTGGGGATTATGGTGGCAGGAATGTGGTGGTGATGGTTGGTGGGTTTACACGCGGAATGGAGGCGCTGTAATAGAGCGACATCGTACGCCCGACGACATAACCGTTCAGATATTTCCCTCCCCTCCCACCCCCCCATGTATGGCTATTTGCGGATTAATCGCTGTCGAGGAGTCATTGCCAATAGACCCATGGATTGATTAAGAATATTAAGCCAATCCCCTTAATTGGACTGGCTAATGTCAGCAAGATCTACGATTCCATTATGAGACCTCCTTTGCCAGAAACAAAATATAGGAATAGGTTTTACCCTTTTAACTGGCACAAAAACTGACACCTTTATTCAAGGCATGTTTGCAATAACCACAACACAAATAGTCAAAATGCAAACAAAAAAGACAACTCTGATAATATGCACTGTCCTTGAATTTGATTGGTCCACACCCGAGAGCTTTTCTTAGAGCCTAGTCTCCATTGGTGTTGGACCAGAAGACGCCTTTTGGCGCCAGTTAAAAGGGTAAAACCTATTCCTATATCTACGATTCCGTCGCAGGCCGCTTTCATTTGTTACCACAGCGCCTTCAGTTACGCTTGCGTTGCTCATTAGCGTTAAGAAGCAAGAAACCGCTCCGACTTACATACAGAGGATGCGTCTGCTGCCACACGGTGCTGTAATGGAAACTTATGGAGGTAAGAAAAACGTGGAAATTCCAAACGCAGAGGTGTTTGGGGTGGGTTGTGATAGCGCTGGGACATGGAAAGAGTGCGTGCAAAATCGTATTCGGTCATGGGTTCAAGCACTGCAATTGTCTTCCCCCCCACTGGTTCATCCGGTGCAGGTTTGACGGCGGAGACCATGGCTCGCACGCACAAGCAGCGCGCCAAGAAGTCCAAGCTGATGAAGGTGAAGAGGCGCACGCGGGACCTGGACCAGGTGCACGCCGACATGCGGCCCGAGAGCGCCGGTGCCCTGCTGCATCAGCCGGAGGACCTGGACCTGCCGGGGAACGCTCAGCACTATTGCCTGCACTGCGCGTACGGATGAACGGCTAAGCGCTGCTGCCCCCCCTGACCACCGCCATCTCCCTCCCATGTACACCTCGAATTGGAGATGCTGTAGGGCACAGTGGTGGCAAGATGTTAACTACCTCGCCTAGTATACAGGAGGTCGTGGGTTTGATCTTCTGACCCTGACGATGCCTGCTGTAGATTTGGAGTTTGCATGTCTCCTTCTCCCTGTGGTATGTTAACTACCTCGCCTAGTATACAGGAGGTCGTGGGTTTGATCTTCTGACCCTGATGATGCTTGCTGTAGATTTGGAGTTTGCATGTCTCCTTGTCCCCGTGGTGAGATGTTAACTACTTTGCCTGGTATACAGGAGGTTGTGGGTTGAATCCCAACCCTGACCCCTGCTGCTGCTGTATATTTGGAGTTTGCATGTCCTCCCTAGGGTAGCGTGGATCTTTCTGCGGGTGCTCTGATTTTCCCTTCCCATTTAGAAACATGCCTTTGAGTTTTTGGCTACTGCTATCAATTTCCACAAGCCACTTAAGCTATCATTTGTGGCCAGGTTGCTTCTGAAAAATCGCTATTTAACGGTGGGCCTTACCTGGCAAAAAAATAAAAAGGTTAGTTTATAATGGTTACTTTGAATGCTGTATCCGTGCATAGCGTCATTCCTGAAAACCGAATCTCTACAAACGATGGAGGATTTGTGACTGGCAAATGGTTCTCTCCGCAGGCGATATTTCATTGACCTACAGACCCTGAAAGTGCATTTCAAGACTAAAACACACAAGCAAAGGTAAGGACACACCCTGGATATTAAGAATAACGTCAAGAACGTTATATTTATACACAACACAAGTTTAACACGCTTCAAGGACAATCAGGAATTGGTCTTAGAACCTTGTTTCAGCTGTTTCACAGCAGCAGCATGGGCCTGCAGATCACGATTCTTGGGTTCCTACTCTGTGCACAGGCACTGCATGTCTAGGCACCAGTAGCCAATCTGTGATGTTTGCCTATAAGCATCATTAGCTGATAGTGTTACTTAAGGCACCAATAGCCAATTACATTCAGCTCACACTGCCTTTAAACACCTGGAACCAATCAGTAATCTGACACTGCCTGCTGAAAAGAGGAATGGGTAAGCCAATCACATTGATATTGTACATAAATGCTGTGCCCTATGATAATAGCAATTGCACATTTTATTTGCGGCAACTTGAGTTTCCTTTCGCCTGGGTTGACCTGCATTCCTTCGCGATTCAGGCTCAAGAGGCTGCGGGAGGCGCCTTTCTCTCAGGAGGAGGCCGAGAGAGCTGCTGGCATGGGCTCGTATCAGCGGCCTGCCCAGGTGAAGGTGCGGACGCAACCAGTGGAGGAAGAGGAGGCCATGTGTGCAGAGACCACAGGCCCCACCCCGAAGAAGCAGAGCCGTAGCACTTAACTGTTCTCAATAAACGTGCAATGTTGAAGCAACCCATGTCTTATGTTCCTGTGTACTGATACATCAGGCAGCTGTAACCACTAATGCAGGGGTCTGCAACTTGCTGCTCTTTAAGGACCGTCTTGCATTCACATGCAGCTCTTGAAATACGTTTTTTTTCCACCGAATTTTAAAACAATGGCTCGTTATTTTGGTTGCCAACCCCTGGACTAGTACATTTGGCAATTTTACCATTTCACGGATGGGTGGTCTACCAGTTGGAGGCGATGTTGGCTTGTGGTTTAACACATTTAAGTAATTTGCGAGGCATTTGGAACAGGTCACCTATACACAGGGCCTACTGTTACTCAGATCACATCACGGGATGCCTTAACGTTGGCCGTGAAGCAGACTTGAGTCATTTTGGTTAACACCCCCAGTATTAACCAGGGCGGCCACTGGGCTTGTAAACGGCCAACTTCTGCAACAAGCCACAACCGCATAAAAACAATTTTAGACTCCAAGGGTGTGCTTGGATATAAATCCAGTGTCTGTGCAGCCATAAACGGCACATTCATTCCTGTTGCCATCTAATCACCTTATGCGTGATGTTTCGTGCGGGCTCCACTGATTGGTGTAGTTACAATATTTTCAGTGGCACCAATAGGGAAACTGCCCCAGGCAACATACCCAAGGCACCGTTTTGCAGCAGCAGCTTCAAATTAACACATCGCATAACAGCCCAATTAATCACCCACACCGTGTCGTTTGCATCATGTAGATATTTTCTCAAGTCCCACATTCCGGGAAATTAATTTAGCATGGGCTGGAGACGTGGCTAGAAGGGCTGACGGCTGATGTTCGAGACCAGTGATTGAATGGCAGCCAGAGGTCGCGGAGAACACCCAACAGGACGGCCGGAGATGGAGCCATGAGATCAGCTCGCGCACAGGAGATGGATTGTGGCGTCGTTGCAGGACCCGCATGAACTGTGATGGCTTCGGGAGGCCTCCATCCAGCAGTGGACAGACCATGGCAGATTTGTGATGAATTTAATAATGGAAAGCCTCGCCTTTGTCTCCAGAGCTTCAGGAGGGTCCTGCACTGTGCTGTTCTGGGCATTTCAAATGTGAGCAGTGTTTTGCATTTTGAACGTGGAAGCAAACACTTATGTAGAACGTCTTTCGCACCATACGTAGTCAACCGTGCTAATCGCGAGGTATGGGAAGATGACGCGCACACATGCAGGCTAAAAAAACAAGCCTACTTGCTTTACTACCACCGCTTAAACAATTGGCACTGCAGAAGAATTTAAGTTTGGCAAATCTACCATCTGCCGACCTTACTGGATTTAGGTGGCGTGCATGCGCCACTCCACGCCTGGATCAGCAACGTCGACACCTCCCAACGTCACCCATCCAGGATGCAGTTAACATCACGGGAGCAGGGTGGAGGGGCAAATGTAATGGCCACGTGTGTCGAGACCAGCAGCAAGCACAAAGGGGGTAGGGGGGCCCCGGGTGTGCAAATATTTACAGCCACAGCAGCAGTAGCCAGTGTGCGAAATTTATTATCACCCGAGATGTAATTATGGCAGATGCCTTTCTGCAAGAGCCAACTGGTCCCGTTATTGTGTTGGGGGGGAACAAAATCAATTAGGACACGAAGCCTGCCAATTAAAAAAATAACACGGACGTCACACTGGAAACAAGAAAACAGGGAGCAGAGGAACCAAGTTGCAGTGTGTATTTTACACCGACCGTGAAAGCTGGCTTCAGATATAAAAATAAAAAGCATCGCTTTTGACTTGGCCACGCGTACCATTGCTCAGGACAACACATCGCCTCTTTTCCACGATCACCTCTTTTTCCACTGCACAACCGAGCCATGCCAGGGGCAGTACCACCGAGCCAGCCCGGCGTAATTCTAGAGGGCACCAGGGTTGCGTTTTTCCACTGCAGAAGCTGTGCGCTGCCGACGTGGTGTGCTACCAACGGTCGCACGCAAATGGACAAAGGGGGCACGTAAAGATGAGCACGACAAACATTATTAAACCCTGCACCTGGCCCTGCCTGGCCACCCCCCCCCCCCCCCCCGAGCCAGATTCAGATGTAGTGAGGCCATGATATCACAGTTTGGTTCCGGCTCGGCAAATAGCCAGTGGAGAACCACCCGTACCCGTTAGGGTCCCGCGCCCTTGGCAAGTGAGAAAATGGAAGTGCAACTCGAAATTCAGGGAACCCAGAATGTTTTAGCGCAGCATCCCTCGCGACTTGCGTTCCGTGACGTTGGCATCAATCATCGACGCATCAATCATCGACGCATCAATCATCGACGCATCAATCATCGACGCATCAATCATCGACGCATCAATCATCGACGCATCAATCATCGACGCATCAATCATCGACGCATCAATCATCGACGCATCAATCATCGACTTGGAACGCAGAGGTGGAGTTGAGGTGTTGGGACGGAGGTGATGTTAGAGGAATGGGGCCAATTGGGTTTGTGGGGGTCTTGGGGCACTGGAAGACCCACCCCCACCACCCCCGCTCCTAATCCTACCTCCCCCAATCTTGTGACGATGTTACAGCAGCAGGCGGGTGGCGGGGGATCTGTGGAGTGGCCATGTAACGATTCACCAAGCCCGCCCCCACCTTCCCACTTCCCACTCCCCCGCTCAACTCGCAGCGGCGGCGGCTTCTTGGCTGGCCGTCGAACAAAGACGGTCACCACATCGCGCGCGCTTTCAGATGCGCTTCTACGGCCGTCTGGAACGCTCTTCCCCTTCCGAAATTAGGAAGCCACTGGAGCTATGCGCATTTAAATGTAGATTGAAAACATTTCTTCAGACCTGCATTTTGTGTTTAATGTGTTGTCCTTCCCGCGCACCTCCGATTAGCACGTACGGTGCGAAAGAAGTTCAACATGTTCGTCTGTAGGGTGCGGGTGGGGTATTATAACTGCCATATGGACATTTCAGTACATTCACAAACCTTACAGAAAACCGGCCAAATTGATCCGAGACGTTAGCCCAAACTTTGCAAATTAATAAAATCTGTGCCCAAAGGATAAGCCTTGGTCTGCCAAGGTGATGGCGTCATCACACGTGACGTCACCTCGCAGTGGCGACTCCGATCACAACGTGATCGTGCCGAATGAAACGCTTTCAGAGGACGCGCTTCAAAGGGCCTTTCACAGAATTCCACGCGTGCTGCGATTTATCAGAACTTATTTTGTCCTACGACATCGACGACCGTCTCTCGTTTTTTCTCGGCGTCGTCCAACCCATTGGCGCCGCAGATTCACCGGCACGCCATTCGCGCGAATCGTAAAACAGAGACCACCGCAACGAATTTGGCGAGTGCATCGATCGCCAGCACCGATTTCAAATCGATGAATCGTTACATGCCCAGACACCGTCCACTCTGCCTTCCCCCTAATACAGCCCACACTTCCCCCCCATACACCGCCACTCTCAGTGTAGGGATATCCAATGGACTTTCTCTGTGGTTTGTGTATAGCGCAATGCAATTTTCTGCACTGTACCGATTAAAAATGCCAGCTCGCGTAGGATACACACAGCGATACTTTGAGCCAAATTGCGATGCAATTCCGTTCGGTACTATACTGGGTACGTGGCGCCGAGGGCGTGGCGATAAACGCACACATACATTCAATTTGCCTCTTCCCTGCAGTCCAAAAGAACGATTTTCCCTTCGGATAAGCACCGGCTTACAATAATTAACTTCGGCCATTGTAGAAAGAAAAGAAAAACTCCAGAAAAAACGAGACATGGCTTCGGGAGGCAGGGTTTCTCTCACCGCAGGCCCCCAGCACGGTGCAGCTTTCTGTTATTCATCAGTTCTCCGCGTGGAAATGCAATTTCAGATCGTCTGCACGCTGCACGCTCCAGATGATTGGCAAACAACCCGGTGTGACACACCACAGGTTCAGTTACGCGCGAGAGGTCTTGTGTCGTCAATATTTCATACCGCACTTCCCATGCAGTACACAGAGAGGCAACCTGGCAGCAGGGGGGGGGGGGACACTCCGACCCCTCCCCCCCCCCCCCAGTGGCAGCTATCCCCGTGTGGCCCCAGGGTGAACACCTGCCTGCAAGTGAGCATGTCTGCCAGCGTTACGGTGGTGATGCTGTGTGTGTGGAGTGGTGGGGAGCTGTTAGCGTAGCTGCGCTACGAACCCGGCGACACACGAGTTTTATTCCTGCTCACGGCCACCACCAGTGACGATAACCTGAACCGGTCCTGGGCCTCCCCTAGGTCAACTCGGCCTCCAGTGTACCTGGTACAGTGTGTAAACATCGCCACTATAGGGAGACAGGCGGCCGGCCATGGTGCCAGCCGCCCACCACCCCCTCATGAAGGCTCGTACTGCACACAGGTGCTCGCCAACGGCACTTGCTCCTACAGTCTGTTAAGGCTATACGGGGGATCTTTTGTCTTGGGAGCGGTGGCGTTGGGCGAGTGACATCTGAAAAATTCTGCAGGTAAACTCAACTTTAAACGAGTATCGGCATTGGCGAAACCCTGCCGGTCTTAACCAACGGCACTGCCGATGTACATCCCCACACGATGTAGAGGGCGCCGATTGAATAAACGTGAGAGAAACGTGTGCTTGTGTAACACGCCGATTCAAAGGAGACTGTGCGTGTACGTGCGTTACAAACTAAGCTGATGCGCGTGTTTGTCCCGTGTGACATCGGTGTCTCCAGTTTCAATTAAACATGGCGATCGTTGGGAGTCGCACGCGCATTCACATGCGCGGGCCCTTGTTTAGCAATCATCAGGCAAGTGCAGCACGTTTAACAATTTGGACCGGGACCAAGATCAACCGCTAAAAACCCGCTTCCGCCCGAATGACACGGTCAGATTGAAAAACTAGTTTCTGCCGAACTGCTTTTTGCGTTTAGTTTGTTGTCATTTCCCCCCCGCTCCCCCGAACCTTCCGATTAGCACGGTGGGCTACGTACGGTGCGAGAGAAGAAGAAACGCGCACACACACACACACGTGCTCAACGCAAGTCCCCTCACGTCGGCAAGCGATAACGTTTCCGTCAAAAAAAGGTGTTGTGGCGCTCCGGCCGTTGCCCATTAGGTAGCGCTTTGGTACGAGTCGATTGCGGCCCTGGCATTTAGAGACAATTCCGTTATCACAACTGGTTCTTTTTTCCGTTTCTCTCAAATCGGGTAAAAACTGGTATGCAAAAAAAACCACGCTATTTTACACAGTTCCAAACGACAAAGGCGCGGCGCAAGGCTTAGACTGTACACGATCCAAAACCAATAAGCGGGGGGGGGGGGGCCCACGTCGCACCCACCAGGCAAGGGGAGAACCAATCACCACCGCCACCACATCCAATGACCCCACCGCCCCCTCCCCCCTTTGCGATACCGCCGCTCCCCCACCGCGATGGCATCGCTAACGGACCACACCGCCGATCCGCAAACGCGCCACGAGCATTATTTATCGGTCGCGTTCACACAAAGAACACTTCCGAGATGCGCGCTCACCAGGCAGGTAAAAGGTACAAAGTTTAAGCAAATGTGCAGCCCTGCAATTGCTTTCCGATGCCACCGCTGGCGGAAGGTGCCTCTTCCCCCACAAGACGGGAGATCGAGAGAGCACCCTCTGGCTCTTCCACGACATCTTGGAAGAGGTGGTAGTACCCACACTTTACCCCACCACACGTGGCCTGCTGATCGGCTGACTGCTGTGTACCGATTTATACTGCCGCGGGAATGGGGGAGCGGGGAGATGGGGTGGGTGTTTAAGAAACTTTCCCCATTGATTCAACTGCCACCGCTGGGTGATGGACTCAAACTGGCGACTTCTGAATCACAAGTCGAGGCGTGGCAGCATCCCACGGGTACGTCAAGAAAACCACGCGGTAGGGTTTTGTCTTGCGAGTTTGAAGTTGGCAGTGTGCGTCACTGAGGGGTATGTATGGCTGTTATACGTTCTGTCCTCGGCAATGGCACTACTTTAGTATCACAATCCACTTGGTATGTACAAGGTGAAGGCTGTCAAAATCACGTATTCGTTTTTTGCTTTTGCCAAAAAAGGTTCCCGCTGCTCAGACGCGTGCCAGTAACACGCCGCGCGTAACCAAACGCGTCGCTCGCCGCTCGTCCGGCCCAGCAGCAGCCGGCTGTCACGCGCCGCCCTCCACACACCGCGGCCGCAGCGGAAATGCCCGTTTTTGATCGTTTCCAAAAAAAAATGAGTCTCCAAACAATTTTTACTTATTAAACGTTCACCACCGTGTCGCCGCTACCACCCGATGAGGCTCGCCTTGGCGCGCTCCGACATCTTGCGAACCCTGCCCCTGCTTGACATGCCGAGGCTGATGTCATCGCTCGCGAAGCCCTCGCTGGCGTCGCCCGCAGGGAACTCGCTCTCCTCCGAGCCCTCGTCCACGGCCACCCTCCTCCTCCTCTCCGCCCCCACGTCCGCTACATCTGACCCGTCCGACCCATCCGACCCGTCTGACGCTTCCGACCCTTCAGACCCTTCAGAGCCTTCAGACCCTTCAGAGCCGTCAGACCCGTCAGACCCATCCGAGCCGTCCCCTTGATCGTCCACATAGCGGATCGTTCGCTTGCCCTGGTTTCGCGTCCGCATCGAGCCCCTGCCCCTCTTGGAGGCCGGCGCCGTCCCGCGGCCCGCTGGCGAGTCCCTCCGTGGCCTCTTCCGCGCGCGGCCGCGCGTTCGCCTGCCCGAGCTGGGCGCCGCGGCCGCTTCTGCCACCGCCTCCGTGGCCGCCGCCGCCGCAGCCGCCGCAGCCGCAGCCGCCGCCTCAGTCTCCGCGGCCGCCCCCGCCCCGGGCTGGGCCCAGCGGCCTGGAACGCCGCGCCTCCGCTTGGGCGGGCGGCCCACGGGCCTCTTGGCGACGCCACGCACGGCGTTGGCGCGCGTGACGGGCCGGGGCGCCCGACCCGCCCGGGCCCGGCCCGGCCCCCGGCGGGCACCGCTGCAGACGCTGCCGCCGTCGTCGAAGTCGCTGCCGCTGTCGGACGACGGCGACGGCGACTCGGGGCCGGAGATCACGCCCAGGTGATCGTCAGAGCCGTCCTCGCGGCGGCGGCCATCGCGGCGGTCCCCCCCCCCGCCCCTTCTCGTCGCCGTCGTTCTTTCCGTCGTCGTTGGCCTTCTTCGCCGCTGCGTCGCCCACCCCGTCGTCGTCGTCGTCCCCGTCGTCGCTCGACTCGGACTCGCTGCTCGGGAGGCGCTTGGCGGGGGCGGCGCGCGTGGAGGCGACGGCGGAGGAGGCGCGGGGCCTCCGCGAGCCGTGGCCGTTGAGCCGCCTCTCTCCTCCGCCTCCACACGACCGATAAACACCACCAGACAAGCGAGTGAGTGGGAGAGTTAGCGGGGGCCTGAGTGGGGGTGGGAATGATGACGGTGAATGAGCCAGAGTGGGCAGGGAGTGAGTCACGAACGAAGCGAGCAAGCCAGCGAATTAGCGTGCAAGTCAGCCAGCGAGCGAGCGAATGGACAGGAAAGTAAGTCGAGCTGGTTGGCAGGGGCTTGCACAAGCGAGTACAGTCCCCGGGTGTCGGAAGACCCGACGTAAGGAAATCCGACCTAACGCGAATGCTCTCATTAATCACGTAAAAAAAAATCAACATGCAGAAATGTTTGCGTTAGTTACATAACCGCAAGTAGTGCAGCGCGGTGAGGTTGTGGATGAATACCGCGGAGCGAGGTGTGAGGCGGGCAAAGCCTTACACGCCTCTCGCTCTCGCTTCGAATTTTTCGTAGTGTTATGTAATCAGGGGCGGAGCCAGGATTTCAGGCAGGGGTGGCATTCAACAAATTTTAATTTCAAGAATGATTAAGAGAGAGTCAAGTTGTTGAACTAGACGCCATCGGTTGGCGACACGCTCTGACGATGCAGTTGGCACGGAGTCCGCCAGACCGAGTGTCGTACACTTACACGCAGAACGTCACCCCTGTCACCCCCCCTGGCTCCGCCCCTGCGTGTAATTGTTTGTTTTGTATGTTTAGAACTCGCTTTTTTTCCCCCATGTTTACAACTAGTTTTCTTCATTTTAAGTTTATTTCAGGAGTTGTATACTATATGTACTTTCGATTGCTCATGGTCTCAGCCAACAGCGATCAGAGAAAGTCTAGGCCTAGCCGAATGGACGATAAAGGAACATTCAGAAGCGACTGCTTTCTGTTATTAAAATGTTTAGCGGTATTCATAAACAATTAAGATGCAATGTTCCATACAGGTAGCGATAGAAAACAAATGACAGCGTGATCGAATACACAGAATAATAACTCGTAAGGGGAGGCCACAACTATTTCCGGCTATGCGATTTTATCTTTGATTTTGGGGGGAAATTGTTCAGTTTCCGACATCCAGAAAATTCGGGTTTACGTATCATTCTCAGGAACCTAACCTTCCCGTAAAGCGGCGACTGTCTGTGTATGAATGAGCGAGCGGGTAGGGCACACCAACGAGTGAGCTGCGCGGACGGCGCTCACCGTCGGCGAGATCCTGCTTGCCAGCTCCTGATCGCCGTCCGGGCCGGTGCCGACGCTTGCCAGTCGCGTTCTCCGCCTTCCCGTGCGTCGCTTTTGACGACGACGATGACGACGACGACGAGGATGACGACGACGATGACGAGGATGACGACGATGACACCTCGGCGCTTTTCCTCTTGCTGTTGCACACCGGGGGCCGCGAGCCCTCGTCCTCCGCACCCCCTGGCGGCGCACACCGGAACACGCGGTGAGCGGGGCGCCCACGGCGGCCGACGGCGGCAGCGCCAGCTCTTCCGTTGGTCACTGGACACGGAACGACAACGACGAGTCACCAAAACGGGAGCCTGGCGGCGCGGCGGGCAAGGCGAGTCCGAGCTGGAGCCGTTTGAGACCCAGTCCTGTTTAGTTTGGTTGTCTTTCGCCGTACGGTGCGAAATACGTTCAACATACGTACACACATACCCCTAAACATACTACTAACCCTATGCATCCCCCGAATCTTACCACTAACTTTAAACCTACCACTAACCTTAACCCTACCACGGCCACTAACACGAACCAAAAGCGTGCCCTGAACCATGCCACCAACCCTACCTCTCTACCACCCCCGACTCTAACCCTACCACTAACCCTAACCACTAACCCAGAGGACAGCACTTTGGCAGGGCTGCCACTGCTCATGCAACAGACGTGACTGGGCACACAGGGCTGGAGGGTTGTTGCAGGCAAGGACAGGGTGCAAACACGAAAGCAACGCGGCGCCAGAGTGCAGACCGGTTCGGGTGTGCGGCATTCACTGGCCGTGGAGGACACAGGCTGGGCTTGGGCCGTGCGGACCAAACCACGGCGCCACCACTCACCAGCCGCAGTGGCCGCGACCCCGCGACCCTTGCCTCCTCGCGTCGTCATCCCCACCGCCGACGAAGACGTTGACGACGATGACGACGACGACGACAGCATGGCCGCTCCCCCCGCCTCTGCCGAGGAGCGGCTGGGCCGGCCGGGGCCCTCGCTGGGCCTCCCCGAGGCGGTGGTGGCCGCCCCCTTGCCCGCCGCTCCGCCGTGCGACATCATGGCCGCCCCTGAAGACGAAGACGATGGCCGGGCAGAGGCCTGCACTCCCTCGACATCGTCAAGAGGAGAGAGTGACATTACTACTTTGCCACGTGTGTGGTGCATGTGCGTGCGAGTGCAGTATGCATGCGTGCGCGATTATAGCGTAGCGGTTAGCGCGCTGCGCTACGAACCCGGCGACCAGAGTTCGATTCTCGCTCACGGCCAACACGAATGACGATTATCTGAACCGGTCCTGGGCCTCCCCTAGGCCAAATCGGCCTCAAATGAATACCTAGGGCGGTGTGTAAATGTCGTTTGCCGTGCCGGCCTGGCCACCCACCCACCTTTGTGTGCTGTGCCGGGCTTCATAGGTGCTACTCGCTAACAGCACTTGCCCCAATAGTCTATGAAAAAAAGGCTATACAGGGGATCTTTGTCTGTCTGTGCGCGCTTGTAGAATGGAGGTGACGTACCATCCCAGCGACGTCTGATGACGATGACGATGACGACGACGAGGATGACGACGATGCGTCGTTCGGGTTCCTCGTCTGGGCCTTTACACGTTTCCTGACCTCCGGGCTGGTGTCACACACGCACGGTCGATATCAGCGTTAAAATATGCGCTCATCTTCGGAAGAATTTGATTATTTAATTGCCACTAATGACAGGCGACAGGGTACATTTGAAATTTGAATGAGGTTTTACCCATCTATGGCCAGGAAGCAGAGAAAAGTGCACGAGAAGCAGAGAATACACAAGAAGCGTGGACGTGCAGGAGGAGCACATGGGTAAGCACGCGCACACACACACACACACCTGGAATCGCGGCTGCTGGAGCCAGACCGGGCATGCTTGGCACGCTTCCCGCGGCAGGCGGCGCGCTCCCGCCGCTCGTGGTAGCGCAGCGCCGACTTGTACTCGGAGACGATGCCGCGGATGTGCTCCTCAAAGAGCGCTGACAGACGCAGTGTCATGCCGTAGATCTGAGCCATGCACACGGACGAAGAGACCCCACACCCCCCCCGTTGTTGTGGCCGGGTTGCGATTTCAGGAGGAGCACGAGGAGGATCGGGAGGGCGCCCCCACACCACGTCCACCGGGAGACTCCGGTTAAAAAAAAAAAAACGTTCACCACGCACACCAGCTCACACAAAAGACAAAGATCCCCCGTGTAGCCTTAACAGACTTTAGGGGCGAGTGCTGTTAGCGCGTAGCAACCTATGAAGGCCAGAATGGTGCACGAGTGGGTGGTGTGGCCATGTTTACGCATCGCACCGCGTACTAATTTGAGGCCGAGTCGACCTAGGGGAAAAGCCCAGGAACGGGTTAAATTTTCACCACCGTTAATGGTCGTTGAGCGGGGATCACAGGTCGCCGGGTTCATAGCGCAACGTGCGAACCACTGCGCCACCGCTCCCCATACACGCACGGAGAGAGGGGAGGGGACAGTTAAATATCAATCAGCTTTCATTTATTATTACTATCATCACATTTGTTTACCCAGGAAAGTCTAACCCAAGTCACGCAATTCTCTTTTTCAGGAGGGTCCCTCAAATTTTCCACAGGTGGCGGGTGATGACCGCCGAGTATATTCCGACCATGTAACTTGCGGTGTGATCTTTTTCAAACTGTAACAAATTTGGACAATGACACGGGCCGCACAATTCGCCCACCTCTTGCGAATGGCGTCACGGGATCTTTAACGTCCCACTGCAAGTGAAGCAGACTGCACGTAGTCGTAGGAGTATTTTTAACGGTTAACACACACACCGCAGTATTATGTACCTATGTATGTAGAACGAATGTCTTTCGCACCCGTACGTAAGCCAAACATGCTAAATCGGAGGTGTGAAATCCGGGCCAACAAACACACGCTAGCGGCCAGGCCAGGCCAGGCCAGGCTACGTCACAACCCCAGGGAGCCGCGTAATCGCTAACCCACCCGAGACTTCTTGTTGGGCGTGTAGGCCTTGGCGTTGGAGAAGATGAGGCGCACGTCCTTGCAGAAGTCGACGGGGTCGTGGTACGTGTCCTCCCGCAGACGTTCTCGCACCGTGCCCAGGTCCATGGGCGTCGGGATGATGGTGCGGTAGTCCTGCAGCCAGCACGCAACCGCACGGCTGACAGTTAAAGGGCAGCCCCCCACCCCGGCAAGAGCCACGTACAGGAAAACTTCCCAAAGCCAGACTTCGAGGAAGCCAGAATTTAGGGTAAGCTTCCTCACAATTAAAATTATGATTGTATTTGTGTATATAACAGAATCATCCGTGGAAGTTGCATCTCCAAATGCTGTAGAATTTGTAACATGCGCAGTTTTTATGACGTAGGCATGGAATACTACAAACTAAAAGGTTGTCAGAAACTGGTTGCCATTAATTGCTCAAAGCTCTGTGTGGTCTTACATCATCCTGAGAACGATTGTTTAAGGGCGTTTAATAAATTGAAATTATTATTACGTTGCGATGTTAGGTCAACTAAAAAAAACTCCAACCGAAACACTTTGTTACATACAGCTGAGTGAATGTCAACCCCGAGGCCGATGTATATCCACGTGTTAAAAGCCACGCGACGGTTTTACCTTTGGAAGCCGGCGATCGTATCTGATTGGGCGTCGAGGGTAACGCGGTTTCGATTCGGCCACTGTGGCAAGATGTTAACTCCCTCACCTGGTATACAGGAGATCGTGGGTTCAACCCAGACCCGACGCCTGTATATTAAGTAGTGTGTGCACGTTCTCATCGTGTTCGTGTGGATTTTTCTCCGGGTCCTGCGGTTCTCAACGTGCGTTTAGAGTATTTGTGGCCAGGTTGCTATTTGTGAGCAGGTAGGCTTCCGAAAGAGAGCTATATAGCTCAGTTGGGCCTCACCTGGTTCCGTTACCGTCTGCATGCTCGCGGAACCGGGCACGCACACAATAGAAGGGCGCGGTGTGCATACGCGAACGGCTGATTCTAAAGCCGTACGCCCACCAGGCAGCATGGGAAACGCGGAGTAAGTAAACAGCAAATGACGACGGTGGTGGTGGTGGTGGCGGCAGCGGCGGTGGTGGCGGGACTGCGTAGGTACCGGGTACGCGATGGGGTCGACGGGCTGGCGGAACGGCTCCGAGTCCTCGCGCTCCAGGATGACGCTCACCAGCTGCCTGCACTGCTGCTTCCACGCCGCGATGTTGTAGGCCGACTCGCGCCGGTAGCGCTGCGTACGCCGCTTCTGCCAGGGGTTAGAGGTGGGGAGGGAGGGGCAGCACGTTTACAAAGCGAACGATGCTCGTTACCAAAAACCCGAAACTCAGCGGTCGGGGAACCTTGACCCGACAGAGGTCGAAATGGGACTTCTTGGATGATGCCACTGGCGGCAGACAGCTCCAGTCACTTCCGTACCTGTGGCTTGATGCACTGACCACGGTGTAGCGGTGCAAGTGACTTGCCGCGCTGACACAGGAAACGGTGTAGTTGCGTGTACATGAGTTTATATGCATTTGCATGTGCGCCGGCTAGTATGCGCGCTTTGGTGTGCGTCTGTTTGCGAGCGTGGGTGCGTCCGTAAGTAAGCGTGGGGAGTGGTCGCGCAGCGTACAGTGCACTGCGCTTACGAACCCAGCGACCCGTGCTAGATTCCCACGCACGACTAATAATTGCGGCGAAAAATTCTGAACCGGTGCTGGGCCTCCCCAAGGTCGACTCAGCCTAAAATGAGTACTTGGTGTGGTCTGTTAAGGCTACATGGGGGATCTTTGTCTTTATGAGGTGGTGTACGTGGTGAACGTGTTTTACCCGGAGTCTCCCGGTGGACGTGCTGGGCGCTTCCCGATCCTCCTCGTGCTCCTCCTGAAATCACAATCCAGCCACAACAAATCACGGGCAGCACACGCATACGCACGCACCCACGCATACCCCCCCCCCTCCCGAACTCACGCGAACACACACGCGCCAACCACACGAAGCAGCTGAATAGACAAGCGAGCAGGCAGATCAACGCAAAAGCAAGCCGGTTGAGTGAGTGGGCGAGTAAGCGTGTAGATGGACTAGCGAGCAGGGGGGGGGGGGGTGGGACATCAGAGCGGGACAGCCGGTAGAGCGTGCAAGCGAGCAACAAACAGTTGCGGTCGAGCGAGCAGCTGGCCGGGCGATATCGTCCCAACATCCCACTGTGCCCCACACAGGTGACACGCACACACCTCTTCATCAGGGCTGACCTCCGACTCCTCCTCCGGTTCGTCCTTCTTGCGAGCGTTGTGCAGAGTGAGGATGTCCGTGCAGCTTGAATCCCTGCGAATGAGCAACAGGATGAGCGCGGGGAAGCAAGAGGCGACGCAAGAGACAACGACCTTCAAAATCAAGACACAAATTACGCGGAGGCGGCCGGGCGGCCAGACGGTGGCGGCGTGCTGGAGAGGAGACCCACTTGATGAAGTGCAGCAGCAGGTCGCTGACGTGCTTGGCCGACTTCACGATGGGGCTACCGGGCTCGTTGAAGGCGCGGGCGTTGTGCTCGATGTACCGCACCTCCCACATCAGCGACGACAAACGTCTGCGGGCGGGCGAGCGAGCAAGCGGGTCGCCGGTTAACAAACAGGGCGTCAATACCGATTGCTGTTCCGGAGCCAGGCTTCCACGGTTCGGTTCCAGTTAACCGATAAAAACAATGGCTTGAGCCGGTTTCATTTACGTAGCGCTGCCAATTGCACACGCAGTTCATGCGGTACACAATGAAGTCCATAATACCAAGTCGGTGCAGGATAACGCCATGCACAATAGCCACGTCACACCCACAGTTCAAATTCTAAGATGTTTTTTTTTTACGTGGTACACTGCATGCCTGTCCTGTAGTTGCTGAAGGGAGTTACACGAATCAATTGCTAACGATGACTATACCAGCAGAACCCCTCTTAACAACCACCCCTGTCATTGACTAATCGCTTAATGACAGGCCTCCATAGAGCCCAATGTCTTCGTTTCCCGACCATTCCCCTGTTAATGACGGGCTTACGACGAGCACACGACCGCTAATTTCGGCCAATCGGCAAGCTGAAAAGTGGTCTGACCAGGCCTCGGCCAATCTGCGACGTCCATTCGCGAGCATTGGGGCATTGTTTACATTCACTTTGAAGTGTAAACAGCTACTCGCTAAACGAGCAAATCACTTAACGACCGGTTTCGTGGAACCAATCCCCTTCGTTAAGAGGGGTTTCTACTGCACAGCGAGCGAGCAAGAGGACAACCAGCAGGGAGACGGAGCAATGAGATCGGTTCGTGTGCGGGAGTGAGATGGACGGTAGCAGCACTGCAGCGTGTGGAATGATGGGGGTGGAAGGCCTTCATCCAGCAATGGACAGACAATGGCTGAGGATGATTAACTAAAATGTCAATACTCCTCCCTTCACAATGCTGTGCACTCCACATCAAAATGTAAGATTTTTTTTCTTCACATCCCATCAGCCTCCTGCGAGTGAATATTTTTCAGCAGTGTTGGTTTAATACAATAAATCTCTGCGCCAGTTTCCACATTCCGTGTCTCATCACCAATGCAATTGGCGATCTTGGTTGATGTCACCCAACTCATTAACCTTAAGCAGCTGATGTAATCACGGGGCAACTGAAACCCGGACTCGAACTCAGGCGCTCAGCGGTCCCGGCTGAGCGCTCTGCCCTCTGAACCACCCCTGATTTAGGTGCCGGTTCAACAGCCCCTCAGACCAAGTTGACCGGCCGCCCAAACCCATAACCCCCGCCGCTTGGCTCAAGGTGACATTTGAACGAACCTGTAGAAGCCGTTATCCAGCCTCTTGCGGATGGTGCTGAGGTCGGTGAGGTAGGCGACCACGGTGCAGTAGAGGGGGTACGCCTGCAGGTCCACGGGGGTCGCAAACTGTGCCGTCACGTCTGCACCACGAGATGCAAGAACGGACAAGGTTGACGCCGCGCGCGCGGATGCCGTTAAACCGGCACGACAGCGGCAAACTCTTTGGCAGGGGTTAAAAATGGAACCGGTGCCGCGTTAAGGGGGTGGCGGAGCCCCGGCGGTCCGAGCTCGCTAGCCGGCCACAGCTAACAGCGGTGCGAGTGATACCCGAACCGGACCTGGCAACCCACCCCTCCCCCTCCTTCACCAACGCGCCATGAACACCGTGAAGTTTAGTCAAAACGACCACCACGACAACCTGCGCGGTTGCGGCGAGGCCTTCGTTCAGCACAGGCTTGGCAAAGGGCCGATGGGGGTCACCGTTGCGTCAGGTGGTGGTGTCGGCAGTGGTGTCGGCCACCGTGCTCAATGCGGGGGGCCGTGTCGGGTGTTGCCGTCTGTGCCTACGGTGGATGTCGTGTAAGTGCGAGTGCTGGGGTCAGCGCTGGACGTGATGACGGTACCAACGGTCGGTGTCAATGTCACCCGTGTTGGTGCGCCGTGCGTATTATTGCCGCGGCGTACCCAACGTCATCAGCTGGTCGAGCGCGGCAGTGATGCGGTCGCGCTGCTGCCCGCGGGGCTCCGAGCCCCACTCGCCGTCCTGCGGGCGGTAGAGCAGAGACTCGCGCTCCTCGCTCGTCAGCGGCACGCTGGAGCCCGGCTCGGGGGGCGGTCGCGCTGCGGGGGACACGAAACCGCATTGCGGGCAGCCACAGCAATGGGGGAGAGAGGGGAGGGGGGAGGGCGGGCGAGGTTAGCCACACCAGCGGGCGTGAAGAGCAGCAGATAGACGCATGGAGATTTCGGCATCGAATCGGCGTGGGCCAACTCGTGAACTTCAAGCAACGTCGTCCTGGGGCACCTGATCAGCGAGCCCACCACTGTCCGATCTCCCGCAACACACAGCTTATCAATCAGCGAGCCCCACTACCACACTGCCCGGCTTCCACAACACGCAGATCATCAGCAAGCCCACCGCCACCACCCCGCCAGGCTTCCATCTTCCGCGGAAACAAGGGGCAGCACTTATTCAGTTCCACACGTGGAAGATGTGGACACACAAATGCACAAGTGGAGACTAACACTCCTCTGTTTGCAACTGTGGCGACAATCACAAACGATGGACCATAGACCTTTGCACTGCCCCAAGCATAAATCTCAAAGCAGTGGGTGAGTGGTTGGTGAGCGAGTGAGCAGATGAGACAGTGGGTCGGAGGTTGGGTGGGTGGATCTGCAATTCACCAACACTCCGAGGGATTGAACAGCCATCCAAATAACTTGGAATCTCTAATAATTGCTCTTCATTGGCCATAGAAAATCATCATCACAAATATACAATGCAGAGCTGATGAGGGCCTCCCAATGGTGCCTGTCGTAAGGGGGGGGGTTTATATGACCATACTTCACCACACTGGTCAGTGCAGGTTGGTGAAATGTTTGAGGGCGGGGGGGCCTCAGAACTACCGGTGGGGGAGGGGATACGTACCATCGTCCGGAATCACCTCCATGTCCCACGGGCTCATGCGCTCTGTCTCCTCGTTGTCCCAACTGGGACAAAACAAACCGCAGACAACGGCGAGTCGAGTTAGACTCTACAGCTGGGGAAGGGGGGCAGACACGTGCACGCGCGCTCCCGTGGTGGAACAGTGAACATGCTTCGACACAAGCCTCTCTCCCATGCCTTAGACTTGGCTCTAGGACCGATTTAGACTGTGATTATGCGTGTAAAACATTACAGCATCACGATTCGAAGCCCTCGTCATCAGACCACTGCTGATTGAAGGCCTCTAAACCCCACGCTGTGTCAGTCCTGGGGGGGTTGTTTGACCATACCTCACCACAGTGGTCAGTAACAAGTTGATAGGGGGGTCGGGGGTGGTGGCACAGGATAAGTTCAGACATTACTCGCCACTGATGTTAGTCGTGATGGTCCAAATTTAATTTGCCACATGAGATAATCACACTGCAAATAAGCTCAACCGAGATGACACGGGAACATCGCCTATCCTCTCCTTGAAGCTGCTGGACTAGGTCTGTGACACAGGGCACCTTCCTCCTTCGTGACCTTTTGTCCTTCCACCCCGTACCTCCCGGTTAGCATGGTTGGCTAAGTGCGGTGCGAAAGATGTTCAACATACGTACACGACAGCCCTGCGCCATGATAACGATAGCGTAATACTGTCAACGAAGGGGTCAACTCCACCGGCTCGTCACGGCTCTACTCTCATCTGGGTGAACCCTCCCCCCCCCCTCACCCACCACACGGCGTAGCACTGGAAGGGGCTGTCCGGGTACTGCGCCTGGAAGGGTTCTTGCCGCAGCACCGTGCCATACCACCACGCTTCGTCGATCACCGCGCGGAACCGGTCCCCTGCGGTCGCACACGCACGCACCACGTGCTCGGTGATCACACAGTGGCGAGATGTTATCTCCCTCGCCTGGTACGCAGGATGTCGTGGGTTCAAAACCCAGACCCTGGCGATGCTTGTTGTATATTTAGAGTCCAAGTGTTTTCTCGCCCAGTGGTGGTCACGTGGATTTTTCTACGGTTTTGCAGCTATAAATTACGGCGTGCGATGATGATATCAGCCACTTGGATGATGTGCTATAATCATGTGTGGCCAGGTCACCTCAGAAAGAGCTCATCGCTCTGAGCTTTACCTGGTAAAATAGTTTAGTTTAATAATGAAATAGATAACCTAGCGAAGGCCCAGGATCAGAAATCATGAGAATAATAATTATATTCATAAAGGGCCTTTCATCAAGTATCTTAAGAGCGCTGTATAAAAAGTAGCACTCGGCATAAAAACAACCGATCTTAGCCGTGGCCAGAAATCGTTCTCGGATCGCCAGGTTTCATAGAGCGTCTACACTAACCGTGGCGCCACCACGCCACTCACACGGGCGCGAGCGAGCGTGCAGACACGAGCGTGAGCAAGCGTGTAAACGCGAGCGTCGGCAGACTGGACTTCATGCAACACCGTTCAAACTGAACCGTTCAGGGGAGGGGGAACGTCGCAACTATTGTTTCTCGATAAGCGTGGCCCTCGCTTACCAACTTGCCAGTTGCGAGCACGCGCCTCGTCGTACGTCTGCCTCAGCACCAGGAAGTCGATGACGTCTGGCATGTCGTGGTACCTGTGGGCGGACAGCACGATCGGGCGGTGGGGGGAAATCTTTCAGCTCGCGAACTCGGACCTCATCGCGGCTTCATCGTTAAGATGCTTGCCCGGAGCGCGTATTTCGCCAACTCCCCCCGCATCGCCCCCGGCCGGCCCAGAGCTCACTTGATGGCGAACGCTCCGCCTGTCAGCTTCCCCGTGTCGGCGTCCAGGAAGGCAAGCTTCAGGCAGCACAGCGTCGGAGGCCCAACCTCGTACTTGATGCCGACGATCTTCACCAACTCCTGCTCCTGCGAGGAACAAACATGGGGGGGCAAGGGGGGACACTCATCCTCTTGTACGCACGAGGCGGCTTGAAGATGTTTTTGTTTGTTAATAGTCCCACCACTTTCTCCACCGTACAGCCAAGCCAAGCCAGGGGAGGGTGGGGGGGGGCAGTGCCAGGCCAGCCTCGCATGGCGTGGCTCAGAGGAGCCAGCGTTGATTTTCCAACGCGGAAGCAGAGCGGTGCCGCCGCGTTCAAAGAAAACGTAACGACCAGCGATAATGCACGACGTAAATTATTTTCCCCAATGGGCCCCCCCCACCCCCCCGAGCAAGATTCAGATGTCTTGCGAGGCTAGGGTATCACGAGTTTGGTCCTGTCTCAGAAAAACAGCCAGTGGAAAACTACCCATACCGTGAGGGCCCACCGGTGCGGTGGCGTGGCTTGGGTGTGATGCTTTACAGAGCATTAAGAATGGCACATGAATGCAATGGTGGGGATGAAGTGAATAAAATATACGAGAGGAGGTAATGGGCGAATCTGTGATGCGTGAATTACATAAAAATAAAATTCATTACAATAAATGCTGTTGAATGGACTGAATGAATGGGGAATGAGTGGTAGGCACATTATGAGAATATGAAGAGAGAATAGTAACGGTGATTACGAGGGGGCGAGATTAAGGGATCGTGGGGCGAACTCGGGAAAATAAGTTACTTGAGGGAGGAGCGGAAACTAGTGAGCGAAAGATGACCACTTAATCATATAATGTGGGAGCAGGGCCAGGCAGACGAACCCGCAGCTGGATCTTGTGCCAGGGCTGCTTGCGGGGGTTGATGCGCTGCACTTTGTTGCGCTTGGCGGCCTCCACGTACGCCTCGTGGCCCTGTCGGAAGTACATCACCTGCCGGAAAAAAGGGCGGTAAGGTGGAGTTAGGGCAGACGCGAGGCACAGACGATGAGACGGTGGAGGAGGCCGACAGGAACGCACACGCAGATGCAATCAGAGACAAGATCCTGGGCTATTCACGTTCGAATTGGATGTGAACTTATTTGACTATTTAAACACATTTTTTTACCAGGTAAAACCGGGTGGATGAGACGGGCCATATTGTGTCACGAGCGATGAGCCCGACACCGTCAAGATACTGGGATCAGGACCAGGATTTGGATCCAGGTTTCAGCCGCCCGTCACTAAACAAACCTGCTTCGCGGCTGTCGTGAGTCACTGGTCTCAGCCCGATCACAATTGACTTGCATAGTCACCACTGGCTTACATCCGCACACCACTGCCTCGTGTTCTGCGCACCCAACTTGTGTCAGCAAATTCCCCGCACGATTTCTGTTCGTGGTTGTAAATTAGGAATTTTTATATGTCTATGAACTTAAAATGATGATTATTATTACAGTTACAAACAGCCCCACAGGCTCATAGATTTAATCTGAAAGAAGAGTCCAACTGATTTACGGCCAACTTGTTGAGTCAACTCCGATTATCCGTGGGAGGATGTTCAAGCATGCGGATTCAACTGAGCTTGCAATAAAAAGAATCGCATTTTTATTTACACAGGCCCTAGTATGATTATCAGATGCTCCTCACTCATCAGCGGGGTCAGAGACTCTGCGTCAATGTGACCGCAACCACGTCGACAAGTAAATAGATGACTTTAAAAAGACAATAACCAATAAATTATTATAAGATTTTATATGCGAATATATCACCCAATTTGCATTTGTTTCAAATTATCCGGACCAACTCTCCCCCATTTACTCCGGATAATCGTTGACAATAATAACGACGACGATCATCATCATCATCATAAGTATCATGATAATGACAAAAACGACGATGATGTGACTGCGCCCCCCTCTCACCTCGTCGCCCATCTGCGGCACGAAGGGGCAGCGCTGGGGCACCGTGTGCGTGACCCACACAGACGGCAGCCATTCCTCGGCCGGACGGCCCTGTCCCAGCAGCTGGGCGGCCACTCGCTGAAAAACATTCCGCACACACACACACACACACAAAGACCCCCCTGATAGCTTCAACAGACTGTTGGGGTCAAGTGCTGTTCAGTGAGAACCTATGACAGCTACAGGCTTAGTGCGGCCTGGAAGCGTATTATTAAATAATACACATTACATTTTGATTTAAAGAATTACTAATCTATAACTCATTACTAATCATACCCAATGACTGATTACTAATCGATTATATAATTACAATACCCCCCCCTCCGCCTCTAATCACTGCACCTGATATGAGTTAAGTGATGACGTCACCCTGCTGCTCTATATACAACCGGGAGCAAGCGAGGGCTTTACCATTCTGGCGAATTGCCCGATGATGCTGGATGTATTTACCAGCGAAACGTCGTACTCACACTGTAAATGTGGATTCACTCAACACACCGGTGGGCTAAAGTAGTGAATTATTTGTCTTTTGTCAACGTGACACTTTTTTTGCTGATTGGCCGTGTCGGGTTGTGGAGGGTTACGACACATTTATAAATACACGCGATCTAACCCAAAAACCTTTATTATGAAGAACCTATGAAGGCCGGCAAGTTACACGACGGGGGTGTGGGTGGCCAGCACCACGCCCGACCGCCATTGTTTTCCCAGTGCCGATGTTTACACACTGGCACCAGCTACTCATTTCAGGCCGAGTCAACCTAGAGGAGGTGCAGGATCGGTTCAGATGATCGTCATTGATGCATTGGCCACGAGCGAGAATCGAACCTCGGGGTCGCCGGGTTCGTAACGGCAGCACGCTAACCGTTACACTACCGCTCCCACTACATCTACACAAGCACACACACACGTACGTACACAAGCATGCACAGAGTACACACGTGCCAGTACGCTAAACACATATCGAATGCCGTGTCGGCGAGCCCCGAAGGCGACACGCGACCGCAGCACAGATAATAAAATGTCTGTTTTCTAAATTTTTAAATAATTTCTTCAGAACTGCTTTTTGTGTTTAGTTTGTTGTCCTTCCCCCACACCTCCGATTTAGCACGACTGGCTACATACGGTGCGAAAGAAGTTCAACATACATGCATACAAACCGCATGGGGCTTATCGTGCCAAACCAAGGCGGCTATCACATTGAGCACCATCTCTGATGGGCTCCCCCCCCGCCCCCCACCTTCTGTCGGCGCGTCCTGGTTTTTCGGCGGGGCCGCTCCCCCCCCGGGGGGCTCTCATCGGGGGCCCCCGCCCTCTCCCCGTCGGAGCTGCTGCCCCGGCCCCTTTGCGCGGCGCGACGGCGCACGGCGCGCTTCGGCGGCTGCAGGTTCACGCCGGCCTGCGCCGTCCAGTCCGAGTACTCGCTGGACGACTCGCTGGGCAGCAACGGAGACAGCACCGAGCATCGCCGTCGTCATCACTAAGCCACATCATCGCTACCGACACCGTCGCCGCTACAGAGGACGCGCTGGGCGAGGAGACGACAGCATCATCATCACCACCGCTCGCATCGTCACCGCCACCATCAGTCAGCCGCCGTCACCATCACAGCACCATCCACTGTCAATACCACCATCACTGCCACTGCCACGAACCGCCTTCACCATTACCGCCATCATTGCTGGCATCACTATTATCACTGTTGCCATCATTACCACCGTCAGTCACAGCATATGTCATCATCACCATTATTATTTCCACCACCGCAGTCATCACGACTACCATTATCAACATCCCCACCACGAATGTCATCATCATCATCATCATCGCTGCACGGTTCCCTGCCGCCACCCGTGTGACACGACTGCCGAGCGCCGTCCGCTCACCTTGTCGTGCTGCTCTCGCTCTGCCACTCGTCGCCATCGTCCGACGACGATGCCCCACTGGGGCCGCCCGTGCGGTTCTCCTGCACACAGGAACATACGTGAACACGCACACGCATGAACACACAAGACAAACGTCCCCCAGAAAAGCCCCTAACAGACTCTTGTCGCAGTACCTATTAATTAAGGCCGCCACGCACACAAGGGGGTGGGGGGGGGGGTGTGGAGGCCAGTGACATGCCTTGCCACCACTTCTCTCTCCAATGCTTGCCTTTTTACACACGGCACCAAGTTACTCATTTAAGGCCGATTTTATCTCGGGGAGGCCCAGGGCCTCGTTCAGATATTAGTCACCAAGGTTGGCTTGTGAGCGACAATGGGAGTCTGTGCGAGTCTATGGGTCTGAATTGACGGGAAGTCTGAGAGTCAGTGGTATCTACACGAGTCTACGGGTGACTGCGCGAGTCCGTGGCCGGAGCGAGCGAGCGAGCGCATGCGGGGGGGGGGGGGGCCTGCAACGTACGTCCGACGAGGTGTCGTAGGCGGCGCGGCGCAGCGGGGCCGGCCGGCCGGGCTCCTCGAGCGTCGAGCGCGTGCGGTAGCCGTGGAGGCCGCCGTGCGACGCCTGCTTCCTCCGCTGCTTCAGGCCCTTGGCGGCCACGTTGGGAGAGTCGGACTGCGGCGGCGGGAAGCGAGATCGTAGGTACAGAGACGAGAGACAAAAATCCCCCCCCCCCTCCCAACATTGCCTTTAACCGACTGTCGGGGCAAGGACTTTTGGCAAGCATCCACGACGGAATCGTGTGGCCAGAACCATGCCTGGGGCTGCCTTTGTTTCCCCAGCGCAGGATGTTTGAATCACTGCAACATGTACCCATGAAGAATGCACTGTACATCTACGTTGGGGGTGACGCGAGACATTTGTATCAGTACAGTGTGGGTGCACGTGTACACAAAGACAAATACCCCGCAATTAGCCTTAAAATACTGGTTCGGATAAGTGCTGTTAGCGAGGAGCATCTATCAAAACCGGCACGGCACACGAGGGGACGAGTGGCCAACATCACGCCCAGTGTTGATGTTTACACACCACATCAGGTACTCCATTTAAGGAAAAGCAAGCCTTGAGCAGGCCCAGGACTGGTTAAAATTATCGCCAATTATTATTGGTAATGAACAGGACTCGGGTCGCCGGGTTCGTAACCCATTAACACCAACCACTACACAGGATCATAAGAATCAGAATCAAATCAGAATATGTATTTATACTGGAAAAATCCGATGAGTCAAAGTTTTTTTTTTCAAACTTCCATCGTAGGTAGACGCGGCGCACGAAAGAATGCCGTCACAATTTCCGCTGGACGGGGGGAGTGGCATGCCGACAGAACGGCGGGGCACGGAACAAAACCCTGCACCGGAATCTCCGGCCGCCATGGTGGACGTCGTTCTCTCACCCTGTGTGCGGCGGAGACCGGCTTCCTCCTCTTCTCCCGCTCGTAGATGTCGGATTCCTCGACGCCTTTGGCGTGGCGGTAGCCCTCCTGGGTGCTGCTCGCGGGCACGCGAACGCACACACGCAGGCACACAATGACAAAGATCCCCCCCCCCCCGCCGCTATAGCCATCACCAGACTGTTGGGGCAAGCAGCTATGAAGGCAGGAACGGCACACGATGGGGGTGGGTGGCCAGCACCACGCCGCCCTCCCACCTTTGTCTCCCCAGTGACGACATTTACACACCGCACCAGGTACTCATGAGGCCGAGTCGGCCTAGGGGAGGCCCAAGGCTGCTTCAGACAATCACCACTGGTGTTGGTGTGTTGCTGGCCGTGAGCGGGAATCACTAGCACTCTGCACGCACGCACGCGCACACTTCTCATGTCATCAACAGCCAGAGAGTGGTGGTGGCAACACGCAGACACACCGACCCTCGCTGCACTATCACCAGCTGTGGAGCGAGCGCCCCCGGGACTACTCAAGTCCGAATCCGTTGCTAACAATATTGAGGAATTAGCCATTGGCCGCGCCTCTACAGTCGGTTTTGGCCACCTTGGTTTCGGACCGTTATTTAATCGTGTGTGGACATATACGTACACAGAACACGCCCGATCTCAACAGATCTCGGAAGCCAAACCAGAGCTCAGCGCTTAGACGGAGACAGGTGGCTATCATGGACCACAGGTACGCGGCTAGATGGTAGGCAGCAGAGGGTAGCGAGACAAAATCCACATTGGTACTGCACGTTCCGTGCTCCGGTGGGAATACTACCCAGAACCACCGTGAATAACAAAACGGCTGCAACCGAAATCGCCGCTCCATGCCCTTCATCAGGCGTCGCACGGCCATGCTGTGATTGAGTGGCCTGCCTCTCTGCGCATGCGTGTGTGTGTGTTACGACTGATGGGCGGGGAATGGTGCAAGGGGGAGCGCGTAACCACCTGCTGAGCCCCGGCGCCACCTCGGGCACCACGAGGCGGTTGTTCCAGGCCAGCAGGTCCCCCGAGGCGGTATTGAAGCGGCTCTGCGCCACGTTCTGCCGCACGCCCTCCACCTGCCCGCTCCGCCGACGAGGGCCCGGGCTCCTCCGCGGCGCCTCGCTCTCTGGCCCCGCGACACGACGCGCCGAGCATTTCAGCGTCCCGTTAGTTTCGTCGCAGGTCTTCAACGAGTCCGCGCTTTGCAGAGTTAACGCTGCAGACGATCACCCTCTCACCCGTAAACGAAACCAATTACTCCAATCCCTCCACTGCCTCCAAATCAAATCCCTCGATTTAAATTTTAAAAGTGTTCAGCATCTTCAGTATTCTCTATGGACTCGTCTCATCGCTGCCTACCTATCCCTTCAGTGGGCGCGACAGTGGCAAGATGTCAACTACCTCGCCTGGTGTACAGGAGGTCGTGAGTTCGATCCCGACCCTGCCGCCTGTTGTATATTTGGTGTTTGCAAGACTCTCCCCGTGGTCGCGTGGATATTTCTCCGGGGTCCTTCGGTTTTCCCTCCACATACATTTCCTCACGATAAGCCACTTTGTTAAGCTATCATTTGTGGCCAGATCATGTCTGAAAGAGAGCTATAGAGCTCAGTGGGCCTTACCTGGTAAAATCAAAATAGTTTAGTTGAGTTTACTTCTTACTACTCCCCCTCCACGCTCTCCTACCTCTCCCCCCACCCCTCACTCTACTCTCCCCCCCTCCCACCCCCCACCTCCACGCACTCTCCCGCCTCTCCCCTCCCGCTCTGCTCGTCGTACCGGAAGACGGCGGAGGATGCACCGTCAGCGGCACCGGTGACAACTCAGAGGAGGGCTCGTCCTGCCCCGTGGCTCCCGCACGCTCGTCCTGCTCGCGCTGGAGACGCAGGATCATGTTGTCCAGGATGCTTCCCTCAACTTGTGACGTCAATCGTTTGCCGCAGGATGGTTGGGGTGGGGTGGGGGGGGAAGAGGGCCCACACACACACACATGGACAGTGTTAACGTTAATTTCTTTCTATAGACGGTGTTAACGACATTCGAGAGCAAGATGTCATCATCGTGGCCACATGCATGCACAAAGACGATCCTTATAGCCTTAACAGACTGTTGTGGACAAGTGCTGTTAGCGAACACCTGTGAAGGCTGGCACGGCGCACGAGGGAGTGGGCGAGCCGCACCACCCCCGGCCGCGTTTGTTTCCCTAGTGGCAATGTTTACACATCGCACCAGGTACTCATTTGAGGCCGAGTTGAGCTAGCAGAGGCCCTGGACCGGTTCAGACAACAGTCAGGAAGGAAGCGGGAATCCAACCCAGGTCGCCGGGTTCGTAGCTCAGCGTGCGCCAACCACTACGTTCCCGCTCCCCACACTACGTTACACTCGCAAACACAAATACACGAACACGAACGCCACTGACACCATCGAACAAAAGGTCACCGCAACGCACAATTCCAGATGCGCTTTTGCGGCCGCCAGGAAACTAGGAAGCCACTGGAGTGATGCACTTTTAAATCATCTAGATTGAAAACTCACTTCTTTAGAACCGCTTTATGCATTTACTTTGTTGTCCTTCCCCCGCTCCGCACCTCCGCCTAGCACGGTTGGCTATGTACGGTGCAAAAAAATAGGTTCAACATCGTCGCCTAATGAGGCTCGCTGTAGCTACTGGCGAAACGTCACGCTACTCGAGTTGTAAATGCGTAACTAATTGCCACGTTTTGTTTACGTGACAAACCATACTAATTGGCTGTGTCGGGTGGTGGCAGGGTTCAACAACTTATTTATATTCATGCGATCTAACCCCGTGAAACCTCTATGTACGCACGTACCCATCTGTGGGATGAGCTGGTGGAGGCTGCAGCCCTGGCGCCCCGGCACCAGGCGCTGGTAGCGTGGCGGGTGGGGGTTGCCATCGACGTCCACCAGGAAGGGCGGCGGCATGAGGTGCGGAGCCTGTTGCGTCTGCTCGTCCAGTACGAAGTTGTTGGCGTCGCGCAGCAGCGGCCGGTAATCCGTGTGGAAGAACATCTGGTCCGGGATCTGAGTCCAAGGAAAACGAGGAGGGTTTTTTTGAGTGGCGGGCTCGGCGCGAAGATCTTCCGTGCCACATCACCGACAACAAAATAAACTATTTTTTATTTTAACAGGCAAGGCCCACTGAGCTATGTAGCTCTTTTTACAGAAGTGACCTGGGCCACAAATGATCACTCAACAAAGTGGCTCATCATCGTGTGGAAATTCATTGCAGCCAAATACTCCCAATGCCTGTTGATTTTTAATTGAGGAAAAAACTGTAGGAACCGGAGAAAAATCCACACGACTATGGGGAGAACATGCAAACTAAAACAATATATACAGGCACCAGGGTAGGGGTCGAACCCACAACCGTGGCACCTAAGACCAACCCTGACTATCCCTGCGGAACTACACACGATGCACACGTGAATGCCGAGTGGAGGAAGTTGTCCAAAAGGCAAAATCGTTAACGCAAACACCACGAGGTTAATAACTGCCATCGCGAAACATTCGGATCTCGGACAAAACGGAAGACAAATCAGCGGAGCAAAGTTGCAACGAGAAGGGATAGCCGTCAACTTTCCCGCGCCTGGAGAACACGGTTTAAGCACTAGCGGCCGAAAATCCGGAGTCAAACAAAGCATTTTCAGCAGTACCAGCTCGACACGATGATCAGCACCACATCAGCACCACATCAGAACCACCCACCCCCCACCCCTGCCCCACCAGAGCCAAATTACCGACAGCGACGATGTTACCTTGTCGTACTTGCTGCTCGAGCCAAAGCCGAAGATGAGGAGGTGCCCATGGGAGTCGGTGCACGCAAAGTGCTGCCCGTCCGGCGAGAACTTGCAGTCGAAGACGGCGCCATGGCCCTGACCCTCGATCTGTCTCAATCAGCACACGCGCCACCACCACCACCACCAGCAGCAGCAGCAAACACGCACGTTCCTCGCTTGTAATAATTGCACACCAGCTCGCAAAAACAAAAACGTTTACTCTTACAAACCGATTGTTTTAATGATTCCCAACTGCCGTCGCCATCTTGCGTACACTGTCGCCTTGGGCAATCTTCTCCGATGCCTCTTCTTCAAAAACCAGTCACGTTCCATCCCGAAGGTGATTAGACTTTTTTTTTACGTAATTATAATTTTAAGTGCAATTAACCTTTTTATTTAGCCTCATATTAGCATTGCACCGTTATTCGTTTCCTCGGAAACTCTCCGATTTCAAGGTTAGCGGACAGATGTCATCGCGACCACAATCGCGCGACGGGAAACCTAGCCCTGGTGTTGGCGGGTGACAGCGGGCGACGGCGGGCACGCACCATGTTGAAGTACGTGCGGATCTTGGCGCCGCGCGAAAGGTCCCACATGATGACGTTGCCGTCGTGGCCGGCCGACAGCAGGATGCGCGGATCCACGGGGTGCGACTCCAGCACGAACACCTCGTCCTCGTGGCCCTGGGGGGGCACGGAGCACGCGTGAGAAAGCGCGGGGGGGCGCATGCAGGCACGCGGCAAATTGGACGCACGCGCAAAAACAACAACCGCCATCTGCCGCTACCCAGTGAACATTGCGCCAACCTGAGGCCAATGGTTCTCAAACCACATGCCAACATTGACCCAACCCTGCAACATTTACCAGGCAAGTGGTGGTGATGTCTCACGGCACCACTTGTGCCAAAGCAAGCAAGCAAGCAACGCTACTTGGGAGGCCGACAGGTGAAGTGTGAAAAGTTCACTGTTGGGCAGGTCAGATGACAGACCCAGGTGCCGTGCGTTAACGGACTGAGATGACCGACTGCCAGTGGTGCTCCCCACTGTGCACTAAGGCACGAAAAAGACAAGATCCCCCCCATAGCCATTTAGAGAGAGACTATTGGGGCAAGTGCAAGCCAGAGCAGAGCCCCGGCACTGCGGAGATGAATTATACAACACACCACGCCCGGCCGCCATTGTCTCCCTAGTGCCGATGTTTACACGCCACACCAGGTATTAATTTGAGGCCGAGTCAACCTGGGAAGGGGCCCAAGACCTGTTCAAGTATTCACTGAGGGGGAATCGAACTCTGAATTGCCGGGTTTCGTGGCGCAGTGCACGCTAACCGCTGCACCAGCGCTCGCACCACCACCACCACCACCACCCTCGCACGGCCCTCACCGTGAGCACATGCAGCAGCTGTCCAGTGTAGGAGCTCCACACTTTGAGCGCGAGGGTATTGACGGCCGTGATGACGGTGCTGTCGTGCCGATCCCACGCCACCATGGTCACCTGTTGTTTCACAGATGCCACACCCCCCCACCGCCTCCGTTTCACCTCGCGCATGTACGAACGTATATATATTTTTATACTTTTAAAAACACGTCAACAATCGACTTCTTTGATAAATCGTTAATGGACTTCAGGTCACGTGACATGAAAGAGAAATCGGTGAAGGAGTGTGTGACTGGTAGTTTCTGGAATGATTGGAGGAAGATTCCAAGTTTGTGATAAGACTAATAATGACAAACAAGTCTGGATGAGGAAAATGGGATCACAAGACTGGATTAGACATTAAAGACACGAGGAAGAAGGCAAGAGTGAGGGGAAGTCCAATCAGGTATGCATGTTGAATTTATTTCGCATCGTACGAAGCCAACCGTGCCAATCGGAAGTGTGAGGAAGGGCAAGTGGCTAGGGGTGTCAGGATTAAAAGCTAGCTAGTGCTGCCAATCTTTTGCACGTCGAAAGGAAGTCCACTCAGGTGGCGAGGGGGAACGTGTTGTAAGAAGAGAGGAAACCATGTCGGAAGAAGAAAGGTGATGAACATGGAAGCACCAGGGCGTGGAGACCGGGAGGCCGAGAGAGAGGTTGTCCGGAGCCATGAGAACCCAGGAACAGGAATGGGTGGAAAATGAGGAGCAGGTGGGCAAAGCCCAGAAAGAGGGAAGTCCATCTAGGATTGTGTGAACAAAAGCCGTCGTGCACCGTGCAGTGCCGACCTTCAGCTTGAACACCTTGTCTTCCACGGGCGGGTTGTTGTTTCTGCAGCCATGAAAACCAAACAGTGGGAGGGGGGGGGAGGGTTTAAAAAAACGAGGCCCACTTCACGTACACAGTCACTCACGACGGCCGCGCCGAGACAAACCCGACACATTCAGCTCGGGGGAAAAAGCTGTGCGAAGAAAACAAATCGCCGCGATGCTTTTCTTTCTGTGCCACGCAATTGGCGACCCGAGTTCAAATCCCGGTCACGGCTAACTAACATCTGAAAACTCACCGATCCGCATTGACCACCGATGGTTAGCCATGGCTGGGAATCAAACTTGGGTTAGGTAGGTTCATAGTGCAGAAGTATATTACCCAGGAAGCTTGGAAGACATATCAAGCAGGAGACTCTTCCACTCCTGCCGCCGGTATTGCCAGATCCGTGCCGTGCCGTCCCGGCTGCCACTCACAAACCTGCCACAACAGCCACACACAGAGCCCCCGGTATAGCCTTCAACAGAATGTTGGGGTAAGTGCTGTTAGTAAGTACCTATCAAGGACAGAACGGTACACGAGGGGGTGGGTGGCCAGCACCACATTCGACAGCCTTTGTCTCCCCAGTGCAAAGGTTTATACATTGTACCAGGTACTCATTTGAGGTAGACTCCACCAAGCCGAGGCCCATAGCCGGTTCGCAGTGCGCTAACCGCGACACTACCGCTCGCTACAGCCAAAAATTACAAAGATCCCCTATAAAGCCTTAAAAGACTGTTGGGGCAAGTGCTGTTAGCGAGGACCTATGAAGGCCGGCAAGGCACATGATGGGGTGGGTGGCCAACACCACACCCGACCACCTTTGTTTCCTTAGTGGTGATGTTTACACATCGCACCAGGTACTCATTTGAGGCCGAGTCGACCTAGGGGAGGCCCAGAACCGGTTCAAATAACAGTCACTGATGTTAGCCACGAGCGGTAATCGAATCCTGGTCATCAGGTACGTAGCGCAGCACGCTAACCGATACACTACCGCCATTCCGTCAATTACTTTGAAAAACATTTTGCAAACAGTCATTTAATGAATAACGGCTATATATTTAGGACTCGCTTTAATTAGAGTTAATAACTACGTAACCATTTTTGTCCAGAAATTCAATATTTACGAATAACGAGCAATGGGTAAATCACGATACGATATTTTGCAGAATGGACGATACGATGACCGCGGATGCCGTATCACAGCAGAGCGCAGTGGCAATGCCGGGCGAGGGCTGATGAACGTGCCACGGAGGGTGGTCCCTCTCTTACCGGTCTCCGTTGTTCGAGAACTGAATACTGTCCACCTTGTCCTGGAACGAAAAAGCAAGACATGTCAGAATACGCCGACCCAAGTGCGCGGGACCGTTTACACCGCGGCAGCTCCGTTCGCCGCCAAACAAAAAAAAACGCACGATGGTCCGGCGTAGGCGCCGTTACCGTGTGCGCTTCCAGCTCAGCGATCTTGTCCGGGGACCGGTCCCCCAGGTAGTAGACACGGATCACATGGTCTGTGCTGCCCGTGGCCAAGAACATCCCACCTGGGGGAATACAACACCGGGGAAGTGGGGGGGGGGGCACACAGAAATGGGTCAGTGTTACTCAGCTACAATTAAACAATAGATACTTATGTGTAGATGCTGAACAATGTTATGGATGTGTAGAGTGGGAGGCAATACGAGGGTTGTGTAGAGGCGGAGCAATGCAAGGAATGTGGAGTGGCTGGATAAAGCTAGGCATGTCTAGTGGTGGGGCAAAGCTAGGGGTGAGTAGTTGGTGGGGCAAAGCTAGGGGTGTGTAGTGGTGGGGCAAAGCTAGGGGTGTGTAGTGGTGGGGCAAAGCTAGGAGTGTGTAGTGGTGGGGCAAAGCTAGGGGTGTGTAGTGGTGGGGCAAAGCTAGGGGTGAGTAGTTGGTGGGGCAAAGCTAGGGGTGAGTAGTTGGTGGGGCAAAGTTAGGGGTGAGTATTGGTGGGGCAAAGCTAGGGCTGTGTAGTGGTGGGGCAAAGCTAGGGGTGTGTAGTGGTGGGGCAAAGCTAGGGGTGAGTATTGGTGGGGCAAAGCTAGGGGTGAGTATTGGTGGGGCAAAGCTAGGGCTGTGTAGTGGTGGGGCAAAGCTAGGGGTGTGTAGTGGTGGGGCAAAGCTAGGGGTGTGTAGTGGTGGGGCAAAGCTAGGGGTGAGTATTGGTGGGGCAAAGCTAGGGGTGAGTAGTGGTGGGGCAAAGCTAGGGGTGTGTAGTGGTGGGGCAAAGCTAGGGGTGTGCAGTGGTGGGGCAAAGCTAGGGGTGTGCAGTGGTGGGGCAAAGCTAGGGGTGAGTAGTTGGTGGGGCAAAGCTAGGGGTGAGTAGTGGTGGGGCAAAGCTAGGGGTGTGTAGTGGTGGGGCAAAGCTAGGGGGGTGCAGTGGTGGGGCAAAGCTAGGGGTGTGTAGTGGTGGGGCAAAGCTAGGGGGGAGTAGTTGGTGGGGCAAAGCTAGGGGTGAGTAGTGGGTGGGGCTAAGCTAGGGGGGGGTAGTGGGGGGGCAAAGCTAGGGGTGTGTAGTTGGTGGGGCAAAGCTAGGGGTGTGTAGTGGTGGGGCAAAGCTAGGGGTGTGTAGTGGTGGGGCAAAGCTAGGGGTGTGTAGTGGTGGGGCAAAGCTAGGGGTGAGTAGTTGGTGGGGCAAAGCTAGGGGTGTGCAGTGGTGGGGCAAAGCTAGGGGTGAGTAGTGGTGGGGCAAAGCTAGGGGTGTGTAGTGGTGGGGCAAAGCTAGGGGTGAGTATTGGTGGGGCAAAGCTAGGGGTGTGTAGTGGTGGGGCAAAGCTAGGGGTGTGTAGTGGTGGGGCAAAGCTAGGGGTGTGCAGTGGTGGGGCAAAGCTAGGGGTGTGCAGTGGTGGGGCAAAGCTAGGGGTGAGTAGTTGGTGGGGCAAAGCTAGGGGTGAGTAGTGGTGGGGCAAAGCTAGGGGTGTGTAGTGGTGGGGCAAAGCTAGGGGTGTGCAGTGGTGGGGCAAAGCTAGGGGTGTGTAGTGGTGGGGCAAAGCTAGGGGTGAGTAGTTGGTGGGGCAAAGCTAGGGGTGAGTAGTTGGTGGGGCTAAGCTAGGGGGGTGTAGTGGTGGGGCAAAGCTAGGGGTGAGTAGTTGGTGGGGCAAAGCTAGGGGTGTGTAGTGGTGGGGCAAAGCTAGGGGTGTGTAGTGGTGGGGCAACGCTAGGGGTGTGTAGTGGTGGGGCAAAGCTAGGGGTGAGTAGTTGGTGGGGCAAAGCTAGGGGTGTGCAGTGGTGGGGCAAAGCTAGGGGTGAGTAGTGGTGGGGCAAAGCTAGGGGTGTGTAGTGGTGGGGCAAAGCTAGGGGTGAGTATTGGTGGGGCAAAGCTAGGGGTGAGTAGTGGTGGGGCAAAGCTAGGGGTGTGTAGTGGTGGGGCAAAGCTAGGGGTGTGCAGTGGTGGGGCAAAGCTAGGGGTGTGAAGTGGTGGGGCAAAGCTAGGGGTGAGTAGTTGGTGGGGCAAAGCTAGGGGGGAGTAGTGGTGGGGCAAAGCTAGGGGTGTGTAGTGGTGGGGCAAAGCTAGGGGTGTGTAGTGGTGGGGCAAAGCTAGGGGTGTGTAGTGGTGGGGCAAAGCTAGGGGTGAGTAGTTGGTGGGGCAAAGCTAGGGGTGAGTAGTTGGTGGGGCTAAGCTAGGGGTGTGTAGTGGTGGGGCAAAGCTAGGGGTGAGTAGTTGGTGGGGCAAAGCTAGGGGTGTGTAGTGGTGGGGCAAAGCTAGGGGTGTGTAGTGGTGGGGCAAAGCTAGGGGTGTGTAGTGTGGGGCAAAGCTAGGGGTGAGTAGTTGGTGGGGCAAAGCTAGGGGTGTGCAGTGGTGGGGCAAAGCTAGGGGTGAGTAGTGGTGGGGCAAAGCTAGGGGTGTGTAGTGGTGGGGCAAAGCTAGGGGTGAGTAGTTGGTGGGGCAAAGCTAGGGGTGTGTAGTGGTGGGGCAAAGCTAGGGGTGTGCAGTGGTGGGGCAAAGCTAGGGGTGAGTAGTGGTGGGGCAAAGCTAGGGGTGAGTAGTGGTGGGGCAAAGCTAGGGGTGAGTAGTTGGTGGGGCAAAGCTAGGGGTGTGTAGTTGGTGGGGCAAAGCTAGGGGTGTGCAGTGGTGGGGCAAAGCTAGGGGTGTGTAGTGGTGGGGCAAAGCTAGGGGTGAGTAGTTGGTGGGGCAAAGCTAGGGGTGAGTAGTGGTGGAGCAAAGTTAAGGATACGTAGTGGTGGGGCAAAGCTAGGGATGTGTAGAGGCTGAGCGTACCAGCGCTGAATGAAGAACAGAAGATCTGCACGCCGGGTCGAGTCCTCTCCGTGAACTTCACGGGTCGCTCGCTGCAGGACAAGTCGAGGCACGTTACAAATCGCCGTCTCACCCAAAGCGATGACGCTCATCAGTCGCGTGCTGCTGGATTCTTACATGAAGTATGAGATATATATACCTCCGTTTTCCAAAACTGGACAAGTTGACAAGTGATATAAGACTGCAACTGGTGCGAGCCCTAACACACTGTTTTGTAAAAAAAATACAAAAAAGGCAAGTGATATAAAACGTAAATTCTTGTAAACACGTGATGTTATAACAGCAGATACGATAGGAAACAAATAGTACTGGGATATACAGAGCCAACATTATATTTTTTTTATTCAACAGGATCTCACACATCAACAGTAATTATCGTGCAACCTCTGGGGAGGGGGGGTTTATTGGGTGCATGCCAAGGTAGCAAGGCAGATTCGCCAATCGTATCACGATTCATATTCGTCTGGTCCCGTTTTTTTTCGGAATAATTCGTACCATTTGCAAGATCTGGCTGCCGCCTGATGCCGGTTGTAATTACTGGCGAAACATCGTACTCAGATGGTAAATGTTGTGAATTTGCTCTCCAACACCAGTGTGCTGTACTAGGAACGAATTGGCATGTTCTGTTTACGTGACAAACCTTACTAATTGGCTGTGTCGGATGGTGGCGGGTTCAACGACATTTACAGTTACGAGATTTAACCCAAAAAACCTGTAGTGAAACCTTGGATTGCGAGTAACTTGGTCTGCGAGTGTTTTGCAAACCGAGCAAAAATTTTAAATAAATTATAATTTGATAAACGAGCGATGTCTTGCAATACGAGCAGTACGTGTACAGTATACGCTTTGTCTGCCGAGCATCAAGTGATCACAACTGAGCCAATGGTTCTTTTCTCTCGCTGCGGGATTGTGGGTAATCATTTCCAATGCTCGGTCTCAGTCGGCGTGCCTCACTCGTATAGTCAACATCCGTGCGAGCGTATACTGTTTACTACAGTATAGTGTTGTGACCACGTGTGTGTGCGTAAAGCATTTTTTTTATTGTGTCCAAGTGTAGTGACTGTTCTTTAGTAACTGTACTGCAAGTGAAGGTCGTCCTACACAATAACCCTCCTCCTCTCCCTCATCTCCCTCACACCAGCCACGATTAAATGTAATTAATAAATTTGATTACTTTACATTAAATTTAAATAATAAAAATATAAAAATATATTTTGTATTAATCATTTTTATATGAATATGGTATTTTTGGGTTGTGGAACGAATCATCTGCGTTTCCCTTATTTCTTAGGGGGAAATTCGCTTTGATATACGAGTGCTTTGGATTACGAACACATTTCCGGAACGAATTATGCTCGCAATCCAAGGTTACACTGTATTATGGATGATATTGGTTAGGTGTTAAACTGACCATTTGTCCAGTTTGTTTCCGCTCAACGCGCCTGCATGGAACACTTCCACAAAATTCGCACAAATCAGGGCTGAGGAACCGCTCCTTTACCGAGGGGGCTCAGACACTCCTGTCAAGAGGCCTCTTGCAGTGTCTAGGCCGACTAACAGTCTAGGAGTACACACAAAAAGAAAAATGTACCGGCTAGGTTTTGGTCAACAAGTGCAGTACATTTGCCCGTTTTTCTACAGGGCTACTAGAACATCTGAGAAAAAAATTATTTATACCTCATCGAATTTCTCCTCCAGTATAAATATTCTGATTATGGAAAAAATATATATTCTGAAGTCCCGAAAAGCAATGCAACTTTAACCAAACATTTCATTTATATCGGACTAATTTAATGAGAGTTACAGTGACCCCCTCCAAACCCCCCCCTCCCTCTTTACAAGTGAGCCCTACACACGCACGCAGGGGACTTGCCAGAATTTGAGGGATGCAGCGTCCCACTGCCAGAAGCAGACAATGCCGTCGGCACCACTCGAGGCCAGCCAGCGCACGGAGCCCCGGCACTGCGGAGAGAACTACACAAACCAAGATAAAGATCACCCCTGTAGCCTACATACCCCGTTGGGTCCAGTGCTGCCACCGAGTAGCACCTATGAAGGCCAGCACGGCACATGAAGGGGTGGGCTGCCAGCACCCACACACCCCTGGTGTTGATGTCTGCACACCACACCGGGTACTCATTTAAGGCCGAGTCGACCTCGGGGTGGCCCAGGACCAGTTGGATAATCGTCACTGGTGTTGGCTGTGAGAGGAAATCGAACTCGGGTCGCCGGGTTTGTCACGCAGCGTTTATCGCTCTGCCACCACCATTACCTCCCCACCCCCCCTTCCCCCAACAGAACCGTACAAGCGCGCACACAAGCACCCACGAAGACCAACCTGCAGGGAAGTGATGGAGGCCGTGTGGCCCTGCAGCACGGCCATGGGGGCACAGGTGCGCAGACACCAGACGCGCACCACGTGGTCGCAGGTGCCGGCCGCCAGCAGCGAGTTCTCGTAGTTCACGGCCATGTCCGAGATCTCGGCCGCGTGGCCGCGCAGCGTGGCGAGAAGCCGCCCGTCCTCGGCTGACCACACCTTCACCAGGCAATCGTCGGAGCCCTGCAGCAGGCAGCATTGTGCACCGGCGATTATTCACATTGCCAACACACAACAGGAGGGGGGGGGCATATCCATGTCAAATGACATCAAGGGATTTGTAACATTCACTGCGAAGCAGAGACCGCGTATTCTACGGCTGATACACCCTCAGTATTTACTATTTAAAAAAAAAAAATTTTACCCGGGAAGACCCACTGAAGAATTGTAGCTTTTTCAGAAGCGACCTGGCCATCACAAATGATAGCTCAACGATTTGGCTAATCAGTGTGGAAATGTATTGCAGCAAAATTAAACGCATGTTTCTAAATGTGGGAGGGAAAAACCAGAGGACCCGGAGAAAAATCCACATGACCACGGGGAGAAAATGCAAACTCCAAATATACAGGCGTCAGGGTCGGGATCGAACCAACGACCTACTGTATACTAGGCGAGGTAGTAAATGGGGTGAATTCGCTACCGCTGGGTCGTTTCACTGTAAACGTTATTTTACTTAATTCAGTTCATATCCTCCGAAAGTTAAACACATTGCGTTGGCTTGAAACAAACTTTGCTGGGAAAAGGTTTCAAAACGGAATGTTGTCTCATCGCATAAGGAGAGACATCAGAACTGGAATATATAATTCATAGAAAGAAAGAATTAAAATTTAAAACAAATTAAGAAACATCGTGCATATGCACGGTTTATGCAATTCTTTCCAAAATTTGTTTTGTTTTTAGAAGCATTTAATTATCAGTACAAAAACCATTGCATAGCTTTGAGGTGAAAGCACGTTTGCATATATTGTAGTCCTTTTCGCTCCGATTTGTCTCTCAAAGTTATATTGGCTCACCGTTATGAGCATTATTGTGACCCCATGTTGCAGACGAACTGGATAGCCTTACTAATCCTCGACTGGACGAAAGCCTCTGTAACCAATGGGGCTGTTTGACCTTGAAATACTTCAGAATGATCAGTGTGGATTGCGCTCAAGTGTTGGTGGGGGAATAAGGGCCTCCCCAACCATCACCTTTGAAGGGCTGGCTCATGTTTGAATTGTCAATGATGTTAGTCATTCATAAGGCTACTTAAGTTTTCCATTCACATTGGGTAAAGGCAGTGGGAGAGACGCACAGATGCCCAGACACACAGACAGGCGCTTGCCACAAATTAACCACAACACCCTGCTAATTTTGTCGAAGGAGCATAAACCATCACGCATACTCCGGTCATCCTCGCAGCAGTGGCTTTTGGCTAGTCATCAAGACTGTCACCGCATCACGCATTTTCAGATGTGATTCTGTGGCCGTCTGGAACGCTCTTCCTTCCGATATTTGGAAGCCACTGGGAGCTATGCACTTTTAAATCTAGATTGAAACACTAATTTCTTTAGAACTTCTTTGTGTTTAGTTTCTTGTCCTTCCCCCACACCTCCAATTAGCACTGTTGGCGACGTACGAAATTCAACTTATGTACATACACATGGATAGAGAAAATTAATGAAAGATTTCAACCCGCGTTAGAAAGCGTTTATAGCAGTGGCGGGGACCGAGGGTCGGCGCATACCGTGAATATGCGCTGGCCGGTGCGGTCGAACGCGAGGCAGTAGACGGAGGAGAGGTGCCCCAGGATACGGCGGTGCATGCGCGCGTGCTGATACAACGTGATGGGCACGGCATGTCCATGCCGTATGCAGCCCGTGCGCTCGCGCGCAGACAGCAAGCTCACTGCACCGCCACACGGCACAAACACACGAGCTCACTGCACCGCCGTTGCACCACAATGCACGAAGCTCCCTGCACCATCGCACCACAACGCACGAAGTCACTGCACCGTTGCACCATGAATAATTTCATGCCCATCAACTCACCACACAAAAGTATACCAGATTCAAAAACTATGGAAATCCATGTTTAGAGCAATTGCAGCATAATACAAATCATTAGCAGCAATGTTGCAGGTACGTTTGGCCAATGAACTCCACCTCGACCCATTCCCACCAGTTCTGCCGAAGAGCAATTTGAAAGTTTTATGAATTGTAGTTTACATCAACACAACGTTGAAATCTCGAGCACTGAAACCGTAGCCGCAAGCCGCACTCTCTCACCAAGGTGGGGCGGATTACCCACGCTGCTCTGGGGCTGAGGGGGGCGGCCGCGGTGCAGGGCGGCCAACGCCGATCCACGCCACACCACGCGGCCGAGGTCTGCGTCAAGAGAGGGTCACCAACAACAACGGACGCCAGCGTCAACACAAGCCACACATATTCGAGCTGTAACTACCCACGCTTCAACTTCTGTACTTCACGTTATTTATTTTGCTTTGGTTATTTTGGCGACCCGGGTCGCTCTTGCAAGTAAGACTCCTATATTCACCTGGTTAAACAAAATCAACTTGAAAATTAAAAGTCTCGCACCATTTCAATAAACCCCGATGAATTGATAATTGCTTGAATTAAAGGATGAAATAAATAGCACCCGTGCGTCGCATATCATTTGCATGAATACCACACCCAGGAGGCTAATAAAGTACAGCCCCTTTGTCAATCCACTGCTGGATGAAGGTTCTCTCCACTCCCTCTCCATTGGAAGAGACAGACAGACAGTCACTATGGGAGCTATGTGGGGGCACCAAGGAGTAGATCCGAGAGGCCTAAGAGCTTGTTTCGAAATAACCCCAGGACATTGGAGGAATGTGGAGCGTAAATCGAGATAATGGCCCGGGAATACAAATGAGTGGTGTAAGAGGGGGAAGCAGGAAAGCAGACCCCATATGAGTCAGAAAAATGCCATGGAGAGGAACGACGCACTATCTGTAACACGCGTGTTAAAACGACGTTGCAGGCCAGCACCTTTGCGTGTGCGCAGCAGGGACTGGCGACCGGCCCCCAGCAGAGAGCAGACCCCCGGCACGCTGGGCGGGATCTCGCGGTCCAAGAGAGGGCCCAGCCGCTGCACCACAAGCAGCAGGTGCTCGGGCACCAGGTGAGTGTGGCTCAGCACCTGCAGAGGCAGCGCAACACACATACACACACAGTCAGCCAGCCAGACGCATCCAGCCACCAATGTTGGATGAGGGGGGACGGTGACGTGGCCCAACTTGTTGCGGAGGTTCCCGGTTCGAATCCGGCAGGCCGCCCTGGTTAATACCGCAGTCGTGTGTACAAACCGTCAAATACGACTACGCGCAGTCTGCTTCACAGTGGACGTTAAAAGTTCCACGATGTTGTTCGAATGCAGAAAGCTGTTGTGCACCAGCATTACGGTCCGAATCTGAAACATTTGCTACAAATTACTCTATTGGGATTATACAGCAATCGTCGCCTCTACCGTGCAACCACTGCAGATTGCCTACGAAACAGCACTTTAATATTTGTGCGATAATACCGGTGCGAATACTATAAGCACAATTATTTATTAATCACTTTCACCAACTTTCTTGGGAGTTTAACACGTAGGCTTTCGTGACCAATATTATTAATAAAGGTTTTTAGGTTAGATCACGTAAATGTGTGTCGAAACCCTCTACCACCCGACAAGGCCAATCAGTAATGGATTTGTCACGTAAACAATATGACAAACAGTGACTACTTCAGCCCACCGGTGTGTTGAAGAGTGAATCCACAACATTTACAATTAGAGTACGATGTTTTGCTGGTAATTACATCCGGCATCATCGGGGCGCTCTGCCAGAATAGCGAAGCCCTCCACCTGCTTCCGGTCCTAAATAGAGCAGCAGGATGCCGTAATTATTTAACCCAATCAAGTGCAGAAATCAGAGGTGGAGGTTATTGTAATTATATACTACGTTAGTAATCAGTAAATTAGTATGTTTCCTCCACCCCCTTCCAATCAACTCTACGCGTCTTTACAATTCATTCTATCCAGGAAAGGTTTGATAGATATGGTTCCAAGATGAGCAAGATAAACCACGACAGCTAGAGCAGGTCGGCGAGGGACGTCTTTCTGGCCTGTTGTGGATGGCAATGCTTTAAAGAGTAGGAAAAAAACTCTTGCATGCGCCAGAAATCAAAATAGGACCTTGTCCCAATCCCAGCAGCTAGCACCACCGCGTGCGTTTTAACTACCCAGGAAAACGATATCGTAACAACTTCTGAAGTCACTTAATTTTGACCTTTAACCACACTAGAAGGGCCATTGAATATGTTCAGGAAAAAAGTTGTCCTCGCATGTTAAACCAACATTTATCAAGACAAAAAAATTACGTGAAAACCCAAATTTAACAGGATATTATTTGGGTATTTCGGTAAAGTCACATAGATAGATTCAAAGAAAATAACAAAAAACTACGTTTCGATCGCAACACAAGTGGTCATCAAGATGAGGTCGCCATCAAGATGATGACGACCGGTAAAATCACGACGAAAGACCCAGAGAATATGAATTCCCGCAGTCACGAAAGCTTTAAGTCAAGATTTAACAGGATAACTTTCTTTTAGCAGAACTGAGAGACCATCAATTAGCTGCACTTGAGAAGCCGGTGTAATCAGAGGCAGCTGAACCCTTCATTTAAACCAGGGGCAGGGAACATGTTCCTTACCGAGGGTTGAGCTGTCACTGCAAGAGGACCTTGTGCAGTGGCAGAAGTGACCGAGCGTGCTAAAATTACAACCACAGGGTCCATCAGGATAAATATATTCCACCACTAGTACCCAATTAGTGTGGGCTAAGGTGCTCTCGCAGTGACGTATATTATTTGCAGGCCATTTCTAAGCGGGAATCCTACTATGGCCACGGGAAATTGAGTCACGGGCAGGCATCTGGCCCAGGGGACATCGGTTTCAACGCTGCCAATTTAAATCCACGCACAATCTCAGTGGTACTGCTTAAATTTACCGCAAACGTAAAGCCAGTCTCACAAGCCATTCTGGCAAGCGACCAAGGCTCCTGGTACCTCAGGAATTGATGCAAAATAATATTGGAAAAAAATGCGGCCGAACGGCAATATTCCACACAAACACCTGACGTTGGACCCCATCACTGAACCAGCTGCTGCCGGACCTTCCAAAAACAACGAAGAAAGCAACTCAAATAGAATCTGCACGACCCACCACAACGCCAGACGCGGTCACACAAACTTCACAAGCGGAACGTCAAAGGAAGCCAGAAATGCAACTGCTGAGGCCGTGTGACAAAACGCAACCAGCGCAACGTGAACCCAAGCGCATTGCGAACCATAGAGCGAACTGCGAGCAGCAGAATCGAAGTTCACAAAGTCAATGGAGGGCAAAGCAGAATAAGCAAGCAATTCAACCTCAACCGAAGGCACCGCGTGGATTTAAACTTGGACATAAACTTGGACATACAGGCCTTTAAGTTGCTATTCACTCACCCAATCACAAGAAGTTGGTGCTGGCTCAAAGCTCTGATAAGTGTTAGCATGCCCCCCCCCCCTCAAGCCACCCGGCCAATTTTTACCCCATCCAGGTGCAGGGGGTTCAACATGAACGTCTCCAGCCTCCCTGCACTGTTTGTTACTGTGCGAGCGGATCGCCGACCCAAATAGGTGACGATGCGCCTTCCGTGAACACAACACCTCTGCTGAAAATACTTTCTCTGACACGAGGTCAAAGTACTTTGTGGCTACACCGTAGTATGCCGCCACGTACATTACACACAAAGTCCTTGCCACAAACGAACCACAATACCTTGCTGAGCTCGTCAAAGAGAATATACCATCACGCAAATTCCGGTCATCCTCACAGCAGTGGCTTTTGGCTGGCCACCTATCAAAGACGGTAACCGCATTGCGCGCTTTCGGATACGCTTCTGCGGCCATCTGGATTGCGCTTCCGGTATTAGGAAGCAACTGGAGCTATGCACTTTTAAAGCTAGATTGAAAACTCATTTATTTAAAACTGCTTTTTGTGTTTAGTTGGTCGTCCTTCCCGCACACCTTTGATTAGCACGGGCGGCTACATACGGTGTAAAAAAAAGTTCAACATACATGCTGCCACTGGTGTTTACATACTTGTATACACCACGGCACGTGTGCAACAAACAAAACACCTTTACTATCCATTATACTGTGTTGGATTAACAGTGCTTATGAACAATTCTCACACACCAGTTTAATTATTAGCTGCTCCTCACATCGACTCATTTCCCCACGTGATTGGTAACACTTGGGCAAGTAAACCCACGTCACATTCTATGTATTCACCCTTATTCTTTATAAAAGCATTGTATGGTTATATTGCGTTGACAATGATGCACAAATCACAAAAAAGTTAGCTTTCGTCAATAACACTGCCTTGAAAGGAAAAGAATATAACAGGCAACGTTTTAGGCGATGGCCCTATTTTAGAGCATTATGAAGGCCATTTTCCCAAAATGTCACTTACTTCCATAGAAAAGCATTACATTTTAAAGAATAATTTAGATACGTTTCGACTTGTTCGTGTTTTTTTTTTGTTAAAACCAGGCCACAACTTTCTCCTCCCCCTATTATCATCCCAGAAAATTGAGATGGAATTATTGTAGATATATTTGAATTTATGTAGCATGTAATAACACTGTTGTCACCTCAATACGCTGTAAAGGCCAAGTATGCAAACACACAATACAACTACAGAATAATCTTAATAGAAAGAACAGTTGGACAGTTCAGCATTGTTGAGGTAAAAATAGCCGATTAAAATTATGACTGCGATCTGTGCGTGCACAAGTATTTTACGTGATGCACAGCGTTAATTGCTTGGCCCGTCACGTAGGACTTTAACGATCAGAGCGCATGCAGTGTGGAACGAGTACATTTTTATTTTGAGTGTGGCGTATGTATGTGTTTTTAACTTCTTTTGCAACGTACGTAGCCTGCCGTGCTAATCGGAAGAAATTCGTTTTCAATCTAGAACATCGTTAAACTAAACCTAGCGTGGTGGATCTCGAGGACGGGAGTTTGGAAAACCGTGTACACCAACCCGATAGGGTCCCACCGATTCAATTCAGGGCCAAAATTAAAATGACGAATGCATCGTTTACACCCCTAATCAGACACGTTTTAATATAATACGTACAATATTACAATGTAAATGTTCAGCCCTTTGTGGGGGTAGCACGACCACACGTTGTCTGCTGCGTCAGCGATGCAAGCGGAATTTGGTCAATATTTCCATTAACATACAACGATTAATGCCAATTAATCCAGGAAATCCCCAAGGAGTTAAGACTTTCTTTTCAGAGAGTTTATATACTAAGATGTTTGGGCCAGTGGCAACTGCCACCTCACCTTCACCGAGTCTTACGTCAGCTGGCTAGCCACAGCGGGTCACCCATTCAAGTACTAATCGGGCTCAACGAAGCTTAACTTCCAGGTCCTCAGGAGATTGGGCATATTTATAGTGATGTTGTCATACGATGGAACAAAGATGACTTTTTTATTTTATCAGGCCCACTAAGCTATATAGCTCTTTTTCAGAGTCGACTTGGCCACAAATGATAGCTCAACCGAGTGGCTTATCACGTGGAATCTTAAGGCAGCCAAATATACTCTAAACGTATGTCGATTCTAAATGTGGAGGGGGAAACCAGAAACCTCCATGCGACCAGAGAGACATGAAAACTCCAAATATACAGGTGTAAGGGTCGCGATCGAACCCATGACCTCCTGTATACCAGGCGAGGTAGTCATCTCCTAGCAACCGTGGCACCAAAATCAACAATGGATAGTCCCCATGTCTTGGTTAGCCGACCCTTAGCATTGGCATTTAGCACCTGAACATATTTCTCTACACAAGACTAGAAAGGAACGGGCTGCAGTGCAAACAAATGCAATGTAACGTTTCAATAGGCTTTTTGTTCATAAAGTTAAACAGACTTAGTGTGGCCAACTTACGTAAACCGTTCTTGTTAAAACCAAGTTATATTGCAAAGCCTTGTAAAAAGCTTGCACAAGATAACACGAACCTCATATTATCATACTGCACGAGGGTTTATCTTCATTAATGTATAAACAAAACGGCTTAGTTACAGTTTAAATTTTGGCTGTTGTCAAGAAAAAGGTCTCGGTGTTATACATCAAAAACACTTTAATTTGACAAAAAAAATGTTAATATTACATTTGTCCACTATAAAAAAACACGTTTTAACCACCAAATCCTTTGTAGAGTGGCGATCACCCCACTCCAGGTGAGTGGGGTGATCGCCACTCGTCCAGGGGAGGCAAATTACTTGGTTCACCAACATGAAGATTGTATGTGCATGTTTATTTAGCAATGAGGCTTAAGAGAGGAATTGCTAAGCCCTATGAACGAAACCAATCAACAATCCACCAGCTGCAATGTTATGGAGGGTGGGCCCACATTTATGAAAATCTTGTTTTTTGTTATATTCTAGACGTAAGCACACACACGATTGTGTTTGTGCCAAGTCAGGTCCCTTGGCACTTCTAGAAGAGCATTAGAATTTACACAAATTGGTCAGGTTTCACCTTTGTTTTATATATTTACACACAAAACAAAGATCCCACCCTCCCTGTGTAGCCTTAACAGACTGTTGGGGCAAGTCCTGTTCGCGAATAGCGCCTACGAAGGCCGGCACGGCACACGAGGGGGTGGCGGGGTGGACAGCACCACGCCCGGCCGCCTTTGTCTCCCCCTTAGTGGCGATGTTTACTACACACCGCACCAGGTACTCATTTGAGGCCGAGTCGACCTAGGGGTGGTCCAGAAACGGTTCGGATAATCGTTACCGATGTTGGCCGTGAGCGGGAATCGAACTCGGGTCGACGAGTTTCTGAGTGCGGCGTTGGTGTGCAACGAGGTAGTAATGACACTTAACGAGGTATGAGTTGGTGTGTAACGAGGTGTGAGTTGGTGTGTAACGAGGTAGTCAGGACACTGACGAAGTGTGAGTTGGTGTGTAACGAGGTAGTAAGGCCACTGACGAGGTGTGAGTTGGTGTGTAACGAGGTAGTCAGAACACTGACGAGGTGTGAGTTGGTGTGTAACGAGGTAGTAATGACACTGACGAGGTGTGAGTTGGTGTGTAACGAGGTATTCAGAACACTGACGAGGTGTGAGTTGGTGTGTAACGAGGTAGTAATGACACTTAACGAGGTGTGAGTTGGTGTGTAACGAGGTAGTAATGACACTGACGAGGTGTGAGTTGGTGTGTAACGAGGTAGTAATGACACTGACGAGGTGTGAGTTGGTGTGTAACGAGGTAGTCAGGACACTGACGAGGTGTGAGTTGGTGTGTAACGAGGTAGTAATGACACTTAACGAGGTGCGAGTTGGTGTGTAACGAGGTAGTAATGACACTGACGAGGTGTGAGTTGGTGTGTAACGAGGTAGTAATGACACTGACGAGGTGTGAGTTGGTGTGTAACGAGGTAGTAATGACACTTAACGAGGTGAGTTGATGTGTAACGAGGCAGTCAGGGCAAACGAGGTGTGAGTTGGTGTGTAACGAGGTAGTAAGGCCACTGACCAGGTGTGAGTTGGTGTGTAACGAGGTGTAATAGTACGGTGCGAAAGAAGTTAAAAGTACATAAGTTACGGGTCCTTGGACAAACTACACAAGTCGTCGGATTTTGTTTGTTTGCCAAATGTCATCTCTCGAACGTCACTCGAATTTACCTCGACAAACAAACATATAGAATAGCCGTATAGGGTTAACATTTAAACAGTACTGTAACACTACAGTACCTAAAACAAGACTGCACTAAAACCTGTACTTTATATTTATTTACAAAACCCTTAACTTGCCAAAAAAGGTTCGACTAAAAATATCGTTATCTTTTAGAGTTATGGCGAGTCTTGCCAATTGTAATTTTAGACTTTTTAAACATTTTATTTCCACACATTTTTTTACACTGTTTAAAATCGCACTATATATTGCTCGTTATAATTGGAAAGCGGCTATAGCCGAGGCGTTTAGTGGTTATTTTTCACGATTTTAGCCCCGTTGGGTGGGTAACATCAGCGAGTAAACTCCGTTAATATCGCGCGTAGAAAGATGAGTTTTATATTTTTAAAAAAATGTTTTTTTTACCTCAAACGGGGCAGGCAATTTAAACTCGACACGGCGTGTATACTGTATAACACACAGCTCCTTTCAGACGCCGGGCTAACATCAGAATCGGCATCGAAACTTACGACAAAACATGCACCGTACACTTTAGACATCGTATTTGCTTCTTGCTTCGCATGAGGTGGGAAATTCTTTATTTTAAATAAAGTGCATTTGTGAGGGGGGGGGGGTGGGGGAGTGGGGAAATTTGGGTTTTCTGGTTCGCCGCGCCAAAATCGCACGGCATTATATTTTTTGTATTCCTGTACGTTTCGCTACCGCCTTGAAGCAAGCGCAAACGTTTCGTCGAGGCGGCTTGCCCTGTCCCTACAAAACCTTTCATTTTTTTTAGTATTCTTTTTTTTATACATGCAAGCGTGCGGCTTTACGTTCTTCATGGGGAGCAGCACAGCCCACCACCGCCCCGCGTAATGTCCGCGGCGGGCCGACCCACCGCGAAATGAGCGCTGCGCAACGGCCGCTCGCGCCCCCTCGACAACAGCCACGCGAGAGAGAGGGGGGAGGGGCGCGCGACGCGGTCCAATCAGCGCTCGCCTACCGCGGCAGACGACGTCAACGACGCCGCCCGCCGCCGCTACGTAACGCGCCCGCGCCATTGGGGCTGCAGCAACCCCCCCCCCGCCACCACCCGCGGTGGGCGGGGCCAACCGGCGCGCGTGAAGTCACGGGAGGGCGTAGTTTATGCAAATTAAGACAGCCGTCTTCGCGCGGCCGCGCCCCTTTTCTTTATTTATTTATTTCGTCTCGCTCCCGGGGGCTCGATTTGTTTATTTTTTTACTTCTTACTCCCCGCCTCCTCCTCTCTCACCCACCCACCACCCCGGGTTGAAAAGAAACGTGATTTTTTATTAATTTTTTTGGGGGGGGGGCTTTCGGGCAAATTTCTCGACGGCATTTCGTCGGAGGGAACTTCCCCCGTCGATTGGCGTCGAGTTGAGATTTTGTTTGGGTGGGCGAGCACCCTCGGTGTATTTTTGCGAGAGTCGCGGGGGGGCCCCCCGGGCCCCCCCCCCCCCCGGCACGCTGCCGTGTGTAAAAACGTGGGGGAAAAAAAAGGGCCGAGAAATTTTGTGCGGGAGATTTGAGTTGGGCGAGTGGCCGGCGTCCGCTCTCTCACTCTCACCATCTCGGCGAAGCTGCGCTCGTGCTCCGCGCCCCTCCAGTCCACGCGCCTCGGCAGCAGCTGCCACGAACGGCGCACACAACAACAAAACACACGGCGGGGGGAATCGTCAAAACTCTCGCCATCCTCCTCCCTCACGGCGGCGGGGACACTCTTCGTCGTCAGCGTTTGTCGAACCCGCCGATTAATTAGCGAGATTTAAATGCCGACGGCGAGGAGGTTTTTTTTTTGTTACCTTGTGTTGTTCGATTTCTCGCACAAGGACCTGCGAGAGGCGGATAGGGGTGGGGGAAACAGGGAGGACACGGCAGGGTCAGTCATCGCGGCAGCGCCGCCTGGCTCTTACAAAGCAAAAACCAATCGCTTAAATCCCAACAACTCAACCCTTTCGCCGAACGATTAGTAGGAAAAACAAGCGCCCCCGACGATTTTACCTCGGCCGCCTCCCGACATGGCCCCGCGGACAGGAACCTCGCGATTAGGAAGAACAACTCTGCGAATGGAGAAAGGGGGGCGAACAGCGATGGAGGTGGTAAAAAGGCGGGTTGAATCGAACGACGACACGAACGACGTGAGGCCCCCGCTGTCCTTTCTCTCCGCGCCTTAGCGCCCCCTCCTCCCGCTCCCTCCGCGCCCGGCGCTTACCCGACTCAAGGCGGGAGACGCCGCCGCCGCCGTGGCTCGGCCGTGCGGCCATGGCTCCTCCGCCGCTTGAGGCCGCCCCTGCTCGGCTCAGCCTCCCTCTTTATTTATTTAATTCCTCTCGCGCTCCTCGCGCGCTCGGTGGTTGGGGAGGGGGCGGGGCTTCGACCGGAGCGGGCGTGGTTTATAGCAGGGGCGCTGCCTAATATGGGCAGGAGCTGGGCGTGGTTTCACGGCGTGTTGGGGAAAGTAGGCGTGGCCTAAGTGAATGCGGGGAAGGGGGGTTTCGGCGTCGATTGGCTTTTGCGGTTGTGGGCGGAGCCTGATGACTAGAGGGCGGGGCTTACGGGCCAATTGGAGAATGGGGGTTGTGGAGGCGGGGATTACTCCGATAGGGGGCGGGACTTGACGTTAGCAGGCGGGGCTTGTTTGCTGTTGGATTTATACGTCGTGGCGAAGCTTTGCCCTGGTGGGCGGGGCCCGCTCTACAGGGGGCGGGGTTTAAACGCCGGGAGGGCGGGGCTTACTAGGCTATCCGTTTTTAGCTTGAAGCAAAAAAACACAAAAAACCGCATCACCGCCTTTCCCCCGTGTTGCGGCGATGGGCGGGCGCCACCGTATGCGTCCGCCGCGCGGAAAAAGTTCCCCACGCGGCAACCCCCAGGGGGGGTGCCGAGGTAAAAGGAGAGCGCGCGTGGCCGGCACCGCTACACCTGTACACACAGGTGAGCCGAATCGGCAGTCACATTGTAAAGCGGTGAGGTTGATTCTGTTTGTATCTGCGACTAATCTGCGTGCTTTTTGTTTCATCGGGGGGGGGGGGGGAGAGAAAAAAATTAGCGTTGTCAGCGACCGCAAAGGTGCTCGCGCTAATTTAAGTGTTACGATTACCGTCGTTATTAATCCCCGTTCAATTGTGTCTGAGCGTTAATTGTTGGTTGCGGATGCAGACCGCGCGGGCAGGGAGGGGGCGGGGAGGTGGTGATGCGGCACCCCTCCCGTGCCCCCGCCCCCCTCGGCGCGGAGGGATACGCCTACGTGACGTCACGAGGCATGGCGGACCGCGGCAGCAGCGTCAACTCGGGGAATTTAAAGTCGCTTCACTGTCGCCTGGCTCCGTTTTAAATGTCGATTTATCATAAGTCCGCCTCGTTACCGCCCTTCGTTGCATTTATATACTTTGGTGGCTATCTCGTTCGGCGCGGCGTCACGGGAAGATCCGGGAGAATTAACAACCTCGCCGAGCGCCGGTGAGTGAGACGTGTTGAGTGCAGATTGGCTTAATTTTAATTATAAAAAGAACTCTGTTGGTTATTGCTGGATACCATTTACTTTGACGTACCATTCTAAAGTGAACGTGCCCCGTTAAATGTACTGCTACAGCCCGTTTGACAAACCGCTGCCTGGATGACTGCCGTGTCGATCATCGGGGGGGGGGTGTCGTTTTGCTATACAGTACCGGTACTTTAGCGACCCTGACCAGTGCGGTTCGGTGATTGTGAGGCCGTGGGCAGAACCGGCTCATTCATCTCTTGCCACTGACGTTAGCCGTGGCCCCGGGAGTAAGAGAACTCTTGGGGTGGGGGGGGGGTTGCCGCCTTCATACAGAAGCGCAGCGCGCTAACCACTTGACCCACCGCTCCTAGAAGTGTGGTGCTGTGGGGAATTCAACAGTGGGTGAGGATTCTTCCCGTGGATGTTCCTGCGTTCTGCTCGCCGTGAGAATGTGGAATTTCCAGCACGGGGAGATGAGCGGCCAGCTAGTTTCGAGAGGAACACCTGCTGGAGTTTGGCTTTCGTGAGATTTTTTTTAGAGAGGTTGAGCTCAGTTGTCAACGTCACCCACACCACACAACTGGGTTTAGAGTTACTCATACGCGCACTTTATACCAAAGTCAAATTTATTTCGTCCACAAATGAACACCGGGGCAGTCTGTGTGTGTGTGTATCTCACAGTTTACAGCCCCGAGCCAGTTGGTGGGAATTCTGCATTCCCATGGTGGGGGCGAGTCGGAACATAGGAATACCACTTCTGCCTTCACCAAGTGTGGTACTCGTCCTGTAGACTTTTACAGGGTATGTTCACTGACCAGCTTGATGAAGTGCACATTTCTTCACCGGACGACGGCTTCGGGAGACCTTCATTCCAGCAGTGGATTGATCATGGCTGATGGCAATCATTTAATCTTAATATAACGCATTTCACAATACAATCGGAAGTGTGCTTTTGTATCGTACAAAAGTCTCTTGTTATTTCGCTCAATGTTTATTTCAGCAAAATAGGTCAAATTTTATTTTAATATATTTAGTGGAATAATGTGTCCTACTTCGCAGTGTCTTTTTGGGGCTTGCTAAGCTCTGTGTGCCAGGCTGACTTAGAGACCCGTGGCTGGTGAGTTTGCCCTAGCAGTGTTATATTGATGCCTCACCGCTACCAGGTGTGATGGTGCCCAGCTGTGGTTCCGTCTAGTGGCATAGCTATCACGTGTGTAGGTGTTGCATCTGCAATGGGGCCCAGACCCCCGGGTTATGAAGAGGAGGTGGGAAATGGAGCCACGTTGCAGGGAGCCACGTTGCATTCCATGACAACGACGCAACGCCACTGGTTCATTCATTCTTCTCGCCACTCGGGTTTTCAGATTCAAGTCGTGGCTGTGGCCGAGTGATTGCGTGCAAACGCATACCGGGAAACGATTCTAGGAGCGTCTGCAGGGACGGAAGTTTCTATGAAAGTTTTAAGAGCCGGTGGCTTTTTGTGTGCCGCCAACACCTTTAACCGCACGTTCAGGTGAATGGTATGCAGGCGGTGCTGTTGAGTGTCGCGCATTGCGCGCGTGTGCGACGTGAGCAATTACGCCCCCTCGCACGACAAAGGACCGGACGGAGTCTTGCACACATTCACGCACGAACGCACCGCACGTACCTCGCTTGCCCACACAATGTATGTACGTGCGTTAGCGCTCCCAAGGAGTTCAACGCCTTTTTTGACGGAAACGTTAAGCGAGGGGAATTGTGCGAGTACGTGGTGTACGTACGTTGAACTTCTTTCACACCGTACGTAGCCAATCGTGCCAATCGGAGGTGCGGGGTGAAGGACAACAAACCACACGCAAGAAGCAGTTCTAGAGAAATTCGTTTTTAATCTTGATTTAAAAGTGCATAGCTCCGGTAGCTTCCTAAGGACGCAAAAAGCTCTCGCTTACCATTTAAAACTTGTTCTTTGTGCCATCGCACTACACTATGGACCCGGCGAACTGGGTTTGATTCGGCCACGGCCAACATCAGTGGTGAGGGATATCCTAACCGGTCCTGGACACCACCACCCCTCCTTCACAAACCCACTCCGACCGGTGTGGTGAAGTTTCGTCAAACGAACCCTCACGACCAACACGGCATGGAGAGGCCTTCATCCCACAGTTGATTGGCATATGGCTGTAAATGAATTATATGTAATTATTTCTCGAACTTAAATCTGAACATTTGTTATTGTGCACTCTTAAGAGTCTAGTTCATCACCAGTGCTAACAAACTTTGGTTTATGGCTCTATTACTCATCACACATTGGCATTCCCCGTGCTCGACAACTCTGTGACGCATTTATATCTCTGCTACGTGGTCGTTGAAAGTTAAAGGGTTGCGCAACAAAGTGCACAGGACCAGATTTAGGCTGTCAGCTGTTTACACTAAACAGTTTGGAGAAGAATTGGGTAATCTCTTATTGGTTCTGTTCCCCCTGCACAAGGACTGTATGGCTTTGGCTTTATTGCTGTGCTCAGAGGTGTAGATTGGCCAAGCTGTTGAGCCTTGATTGCTGGTGTAAGCGTGGTTTGGAACTGCTTCAACAGACAAAGTTATAGGCTGACCCAGGTGGAGCAAGCCGGCCTACCTGCACTCCACTCTTCGTGGGTCCACGCTGGGTCCTTGAGAACGTATAGACCAGTGATTCTTAATCTGGGGTGCACGCAGCCCCTAGGAGTGCGTGATGCCCTTTCTGGAGGTGCAAGACCATGGCCAGATGTTTTTAGAAGGTAACTCATAGAAACGAATATTTAGCACGGGCACATAAGTACAACTACTTTGTTTGATCAAACCGATGTATTTATGAACGTTATAATTTAAAAAAATACAATTGAGAACCAAAGGGGTGCAGGGCTGCGGTAAAGGTTAAGAACCATTGGTGTAGATCTTCGGTAACCGGGTGGCTCTGTGTTCAGAGCGTTGAGCTGGCCCCGCTCAGATCTTGGGTGCGAATCCAGGCAGCCTGCCTCTGGTTAAATCTAGATTGAAAACTCGTTTCGTTAGGACTGCCTCTTTTGCACCTCCGATTGGCACGGTTGGCTACGTACGGTGCAAAATAAGTTCTACGTGCAGATAAAACAGGTTCTCAACGCAAGTTAATTTATGGTCTCAACTGGTAACCGATGACTGCACGTAAAAAAAAAAAGCCCATCACTTTTAATATAGTTCTGCACTTAATTTGAGAGTTATAGCTTGGAGAATTACCAATGTTAATTTGACTCATGCAATAAACATTACTCTCAAGTCAGTAGCAGGGCCGATGGGAAAATGCTGCCCCTTACTTTGGAACAGAGGGCACTTGAAGGGATCTTGGAAGTAGCTCTGTGATATCGCTTCCGTGGGCCGTAGTCAAGCATAAAGCATTGCACTGCTCTGCGAGAGATCAGTCAGAATGATTTAATATTTCCCTTTAAATTACAATCGTGGACATCGAGATAATAATTCATATTGAATGGGAAGAAAAATAAGTGGACTTGGGCAGGACGCATCGCTAGATGATGATGGGCCAGTGGTTTGAGAGATGTGGCAGAGTGGCAGCCAGAGGAGGAAAATGCCCAAGAGGGATACCACCTTAGAGAAGAGATGGAGCAATGAGATTAACTTGTGTGGAAGCTTTATGCATCACGGTACCATGGCGAGTGATGAGACATGGGGAAGTCTTCATCCTAAAAAAAAAAAATCCAGGTGAGTCCCACTGAGCTATATAGCTCTTTTTTAGAAGCAACCTGGCCACAAATAATAGCTCAACGAGGTGGCTTTTCATGTGGAAATGTATAGCAGCCAAATCATCTAAACGCGTGTTAAATAATAAAGGTGGAGGGAAAAACATGAGTACCCCGGGAAAGATACACGCGACTACGGGGAGAGAGACACCGCAAACTCCAAATATACAGGCATCAGGGTTGGGATTGAACCCATGACCTGTATACTAGGCGAGGTAGTTAAAATCTCGCCACCATGGAGTACAACAGTGGGTAGAGCATGGCTGATGATGTACTTGTTCGTTACACATTATTGGCAGTGTATAATTGTGATTAATTTTGTAATGCTATAATTACATGCTGTTTTTCACTCAATAACGCAAGTTAAACCTGAATCGTTATTTTCTGTGTCCTGTATTTACAGCTCTGACGGACATCCCATTTTCACGAAGCCAAAAATGTCGTGGATACGAGAGGATGCCCCCAATTTCTTTCAGAAATTCTGTGCCAATATCTTGAAGGTAAATGTTTACATTTAAAATTGCATTTAACACTCACTAACTACAAACTATTTTTATTTTACCAGGTAAGGGCCACTGAGCTATTTTCAGACACGACTTGACCACAAATGATGATAGCTCAACGAAGTGGCTTACCTTATGGAAATTTACAGGAGCCAAATAGTTCTAAATAGCATCCGACTAATCATGTAACAAGGATACATTATACTGGTAGGAACCTCCTGGTTACACCAGCCCACAGGGGATTATTGTGTCAATCCGTCGTGCATCCAAAAATGGGAGGGGTGGGGCTGGGTGGGGAGGGGCTGAGAGGGGAGGGAGGGGCTGAGAGGGGAGGGAGGGGCTAGGTGGGGAGGGAGGGGCTAGGTGGGGAGGGAGGGGCTGGGTTGGGAGTGTGGGGAGGGGCTGGGTGGGGAGGGGCTGGGTGGGGAGGGTGGGGGTGGGAGGGGTGGGGCTGGGTGGGGAGGGGCTGGTCACCCCGTGGTGCCCTTATAAAACTCAACATTTAACCTACTCACGCCGGCTTGTGCCCACCCTCACAGTCGAGCATATTTGCGGAATACACCATGCCGCCGTTGACCCTGGCCATTGATCGAGCAACCCAACGTTCCTACCAGCTCCCTCTACAGGAATGTGTTTGTGTAAACTAGAAAAAAGTAATGTTGTGATAGAGTAACAAATTATAACTTTAAAAAATATATCAAGATTCTGATTGATCTGTGATATCCACAGAAGCTACCGATATCACAGATGTACTTATTGAGATCCTTTCAAGTGATCTTTATTACGGATAAGGGCAGCACTTTCCCCTCTGTCCTGCCACTGAGAGTAGTAACGCACACTTTAAACAATGAATGAAGGATGTGGCTCGGTTGCTCAAATGTCAGACCACTTACCTGGCACCGCTGAGAGCCTGGGTTCGAATCCAGGTAGTGTAGTGAGTTGATGGTCTCAGGCCGATCACCGCTTGACTGCACAACATTTAACTTGGCTCTTCACTTAATTGGATGAATTTCCAGCTCGTAATGACTCAATTAAAGGGATCTTCAAAGGTAGCTCTATGATATACGCTTCCATGGGCCAATTTCTAACGTGTTGGGTTTGTGCCGCTCTGCGAGATATCCGAACAAATTATTCGTCTAATATCGTGGGATAACATTGGGGGGGGGAAAGGCAAAACAATATTTAAAACAAACTGACGGGCGAAGCCGTAGGATAGGCATGACCCTGACGACAATGATACGATGCCTTCCCCCGGTGTTTTGTGGCAGGCAGGGCCGATGCCCAAGCACATTGCCTTCATCATGGACGGGAACCGGCGGTTTGCGAGGAAGCAGCATGTGGAGAGGCAGGAGGGACACACGCAAGGCTTCGACAAGCTGGCACAGGTACGAACGTTTTGAATGGGGAGCGCGACAGCAGCACGTGTGGCCTACCCCTTCTTCAAATGATCTCACGTGGTCTCCAACGTGCACTGTAAAGTAGACGACAATCCTGCTCTGAAAATTCAGCGGGATTCAGTTTATTATTTTGGTATAGCCCTGTGAGCGATTCGGCTTTTGAATCGGGTGCAACCGCAACAAACAAAAAAAACAAAAACATCCAACCCCTGCAACAAACATGCCAATGTACGTATATTGAATTTCTTTTCCACCGTACGTAGCCAACTGTGCTAATCGGAGCATGCCGGGGAAGGACAACAAACTCAACACAAAAAGTAGTGCGACAGAATTTTTTTTATCTATTTTGAAAAGTGCATAGCTCCAGTGGCTTCCTAATATCGGAAGGAAAGAGCATTCCAGACGGCCGCAGAAGCTCGTCTGAAATCGCGCATGCGCGATGCGGTGACTTGTCTTTGTTCGACGGACGGCCAAAAGCCGCCGCCGCCGCTGCTGCTGCGAGGATGACCGGAGTTTACGTCGACGGTTTACGCTCCTTGACGAAGAACTGCCCTGCCGCTCGGCCGCGTCCCCCCCCCGCGCTGCGCCAACAGACACTGCGCTGGTGCCTGGACATGGACGTGCGCGAGGTCACCGTCTACGCCTTCAGCATCGAGAACTTCAAGCGTTCGCAGGAGGAGGTGGACGGACTCATGGAGCTCGCCCGCCAGAAGTTTGCGCGGCTCCTGCAGGAGAAGTGAGGGCCTACCCACACCCCGCGTTGCTTAGGATAGAACAGTTTTATTCTGATATTTTTTTTTGGTGAGGCCACATAATGGACTGACCAAATGTGTGCCCCTTAACGCCCTCCACCAACCACCACGACGTAAGCGATTTAATTTGTCACGTGTACGAGCGTTTTAACGCGTACAATTATTCTTGTTTCAGCTCACCACTTGGTTGAAGAACAATTCTCAGTTTGCAAAAATGTGGCTGTGAGAATCACTCTTCGGCTTACTGGTGAGCTGAAATGGCAATAATTGGACGGATTTAACACTTGTACCCGGCGTTGTATGTGAATGTGAACGCGTGTGTGTATGGGGAGTGATAGTGTAGCAATTAGCGCTCTACGCCATGAACCTGGCAACCCGAGTTCGATTCCTACTCACGGCCAACACCAGTGACAATTATCTGAACTGGTCCTGAGCTTCTTCTAGGTCGACTCGGCCTCACATGAGTAGCGAGTGCAGTGTGTAAACCTCGCCACCGGGGAGGCAAAGGGGGTCAGGCGTGGTGCTGGCCACCCACTTCCTCCTGTGCCATTCCGGCTTTCATAGGTGCTCGCTAACAGCACTTGCCCCAACTTTCTGTTAAGGCTATACAGGGTTTTTTTTGTCGTGTGTGTGCGTGTGCCCGCCTGTGGTTGTGCCCGCAAAGGGAGAAGCTGGACAGGTACGGCGTGCGTATCCGCGTGCCGGGCGACCTCGCGTTGCTGCCGCAGGACATTCAGGAGCTCATCGCCAAAGCCGTGACGTCCACCAGCCATAATGACAAGTATTATTTTCACCTCCTTTTTTTTCTTGTCGTTGTGACTCGTATCCCGTTTTGCACACTGCTGACAGATCACAAGACGAAGCATCCACTCGGATCTCTTGCAGAGCAGTGCAGCCTGCCCTGTTCGAAAATTGCCCTCGGAAGCGGATGCTGCTGAGCTACCTCTGAGGTCACTTCATGTGTGAACTGTGGTCCGCACACAGTGGAGGGCAGCGCTTCTATATGATGAAAGAGGGTAGATTCGACAGCATTTGAAAGTCATATGTTTACCGAATTACATTCGGACCATGATTTTAATTCTCAAGTGCAGAACCATTTAAAAATGTGATAGTTTTTTTTTTCAATTGGAACCCGCACTATCGACTTGCTACACTTGAGAACGTCGTTCAATCAGTTAGCTGCCTGGGTTTGAACCGAGAATCTTTGTGATGCCAGCTCAGCGCTTCTGACCCCTGAGTCAGCCGCCCATCCACCTCACAACAGGTAATAAGAATGATTTAATGTCCCTTATTTACCCAATGATAATCTTAAAAGGTCCTGCCCTAATTCCCTCCGCTCTTTGAATTAACAATGCCCACTGCCGCAGCAATCATTCCAGCAATGCTACGCGTACAAGGTAGTATGATCATGTTCGTAATTATATGAACAATGGTTGGTGTTGCAGTGGTTAGCATGCTGCGTGCGCTATGAACCCCAGGAACCCGCACTGACCAGCATGGTGATGTGTTGGTCATAAATCCCCATGACTGATGTGGCATGAAGAGACCTTCATCCAAGTGGCCATATATATGTTTTTGCAGAACAGATATTTTACTGGCCCATCGGAGTGAGGTGACCAAATATTTACCGGTACCATTTTCTCCGTGACCCGAAGGTGGATTATGTGGTAATGTTTTCACGTGTGTGTTATCACATGATGCATTACCTTCTGGTCATTTAAACAAATTGGTACCGCTAATGAATAATCAATTTTAAAACGAATTCATTTACAGCCCATTATTAATCAAAATAGGGTGACACGACCATGCCGTGCCAAAGTAACATCTGGAAACAATTCCCGGAACCGAAATCAAGCACACGGTCACGAAGAACTTTCTCGAGTGTTGAGGATGTTGCTGACTCGACCTGGTTCGTTGGGGTTTCGGGACGAATGTCTGCGCGGGGGCGCCGATGGGTGGTGGATGGGTGGCCCGTTGACCTAACCTGCGTTGGCGCGCTGTTGCCCAGGTGCTTCCTGAACGTGTGCTTTGCGTACACGTCGCGCCACGAGATCACCAACGCCGTGCGCGAGATGGCCTGGGGTGTGGAGCAGGGGTTGCTGCAACCCAGGTGAGGCCCATAGTCTCAACCGTATGTATATGTACGTACGTAGATCTTCTTTCGCACCGTGCATAGCCAACCGTGCTAATCGGAGATTTCCCAGTAATGCCGGGAAGCTCGTGACGCCTTTACCACCACCAGTACAGCCACAGCTCAAGCCATTTGGCTTGTTTCTGCACTGGTGTAAGTAGCAAACCAATTAGCGCGGTTGGCTACGTATGGTGCAAAAGAAACTCAACGTACATTGGTACGAACCGAATGGTGCTGCAGAAGTGCAGTGGTAAGCAATGGAACATGGGAAGGGAAACTCCACCCTGCACACCTAAAATGACCCACGGCTTTATTTCACACAATACATGGACTTCTTTGTACACGGCCCATAACTCCTTTTTACAAGAACCGCGGCTTAATTTCACATAGCCCGCGGCATCGTTTGAAACAAGAAGCAAAACAAATAAGACGATAGAATCGAGACCAAAAATAATCTCTAGTTGAATGGAAAATCAACCCCCAATAGTGACAATTTCTGACATTGCTGAGCGGTAGATTTTGACATAAGTAATTAGTAATGGCATGCCACACTCCAGTCGTGACAGTAAGACTTCCTACACCAATATGCAAACGGTACCTTTTACCATCTAGTTGCAGTTTTAATACAGTTATAAATACGTCTAAACTATGTTTTTGTTATTTTACCAGGCATCGGGGTCAGGATTGAACCCACTACCTCCTGTATACCAGGCGAGGTAGTTAAAATCTCGCCACCATGGCATTAGGTGAACGTTCCGGCTTTCATAGGTGCTGCTCGCTAACAACACTTGACCCAACTGTCTGTTAAGGCTACACGGGGGTGGTGGTGGGGGGATTTTTGTCTCTGTACACAGCGACGTGACGGAGAGCCTGCTGGACCAGTGCTTGTACACCAGCCACTCGCCAGACCCCGACATGCTCATCCGCACCTCCGGGGAGGTGCGCCTCAGCGACTTTCTCCTCTGGCAGGTCCGTCCGTACACCGGTGCCGCCCCTTCTTAAGCCAAGCGCATGAACTAAAAACTAAACTGATTTTTATTTACCAGGTAAGGCCCACTGAACTATGTAGCTCTTTTTCTAGATGTGACCTGGCTATCACAAATGATATAGCTCAACGAAGTGGCTTATCGAGTATAAATTGATACCGGCCAAATGATCGTGTGACATTGCTTCTAAATGTGGAGGGAAAAACCGGAGTACCTGGAGAAAAATTCCACGCGACCACGGGGAGAGAGACATGCAAACTCCAGATATTCAGGCGTCAGGGTTGGGATCGAACCCACAACCACCTGCATACCAGACGAGGGAGTTAACATCTCGCCACCACATGTCCGTGTCATCGCCAATGCAGAGGACTAAACGTGAGCCCGCGCTGGCCCACGCAATGTGTGAACTCGCATGTCTCCCCATACCCCTTTTCGACTTGGCACCTCCAATCCAAGCCGGCGCAGGGCCGTTGCGAGCCACAATCAAACCTCGATAACGCTGGCCTCACGGGACACGTGAATCTGGCTTGTGGCTTCAGCAGGGCGAGGGGACGGGGCTAATGACGCGTTGGTTTCAAGTGGCGGTAGTACACTGACGACGCGCTGTGTCGCAGCGTCGTCTGCACACGTCCGCGGCTCGTTGATTGCGCGCGACGCCAACGTCACGGCTCTGCTTCTGCTGCGGAAGAACAACTCGGGGCGCCACCCGAGCCACAACCTCGTCGGTGTGGCATGACCGCGATTGAGCTCGGTTGTAACATGGGGTGGGGAGGGGGGGAAAGCCGTCGGTCAAAAGTTTTTCGCTCGTGCTTGGTTCGCCGGGAGGAATACCGGTGGTAATGAATTAGCTCTCAGTCGGTTGAATGTCATCCTGTCTTGTGGCTCTGCAGACGGCGTACTCCTGCCTCGTGTTCCAGTCGGTGCTTTGGCCGGAGTTCACGTTTTGGAATCTCTATCAGGCCATCCTGCGCTACCAAGTCAACTACCACGCCATCCAGGTGCGGGGCAACCAGAGGCACTCTTGTATATGGGCCCACCGGTAACGTCAGTGGCGTGGTTTGGTTTTGAACGACGGTCGTATCGGTTCCGTCAGAGTTGTGAAACTGGCGGCCCGTGGGCCAGATGTGGCCTGCGAATGCAGGTTGAGTGGCCCCGCCAAGCTGAGAGATGTGGTGCGAGAGAGAGAGACGAGCAAAAGATAGTCTAGAACTTTAGGCAAGATACAGATTCAAGAGCCACACTGCACAATGCAATGTGAATAACGTCACTTGGGCAGAATCGTTTTTGTGTTTGGTATGTTGTCATTACCCCCGCACCCGCACCTCCGATTAGCACGGTTGGCTACATACGGTGTGAAAGAAGTTCAGCATGCATCCATACATAGATTTAGCGAGATAAAAGCGAGATAAGATGTACCAGTTTCCCTCGCTTTATGCGGTAGATGCTTTCCAAAAAAAGGGCGCACAGAGGGAAACTGTACGAGACGGCTGCCTGCTAAGTAACAGCACGACGCTGCATTATATAGCGAGTTTTGGGTCGAAAGTTCACCGCACCTACGCGAAATTGCACAAACCGAACCCGCGTTCGACCAAGGGAAACCGTGTTAGATCAGGGGTGGGGAAACTTTTTTCTGCCAAGGGCCATTTGGATATTTATAACATAATTCGTGGGCCATACAAAATTATCAACTTAAAAATTTGCCCGTTTATATTTGGTCAAACGTTTAATTAACTCGCGCCTAATGCGATGGGCTGGAACTGCTTCTCTTTGACGAGGCGTGTGATGATGTTAGCCGGTATTGACGATGTTGCTACTCGCAAACTGCTTTTCCAGGTTTGCTCTACCTAGATTTATTGAATTTCCAGTCCCGCCTGCGGTTGTCTTGGCAGGGCCACACCAAATGATTTTGCGGGCCTTACACGGCCTGCGGGCCGGACGTTCCCCACCCCTGGTGTAGACGATGAAGCTGGAGATGCAGTCCAGACTAGTGAGATGATGGATATCTACAAATGCCTTTTACGTCTCATACAAGAGGGGGCAGTGTTGACAAGCAGTGCATTCCAACTGCTTTGCTATTTTTATGAACTGGGTTTAAATCTGGATTTCAGCCCCCCTGCAACCTAACCTGGCCCCCAGTGACTACACAACAGCGACCGTTATGTGTCGTTGTCACTTAATCCGGAACCGTTTAAATAGCCGAAGGAGCGGAATATGTTCGGCTTTTCATGTGCCAGTCATCTCTACAGCGGGAGTCGGTGTACCACAAGGTGTGGATATGGATGGCAGCTCTGTGATGCCACGGTGTTGACGGGTGTTCTCCGACACAGGGTGATGCACTGTTTCCTGTAGACGCAAACGTCTTTGTGTCGCGACAATGCCTTTGTGGCGCCATGGTGGCGAGATGTTAACTGCCTCGCCTGGGATACAGGAGGTTGTGGGTTCGATCCCGACACTGCTGCCTCTATATTTGGAGTTTGGAATGTTCTCTCTGTGGCCGCGTGGATATTTGTCCGTGTCCTCCGGTTTTTCCCCTCCAGATTTAGAATTGACGAGCGTTTAGATAATTTGGCTGCTATAAATTCCCACGTGTTTAAGCCACTTCGTTGAGCTGTCATTTGTGGCCAGGTCGCCTCTGAAAAAGAGCCATATAGCTCAGTGGGCCTTGCCTTGTAAAATAAAAATAGGAATAGTTTTTTTGTGCTGAGTTCTTTCGTGCCGAGTTTTTTTCGGGCAGCTCGCATCCAGTAGAGGGTTGGGTCAAACGGTCGTGCGTTTACGTCGTTCAGAACATGACCGTTGAATTCTCGTCCGGGTTTTTCTTTAACGAGGTACGTGGGTTTTCACGGTAGCTTTGCGGTGCGATTTTGGGGTGTCGCGTGTGGTTTGGCGCGGCGTCCGCCCTCCGTGTGTCGCTTTCATCTTGCCAGCGATGAGCCAAGACCAAATATTTAAAATTGGTTAGTACTGCCCGAGGTGGCGTAATATTCGTGGTTGCAATTTCCTTGTGTGCCCTATCGCAATGAAATTCTGTGGTAACCATTTGAAATTAAGTCAGTTCTCCAAAAAGTTTCTGTGTACAGTATTAGCCATATAAATACATCGCTACTCCTAAAGTTTTCCTTCCTTAGGTGTTACCTCGCATTAGCACGGTTGGCTACGTACGGTGCAAAAGAAGTTAAACATTATACGTACACACCAATTTATGCTCTGGGCCCACCGAGTAATCAGGAAAGAAGCTCCCAGCACGCGCAGACCGCCGGAGTCTCAGCCGGGCCTTTTCTTTTTTTTTGGTCGCCTGCAGGAAGTGCGCGCGAGCCACCGCGATGACGTGGAGCGGGAGGAGCGCGAGCTGGACCTCAGCGTCGCGCTGCAGAGGCTGCGGCACGGCGAGGGTGTGGCCGGCGACGACCCCACGGCGGGGACGGCGGCGGCGGAGGAGGAGGAGGAGGCGGCCAGGCAGGTCGCCTGCGAGCGGCGCGAGAGGACCCAACGATTTCTGCAGGCGCTGGAGCGCAAGCGCACGGCCTACTTCGAGGAGCTGAGCGCCGAGCCCGCGAGATGACGCCGAGCGTTTTGCGGAGTGGCGCCGCCACCGTCGCTGCCGGTGCGAGCAACGTGTCCAGACTGCTTCGATCCAAACGGTGGTGGTGCTGCTGCTGCTGCTGCTGCTGTCCACTGGCGAGAGAGCGTTGTCAATAACATGGGCCTTGGTGCAAGAAATGAAATGGGAGGGGAGGGTGAAGGAGGGGGGGGCCCTGTCCAATTCTCACCGTGACCCCCAGCCCCCAAACCCACCTCTTCATTGTCCAGGAGCCTGGGACCCTCCAGCCCTTGGGCCACCCCCTGTGCAGTTGCAATGCCCGCACACTCGATATCGCTACACTACTGACCTGCGCAGACCAATAGACCATAACAACCCCTTATTACCTTCTTACAGACCAATTCAGACCTTAGCGGTCACCCCGTGCCCTTATAAATCTCAACGTTCAACCTACAAAGTCCCATCGCAAGGGAGAAACCCAAACAGACACATTTTATTTTTGTTGCTCGTATTGAAATTGCTGTACGCCGTATGGACCTGAAAACTCAATTTCCCTGTACAAGAATACGGGTAAACCGTGTGGGTGAACAGCTATGAATAGACTCACATTGGAATCGTAGACTCGCACAGAGTCCCCTAGACTCTCATAGAAGACCCCTAGACTCCTATTGATACCTCTAGACTCCCATAGAGATAAATATAGTAAAACAAACCTGTAGACTACTCTTGGAACCGTAGATACACGTAGGACGGATACTAACCAACGGACCCATAGACTCGCTCACACAGGACTCATAGACTCACATAGGACTCATAGACTCATTGGAACGTCGACTCAAGTGGGACCAATGGTCCAGAGGGCTCAAAGACTCGCATCGGTGGCGTTGCCTTGCCAGCGTGGGCCCCGATGCGAGGGAAGAAACGGGGCCCTCTGTCCAATTTCCCTCCCTCTCTCCGTAGCACGGCACCCCGGGGCCCCTCGACACCGTGGGCCTCGGTGCAGTTGCACCACGTGCACGCTCGATAGCCACGCCACTGGCCGCTTTGTGGATGCAGAAAGTTGATTCTCCAATTAGCCCAAGGTTGGCTACGTACGGTGCGAAAGAAGTTCAACGCACAAGGTGGGCGCGTGTTGCGGCGCTGGGCACGTGGCACAAAAACGTAATCGTCAAAACTTTAAAATCCAATGTTCGATCACAGTGCTTGAAATGCTGGGCGACATCTCTGTGTAAATCAGTGTAATTAATATTATTATTGTAATGTTCAAATGCATTTTGGGGGTGCGGGAAAAAGATATATGTATACGTCGTGAGCTGTTGTGCACTTTGATTATCGCGAAACTGACGAATTTCAAGGAGCTTAAGTGTTTTGCGAAAAGTCGGTTAAAATCCATCGTGGTCATTTGCCGACTCGGCAGTCACATTGAATGCGTCCCAATCTGTCAATCATTGCGGGATCAGCAGATTGTGATTCCATGCGTAAACCTCAGATCGTACACCTGTTGTAGAGTCTGAGTATTTCAACGTGCCAATGTTGATCTCTACTACATGTATATAAAAGGATTTGTTCCACAGAGTTCGGCCGTGAGAATTGTCATGGCATAGCTGAAGCAGACATTACGCCTGCTTCCAATGCCTGTCCCTCCACATAAATCATCAAAGGATGTTGATCCATCCAGTCGTCGACAACGGGACTGTCTCCGTAAGAGGGTCCTTGTGTAATATAAACATCTTGCCGTTCACCAGCATTGGTTTAAGCGAGCATGACTGATGAGACGCCACTGTCGAAACCAGTCCTTGCCTACAAACATCAACATTTGTTCAAGCCTGTCATTGTTTCCTGATGACGCACCGAGTGTGTAAATCGGATGGTGGTTTGCGCGTGTTAAGTAATGTAATGCACTCCCAGAAGACCGTGGTGGCTGATGGGATGTGTACAGAAAAATATCTAATTTTAATGTGGAGGGACGTATGGGAAGGACACGTTATGGTCAATGAAACGACGCGCTGATTGTTGTGTTACATTGGTTTGGTGACACCGCAATTGGCAGTGATGCACAAATAACACGCAACTTGTTTGTCCACAGCACTGCTTTCAAGTAAGAAAAGTGTATAGCCAGGTGACGTTTTGGGCAATGGCCCTGCACGGCACACAGGTCTGTCCAGTCACTTTGAGAGAGGTCACCTTTAGCAGAGTGCGTCATTCGGCCGGTGAGGTCAACCTCCCTAGCCTCGCGGTGTGTCGTGAGACGTCGCCGATTCTACATTTCCTCTTTTCCTTTCGCTAAAGGCAGCGTTGCGAACATTTTGGGTATCGTTTTTGCGTCCAGAATTCAAGTGCCGTCTTCTCTGGAATTTTTGTCCTACGCTGCTCGCCCCCCCCTCCCCGCCCACCATCTGCTCGCGTTTAGGCTCTGGCTCTTTGCGCGGCGATGAACGGAGGTTCGATCTCGCTTCACCCACAATCCATTTCACGAATGAAAAGGCAGCTTCTCAAATAAAGACGCTGTTTACATTGAGGTCTCCTTGTGTCTCTGCGTTGGCATTGTTCAGTGAAAGGTAAACCCACCAAGAGTTACGAACATCGAAAATGTGCACGGTTGCTGAGCACAGGAGCACAATGGGCCAAATCCCCAGGCGACAAACGTCACTTATCGAAGTTGTAATAGGTAAGCGTTAACGCCTCTCTCGAATTGAGAATCGATGACAATGGGAGACTGTTTCCAAAGTGGAGGCAGTGCGAGGGAAAAAGCAAAGGGAGGAAGCTCGTACGACCTGCAGCGCGGTGATTGGAGTGAGTGAGTGATTCTAAGTGGGTGAGTGATATCGTTGCTGTGACCCACAGTATGATGTGATCGGGCACGGCATGATGATTGAACAGTATGGATGAGGGTAGAGGAATCGATGAGTAACGGTCAATTAAATTAACCATGGTAGTAGCGATGGGACTGATTAGGAGACGACGATGCTGTAGCGCGGTGTATTTTGTTTTTGACCTGTGAATTGAAGAGGAACTTGATGCTGAATTTGAGGATGTGACCGGTGGAATTGAATCAGCTGAGATGGCATGGTGTTGTCACCCGCTTCTAGTTATTGCACACATGTTGGTGGTTTTGGGCAGGGAAACGGAAACCTACAAAAAGCCAATTCTCACTCAATTGGCACTCGTCTGTGGAACTTACTTCACTTGTACGTAACCAATCGTACCGATCGGAGGTGCTGGGATTTGAATCGGTACTTTGCGGGAGCCACAAGTGGCTGCGTCTGTCCTGTCGAGATGTTTGCATGCGGCCTCACGGTCGTACTGTGGGTGGCAACTTTTCTCCACCCAGGTATGGATGACAATTTACTTGAGTTGCCTTTTTTAACCTTTTCGAGTTTGCGGGACGCTGCCGAGGTGCCATGTTCAGCGTCACTGGATTTGCAATGCAGAGGTCGCCGGTTTCAATTCGATCTCTGGGGTGCGGCAGTTTTGAATTAAGCTAAATGAGTGTTACCGAAGCGAATGAAAGTTGAACGTTTTTATGTTTTAATCCACATCCCCAACCGCCTCTGTTGGGGTTAAAATTGTGGGTACTGCCACCTTTTCCAAGACGTCTGGCCAGTGTGGAAGAGTAGGCCAAATATGCTCGAGGGGTTCTCTCTGAATAGGCCCCTTCCACCGGCAGTGGCATGAATAGGCAATTGCAGGGCTGCGCTTTGCTTTTTTTTTACTTTTCTAATTCAATACAGCTTGGCCTCAATATAATCTTAGTGGGTCAGTGTGAGTCTGTGTGAATCTGTGGGTTTTGGTGTGATTCCATGGGTCGCCGCGTGATTATCTGGCTCTCTGTGCGAGTCCGTGGGTCTCTATGTGAACGTGTGTATACATTTATAAGCCTTTGGGTCACCGTGTGAGTCTGTGGGTCTCTACAGAGCAGACTTCCCGCGTTTCACGGGGTTTGGATGGGGGGGGTGGGTAACCGCTGTGATGTGTTGCTATACAGCAGTGGTTCTTAACCTGGGGGGTAGCGAGACGTGGCCAGATTTTGTTAGTAGGTAAATCATCGAAAACATTATCTATCAACATTCTACAACAAAAACTTGTTTAACGATTGAGTACCAATGGCGTGCAAAGGCTGCATGCAGAAAAGGTTAAGAACAACTCCAAGACGGAAATGAACTACTGTAGCATTGGATTGTGTTTCCCAGAATTGGCTGTGATTTTTCCCCGTGGTTTCAGTGAGGCGTGTTTTAACTTTTATTTTGCCTTTGGTGGGGGGGGGGGGCCGTGGTTGCAGTAGTGAATACAATTGCAATGTATAATTCAGTATATCATACTTTAATCGTTGGGGGGGGGGAGCTATTCGAATAACTTAACCAGCGTTTAACAATATGCCCAATGTAAATAACGCGTGGCTTTGTCAAGAGAATGGATATACCGGGGTGGGTGGGCACTGCCCTACCCTACCCTGCATTTGGATAAGAAATTTGATTTTTGGCAGGGCACTCGTAAATGTTCACGGGTGGCAAGTGACCCGCTGCACCGGATCTATTTTCTTTCAGAATGAGAATATTTATGTATACTGCAGGAGGAATCCGATGAGCTATGAAGCTCTTTTTCGCAGATGTCCAGTTAGGAGAACAGGGTAAGAACGTGACAACAACCGTAACATAGCCACTTCCGTGCCCTCTAATTTCTCACATTAACATCATGCTAATCCCTCACATTAACATAGCCACTTTCGTGCCCTCTAATTTCTCACATTAACATCATGCTAATCCCTCACATTAACATAGCCACTTTCGTGCCCTCTAATTTCTCACATTAACATCATGCTAATCCCTCACCTTAACATAGTCACTTCCATGCCCTCGTATAGAAGGCCGCTCTCCTAGCTTACTTTTACATGCTAATTTGTCACATTAACATAGCCACTTCCGTGCCTTCGTATAGGAGGCCGCTCTCCTATCTTACAGTTACATGCTAATTTCTCACATTAACATCACTAGCCCCGCCCACTTCTCTATAACCCTTGAGCTACACCCATTTCAAACCTTTTAAAACAGTCTGCCTCAGCAGCAAACCACGCTTTCCCACCTGATGATGGACGCTTGTGTTGCGCCCGAAACGTCGTGATTTATTTTATTTCATACCTACGCAAGGGCGGAGCCAGGATTTTGACTTTGGGGCGGCTGACTTCAATATTCTGAGATATCTCAGTGTTTATGTTTTCCAATGGGCGCCAGGAATCCATACTCTTTTGTTCTTTCGGTAAAGTCACGTAAGTATAAAATAAAATAAAGCACGACGTTTCTGGCGCAATGTCGTTATTTATTTTATTTTATACCTACATGACTTTACCGAAAGAACCAAAGAGTATGAATCCCTATCACGTTTTAACAAACTAGACTATTGTATGTAGGGTGTGTAGGCATATTTCGAGTCAGTCGGTACATACAATAGAGTCAGTAGTAGTAAGGGTGTGTAGGCGTATATAGAGTCAGTAGATACATATGTGTAGTGACCATCGCTGGATGTCAACAGGCTGTGGGTGCAGTACCGGCCCTAGAGGGGCCCGGTGTGCGCTGAATGATAGCGCTGGATGGCACCACGCATTACGTGCAGTGCCGACCCTACAGGACAGGGTGTGTGTGGGTGCCGACCGAAGGATGAGGTTGTGTGAGGCCATGGCACTCTGGTAAGACCCGGGAAGACACGTGACCGGTTAAGATGACAGAGGGGCCCCAAGACGGGGCTAGGGGCGGGGGGGTCACGTGATTAGGACCCAGATCCTTCCCGAGGATTCTGGAAGGTGGACGTGGCCAAGCGCGGAGCCGGCCACACCACAGAGAATCTAAGCCGGGTCCCCAGAGGGACCGGGGTTGTTGTTGTTGGTGTTCATCCTGGAAGAAACCTTCGTCTACATTTTCCGTTCAACGAGTCTCCAACACGTGGACCCGGGCCGGAGTCGTTGGTCCCGGTCCGTAGTAGCAGTTACGTTGTAAATAGTGTAGTGACTAGTGTAGTAACTAGTGTGGCTAGGCTGGTGGTCACCACCATAGGTTATTATTCTGTTAAGGGGAAGTGACCCCGTGCATTGGAACTGAATAAGTAGTAGATACTACTGACTCTATTGTATGTGTAGTGTTCTTCAAGGAGGCACACACTTGACTTGGAGGCAACACGTTTATTCCAACACTCAAACTGGGTAACTAAATAAACGTACTAAATAAACACATAGGTGATAGCCACTTTGAGTATTAACTAAGCCACAACGGGGCAACGACATAACCGGGTCAGTCAGTAACATTCTGACTGACCCACGATGCCGAGTGAAGACTGAAAATCGGAGAGACGTCCGGTCACGTGCCCCCTCGGGGTCACCCAGACTGTCACGTCCTCACTCGACCTCTCTCTGACTGTCACCAGGACTATGCCCCCTAGGGCCTGCTTCCATGGCATATCCACTCTGGTGCCTGAGGCCCAAGACCCACGGTTCTGGCGCTAACTGCTATAGTGACCCCATTTATGTCATGACAGGTGTGTAGGCATATAGTAGATACATACAATAGAGCCAGTAGTAAATACTACTGCCTATTGTATGTAGGGTGTGGAGCCATATATGCCTACAAGATACTTTTCTTTTTTTGGGACCTTCTGCAAGGCTCTTATAAATGACGGACAAACTAAATGCCGGCCTTTTATAACAGAAGCCTAAATTTTTCCCACCCCCCCCTCCTCTATCCTGTCCCGCACAGGCGCCTGCGAAGCCACAAACGTCACCGCGGCGGCGGGGACGCGCGCCGTCCTGCCGTGCCGCCGCACGCCGTGGCCCAGCGACTGGAAGATCGAGGAGGCCAAGTGGTTCCACTCGGGGAGCCACGGCGCCCAGCTGGTACTCAACTCCGTGCGGGGCTTGACCAGCGAGGACGGTCGCTCGGCCCTCCGGGGTCAGCTAGACGAGGGCGACGTCTCGCTGCACGTGGAGCGGCTGAGGCTGCGGGACGCGGGTCACTATCGGTGCCAGGCGAAGATGAGCAAGTGGTGGTGGACGCGCCAGCGGCGCGTCTTCGTTTGCAACGTGATGCTCGCCGTCACCCCGGATGAGGGGGAGGCGCTCGGTGGGTCGTTGTTGCCGGGGCGGTGATCTCGAGGGGCGGAAAATATTCCCGTCGGCGAAAGTGGGGTTGTTGCTGTTGCTTCTCCTCCTCAGATTAGTGTGGAGCGATGATTGCCAGTTGTCCGACAAAACAATTAAGCGTTGTCGAATGTAAAATAGTAGGTTTGGTTTTTAAGAAAATAGCAATCATCGTGCTAGATAGCATCTCAGACGCGTGTTGCTGTCTCGTCACGCTGCATTCATTAAATACATCGTGGAAAGAGGTCTCCCTTTTGAGGTGGTTGAACTCGAAGGGGTCGCCATGCATCTCTAGGCAGGTGTGCATTAACAACGTTCTAGGCAGGTGTGCATTAACAACGCTCTAGGCAGGTGTGCATTAACAACGTTCTAGGCAGGTGTCCATTAACAGCGTTCTAGGCAGGTGCACATTAACAACACTCTAGGCAGGTGTGCATTAACAATGCTCTAGGCAGGTGTGCATTAACAACGCTCTAGGCAGGTGTGCATTAACAAGGCTCTAGGCAGGTGTGCATTAGCAAGGTTCTAGGCAGGTGCGTATTCACAACGTTCTAGGGAGGTGCGTATTAGCAACGTTCTAGGCAGGTGCGCATTAACAAGGTTCTAGGCAGGTGTGCATTAACAACGCTCTAGGCAGGTGTGCATTAACAACGAGCAGAATCAGAATATTTATTTATACTGATGTCCAGTCGGGGCACGGGTAAGAACGTTACAACAACAGTACAAAATCACGATAGTACTTTAAGGTACAAGATCGGTAACAGATCACCCAAAGACATACAATTAAAACTAAACCATCCCCATCCTACCAGGCAAAGCCCACTGAGGTATTAATACATTTTTCAGAAGCGACCTGGCCGCAGACGATGGCTCAACAAAGCGGCCCAGCATTTGGACATTTATAGCAGCAACATAATCTAAATAATCTCAATGCACGTTTCTAAATGTGGAGGGATAAACCGGACGACCCGGAGGAAAAAAACATCCACACGACCACGGGGAGAGAGACACGCAAACTCCAGATATATGACGGGCATTCCAGGCGAGGGAGTCAACACCTCATCACCGCATGTTCATGTCATCGCCAACGCCGAGGGCTAAACCAGAGGCCACGCAAAGTGTGACCTGGCACGTCTCCCCCAATGTCCTGGGAGGGACACATCCCCCCCCCCAATATTCAAATATGCTCAAAATGCCCCCCCCCCCAATATATTGCTATAAAATAGATTTATGTTTATATGATTGTGGTTATGGTTGTTACTTTATTAATCCCTAATCTCTGCCATTAAAGGTTAAAAGAAAAAAACAGAGCAATGTAATACAATACTCTATTAGACATTATTGTACAAAATAAAATAAAAATCCATCCCATGTGTAAATATTTTAGGCAGGAAATTCGCTTTCAAATTTAGAATTTTTTTTCTGGGTTGGGACCCCCAGACCCCCTGGAAGATTTGGTCCCGCCCCCCAATGTTGGCTCCATGGCTACGGTCTTGGGTGACAGTATTAGACAGACCGCTGTGTTTCCCCCCCTCCCAGCCGCTCCTCATCCTCCCCACCAAAGGCCAACAAAGCTGTCGCGAGATGAAACGACGACGAGTTAACAGGCATCGGCGAAGCAAAGTAAACATGCGGCTGAAAATTTTTTTAATTAACAAAAAAATTCAAGGAGCCACAATGCAATGCGAATAACGCCACTTCGGCGGAGTAGTTTTCTGTGCTTTTAGTTTGTTGTCCTTCGCCCTGGCCGCACCTCCGATTAGCGCGGTTGGCTACGTGCGGTGTTAAAGAAGTTCAGCGTTCGTGCGTGCCGAAACGTGCTTATGAAACCTCAGTTAAGGTCGCCGAATTCGCGACAACCACCGGTGGGTTGGCAAACACCGCCCTCGATTCCGGGCCACGTCTAACATCGATGGCGAACATCTGAGCCCAGTCGGTCCTGGGCCTCCACTAGGTCGGCTCAGCCTTAAATGGCTCACCCGGTGGGGTGTGTTCACATCTGCACTGAAACCAAATGGGAGTGCTGTCCACATCCAACCCCTAGTAGGCTTCACCTCGCTACCAGCAACTTGCGTCATCCCCCCCCCCGCGCAAGCGGTCTCGTGTAGGCCCACGCGGGCCATCTTGGTGTTCATGTCGGTGCTGGATTTTGGCTTTGGGTGTCGTTTGTATTTGTTCTACTAGATCCGGACGCCACCTCGCAGGAGAATCCCGCGACCACGACCCCACGAGGAGGTGGGGTGGACGTTGCGGTGGGGTTGGCTGTCGAGTGTGCAGGCGGTGCGACTGCACTGGGACCCAAGGAGCGGAGAGGTCCCAGTGCAACTGGGTTACAAAAACCACACTCCGCCACGAAATTCCACAGGCTCACACAACACAGACCCACAGACTCACATGTTGACCCACTTATTCACATATTGAGCCATAGACTCACATGGAGACCCACAGACTAACACAAAGACCCACGGACTTACACAGACAGGTAGACTTACACAGACACGTAGACTCACATAGAGACCACAGAATCACACATAGACTCACACGGAGACCCACACACTCACACAGACTCACACAAAGACCCACAGACTCACATAGAGACCCACAGGTTCACACAGAGACCCACAGACTCACACAGAGACCCATAAACTTACATATTGATGCACAGACCTACGTTGATACCCATAGACTTACATATTGACCCACAGACCTACACAGAGACCCATAGACTTAGACCACTATTTGAGTCTATGAGTCTGACTTGTTGCAAGGACTGAAATCAGAATCAGTAAACATGGAACGTTGGGCGAACGTTGTTCCAACGTCGCACGCTGACTGGGTGGGCCTCCTTTCCGGATGGACCCTGTGGCCCCGCGCACCCTTGGTGCAGTTGCACCGCCTGCGCACGTGATAGCCACGTCACGGACGTGAACAATCAGCGATGCAAGCGCATGTTCTGGGAAGGAGAGATGCAATTCATGGAACTTGTTTTTTGGTTGGGTGCGGGGGTGGAGAGTTAATTTTCGCAAGAGATGTCTGTGGTTGGCGCAAGGAAGCACTGCTCCGTCTGTGGACATCACAGTGTAGTCTGTTTAACCACGTGGCAGGCTTTCGCGACCAATATTTTTCATAACGAAGGCTTTTGGATTAGATCGCGTTAGTTACAAATGTGTCGTAACCCTCCACCACCCCGACACGGCCAATCAGCAAAAAAAAAGTGTCACGTTGACAAAGGACAAATAGTTCACTACTTTAGCCCACCGGTGTGTTGAAGAGTGAATCCACAACATTTACAAAAAAATTTGAGTACGACGTTTCGCTGGTAATTACATCCAGCACCATCGGGCAATTCGCCAGAATGGTGAAGCCCTCTCCACTTGCTCCCGGTCTTAAATAGAGCAGCAGCAGGGTGACGTCATCATCATTTAACTCATTCAGATGCAGTGATTTGAGGCGGAGGAGGGGGGGGGTATTGTAATTATATAATCGATTGGTAATCAATTAGTTACTGCTTCAGCCCACCGGGTGTGTTCGAGAGTAAATACACAACGCTTTCATTATGAATTGCGGTAATCTGTTCGTTTTTTTTATTTTCTTCTGGCAGTGACGGATGCCACGGCTGAGTTCACCATACGCCTCGCTGCGTCTGGCGACGGCGGTAAGCGCAGTCGCCCCGTTATCCCAGACCCGTCGTCGTCATGGTCATCACTTCCCCAGCGGGGCGATCACGTGCAGACTGGGGTGGGGGGGGGAAGAACAAAACACCGCGTGAAATAACATTCATGACCGACAATGTTTGCAAGTGTTAGTGGGGGTGGGGGGGGAGAGTGACCCGTATCTTGAACGAGAATCTGTATCAGTCTGTGAGTCTAAGAGCTGTAAGGGGGGCAGATCTATGGCTTTCTGTATTAAGTCTGTGTGAGTATAACGGTCTCTGCGTGGGTCTGTGAGTCACCGTGTGAGTCTGTGAGTCACCGTGTGAGCATGTGGGTGTCTGTGTGAGCATGAGTCACCGTGTGAGTCTGTGGGTCTCTGAATCTGTGCATATCTGTATAAGCCTTCGGGTCTCTGTGTGAGTCTGTGGGTCTGTGTGTGTGTCCATGGGTCACCGTGTGAGCCTCTGGGTGTCTGTGTGAGTCTGTGGGTCTGTGTGTGTGTCCATGGGTCACCGTGTGAGCCTCTGGGTCTCTGTGCGAGTCTGTGGGTCTCTAGAGCATATGGTGGTACACTGTTTCGGTCAGAACCTGGAGGTCAAGTGAGCAGCAGCAGCAGTAGCCACTGCGGGATCTGGCGGAGGGTCGAGGTGACTGGCGAGGCGTGGCGGCGGTGGCATCAACGGCTGTGGCCATGCCGATCGACGGCATCTTCTTGACCTTGAGTTAATTGGCGGTGCTCGTTCTCAGGGCAGCCTGGCAGCTGGTGTGCGCTGGTGCTGCTGGTGCCGGCCGTCATGTTCGTGGGCTCGACGGTGGCGCTCGTCGTCTGGCGCTGCAGAGTGAACCGGAGGAATATGGCGAAGGTGAGCCAGGGTTCGGCTTCGGTGGGCGTACGCCGGGCGCGGTACAGGAGACCACGGCTCATGGCAAGCGTCTGTGCTGTGGCCAAACTGAAACTATTAAAAACTATTTTTTTTTGTTTTACCAGGCAAGGGCCAACTGAGCTGCTATACAGCTCTTTTTGCAGAAGCGACCTGGCCATCAAAAAAATGATAGCTCAACGAAGCGGCTCGTCAACGTGGAAATTTACAGCAGCCAAAATACTCTGGAAGGGTGACGTTGATTCTAAATGTGAGGGGCAAAACCGGGGGACCCCGAGAAAAAAACCACGCGACCACGGGGAGAGAGAGACACACACAAACTCCAAATATACAGCAGGCGTCACGGTCCAGATCGAACCCACGACCTCCTGTAGACCAGGCGAGGTAGTTAACATCTCACCACGTGGAGAGAGAGAGACACGCAAACTCCAAATATACAGCAGCAGCAGGCGTCAGGGTCCAGATCGAACCCACGAACTTCTGTATACCAGGCGAGGTAGTTAACATCTCACCACGTGGAAAGAGACACGCAAACTCCAAATATACAGCAGCAGCAGCAGGCGTCAGGGTCCAGATCGAACCCACGACCTCCTGTAGACCAGGCGAGGTAGTTAACATCTCACCACGTGGAGAGAGAGAGACACCAAACTCCAAATATACAGCAGGCGTCACGGTCCAGATCGAACCCACGACCTCCTGTATACCGGGCGAGGTAGTTAACATCTCCTAGCCACCGTGGCACCCTCAATCATCCACGCTGGCCAGACATCTTGAAGAAGGTGAGGAGTGCCCACGTCATTATACCTCAGTGAGGCTTACCTGGTGAAATACAAATATATATATAATTTTCGATTCAGCTAAATACAATACGGTACCCTCTTGGAGTCCTAGGGGGGATCTCTCTGAAATGCCCTCCAGCGGAAAACGGCTTCCGCCAGCGGTGGCAAGACCGAGCAATTGCAGGGGGCCGCGCCCTCACCTTTACCATCATCTCATCCCTACCCAAACCCCAGCGAGCGCGCGCACACACAGGGCATTCAAACTCGCGCGGGACGTGGACACGTGCGTCTTCTTTTTTTTGTCATTCGTTTGTCTTTTTTTTCTACCCAGGGCGGCAAGGTCGGGCATGCCACCGCGCCAGCAATCGGCGGCCGGGGTCCGTCCGCGATGAGTGGCGACCGGGGAATTTACGAGTAAATTGAGTGGGAGAGCAGCAGCCAGGCGGAGGGGAAAGGCGCATGGACGGGGCCCACATGAGGCCTGAGCCAGCAGTGAGCCAAACCAAGGCCACGTGACCAGGGCCATCCATAGTGGTGGGGTTGCGGGGCCCAGACCAACTCGCACGGTGTGCCCACCCCCCCCGTAATATATCAGACACCGTGACGTCAAAGCACATCCCCCTCCCACCCTCCAAAGCACGGGGCCCTGGGCGGTTGCCCTGATTTGGGACGGCTTTGCACGTGACCTCCCAAACAGCACGCGGCTGCTCCCACAGATTTGAAACCCAGCTACGAATAACCTCGTCCCGCAGACGTCGCTCGCTCGCCACGTTTAGCACGATTCTTATTTTCTATTTATAGAGCGCCTTAGCTCGAGGCGTAATGTTAACTTACATTGGGGTCTTCAATTGTAAAAAAAAAAACCACACACATTTTTAAAGCAACGTGATAAGAAGAGGATAAAAACACCACTGGAAATCACGATGACGACGCTCTATAAAACTAACATATTATCACTTGCATTATTGTTGTTAATTTTCCGAGGTCACTCCAGTGGACACGTTAATTCGCACTTCGCCTCGCAGCGTGTTGGCCGCATGCCATTAAACAAAAGTATATTTAACATAAACATAATGATGGAAGCGGCGTACGAAAATAAAAAATGTTGCGGATGACGGCGAGCGTGGAATGCCCCATTTCTTACTGTCGTCCGGTCGTCGCAAGCGCAGTTAATCCGCCACGCCAATAATCCGCAAAAAAAACCCCGGAATAATAAAGCATTAAACCGCAGAGGTCACAATGGATCGTAACATTGCTCTTGCATCCCATTCACAAATGAAATTAATGGCCGTGATGGTCGTGGTGACCTTTAGCCGCGAGACTTAATTGGAGCCGGCGGCTGATGGACGTTGCTGGTATCGTAACATTTTTTTGCTCACCAGAGGTAGGACCCATTGAGTTAAAATGTTCTTTCTCAAGAGTGGTCTGGGGCAGGGGGGAGTAGAGGAGGTGTGGGGCTGGAGGGGTTAAAGGATGCAGAAAAATGAAATTCTGCATTAGAAATGAAGAGTACAACACCGTGGGTTTCATACTCTTTGGTTCTATTCGGTAAAATCACGTAGGTAAATAATAAAATAACCTACGTGACTTTACCGAATAGAACCAAAGAGTATGGATCCTTGCAGTCACGAAAGCTTTAAATCTAGAACCGTGGATTTCCATGGTTCTGCTCAAAAAAATCGCACCGCAAGTTACTCGACCTGGGATGGCATGCAGGAGCAGCAGCAGCAGCAGCGACGACTTCGTCCCCTGCCGCGACAAATACTCTTTAGACTCGATAAGTGTCATAAAATACATTTACAAGTGGAATGAAATAATAGACATTATACAATCTTGATTTGAAGCTTTCGTGACTGCAGGAATCCACACTCTTTGGTTATTTCGGTAAAGTCACGTAGGTAGATTAAAATGAAAAGAAATGTTATTTAAAATACATTTAATTTTATTTAAATAAATCACACTTTATTAAAGTACATTTTATTTTATACCGACGTGACTTTACCGAAAGAACCAAACAGTATTGTCACACGCTCTGTGGATTTGCATATTCCGAGTTTGCGGTGTGTTTTGTCTACGATGTGGTCGCGTGGATTTTTCTCCGGGACCTTCGGGTTAAGAGCGTTTGGCCCCCGCTGTAAATTGTCCACAGGGTAATGCGCCGCTAAATTCGAGATATTAATTGTCGTCCGCGGTAGCCAGGTCGCTAATGGAAAGAAACAAAAAGCCGACGGCGACGTAGCAAATGTCGAGTTGTTGGATGTTGTCGTTTGTGCTCGTACCAAACCACTTGCCGACGCAACAGCAGAAGCGGCATCACCAAACATCACTTGGGTTGTCTGGAGGACCACGCTGGAGTGGGAGAAGCCATGCTTAGATCACGACCTTTAAGATCTAAGCGTGGCTTCTCCCACTCCAGCGCTGTCCTCCAGACAGTCTCGTCCCTTCACCTGATGAAGGCCGCTTGTGTTGTGGCCGAAACGTCGTGATTTTTTGTTATTTTATTTTCACCTACGTGACTTTACCCAATAGAACCAAAGAGTATGGATCCTAGCAGTCACGAAAGCTTTAAATCTAGAATCACTTGGGTTCATTGTGGGTTGTCATTGTGTGTGGAGCGGGCGGGCGCTGGGCTATCGTGTGCACGATTTGCGTAGTCGGCATCACGCTGGGCCGGTCGAGAGGAGAGGGAGACGGCGTAGTGATTGGGGAGGAGGAGGAGGAGGCAGATGGCGGCTAAGCGGATTTCACCGACAAAGCCGATTACAGCCGCTGCCTTCCATCGCCAAAATAGGCGCAGGGCTCTCATCGTACAATCCGCCTCGAGCAGCAGCAGCAGGAGGAGGAGGGTTACTGCACCCGCTGGGCATGAGGCTGCGTGTCTGCGACCACCACCACCACGATCATCGCCACCGCCACACCGCGACCACCTTCACCACCACCGCCACGTGGTGGCGGTAAACGGAGATGGAGGCGGACAGACAGCGCCCGTGAGCAGGTGAGGGGGCGCGCGAGTGGGGCTTTGTGCCGTTTAACTTCGGGCACGCAGTTTTCGGTCGACGTACGAACGTTGGGGCGACGTTTGGTTCCAACGTTGGGGCGACGTTTGGTTCCGACTTTGGGACGACGTTTGGCCCCAACATTAGGCCGACGTTTGGTCCCAACGTTCGGAAAACGTTGATTACAACGTTGGCGGAACGTTGGATCCAACATCGCGCAGACGTTGGAAAGACGTTGGCTCCGAAGTTGGGGCGACGTTTGGTTCCAACGTTGGGGCGACGTTTGGTTCCAACGTTGGGGCGACGTTTGATTCCAACGTTGGGGCGACGTTTGGTTCCGACGTTGGTTCTAACCACAAACCCAACAAACCAACGTGGCACCAGCGTGGACCACGTGTACTGGGTTACCGTCACACAGTGCGTCGATGTCACCGGTGGGAGTGACAACCAAAGCGGTGCTTGCATGATTTTTGAATGATTGTCTTTAACCTGCGTATGTTCCATAATCCATGCATCCCTCTGTCAACCTCTTGAAAGTACGCGGTTAACATTGGCCGTGCCATTCGCGTCGCAAGTGAGGAGGCGGTAAGCCTCCACACATCTTTCCCTCCACATAAAATAAAGTGTTTTTACACGTCCCCGTGAGCCACGGCTTTCTGAGAAGGTCCTCTAAAGATTGAGCAGTTCACCGGCATTGGTTTAAGCGAGCCTGACTGCTGCTGATGAGACAATATCAAAACCAGTCCGTGCGTAAAGACCACCTGACAGCCAACATTTGAACCTGATTGCGGTACCCCGGGGTATCATAGTGCCCCGGCTCTCGCATAATGTCCGTGATCAGGGGCGGAGCCAGGGGGGTGACAATGGTAGACAAATTCTTAGCTCTTTCGGTAAAGTCACGTTGAAGGGAAACAATAAAATAATAAAAAATATATAAAACAATAAAAATTCTCACGACGTTTCGACCGTTTGTGTTATGGTCGAAACGTCGTGAGAATTTTTATTGTTTTATATATATTTTATTGTTTCCCTTCAACGTGACTTTACCGAAAGAGCTAAGAATATGAATAACTGCAGTCACGAAAGCTTTAAATCAAAATGGTAGACAATTGTCACCCCCGAAAAAATAAAAAATCGAAAATCTGAAACATTCTGCGTATAAGTGTACGACACTCGGTCTGGCGGACTCCGTGCAACTGCATTGTCAGAGTGTGTCGCCAACCGATGGCGTCTAGTTCAACAGCCTGACTCTCTCTTAATCATTCTTGAAATTAACATTTGTTGAATGTCACCCCGGGCTGAAAATCCTGGCTCCGCCCCTGTACGTGATGCAGTAAATTTTAGTCTGTCGATGGTCGGCGATGCGGCAATCGACTCATCTCGACGAGCTGGTACACGATGCACTATTCAGAGTTGAATTTTTCGAGAACGGATTTTTGGTATGCTGATGTTTGGCTTTTCGACATCGTGGCATAGCACTGATTTCGGATTGATTGTTACCCCGGTCGCGGAGTGAAGTACACCCCTGGAAAATAAAGTGTCCCAGAAAGAAAATATTTAATTGCCTCGGGAATTTTGTATTATTTGGTACCCCGGGGTTCCGCCACAAGGATCATTTGTTCAAACCTGCTTCTCCCGACGAGACGATGAAAACGTCGAAGCCGGTTCCAGAATGCGCTTGCATTCATCCACTGCTGCTGAACTTTCGCGCGCTCCCAGAAAATATTGCGCGGATGATGGGATGCGTCATTTGTTTTCCTGCTCCTTCATTTCGTTTCTTTAACGCAGAAGTGGTGGGGGGGGGGGGGGGGTGTTCGGTGGCGCCGCAGGGTTCGTGACGGGCGGGCAGCTTGGGGTGTCGTGGCGCCGGATCGAGTCGTCCCGGGTGCGGCGGTGATGGCGTGCGCCCTGCGGCTGGCATGGCTCCTCCTGGCCGGCGTGACCGCCGTGGCGTGCCGGCGCGAGCCGCGGCCGGCGCCGCCGGGCGAGCGGACGACCCCGGCGCCCTCCGGCCCTCATCCGAGGTGCGGCGCGGTCGTTGGTGGGCCACCGACGGTTCCGAACGCAGCGCCGCTCGCGTCCGCCATCGGAGCTGCGTCGCGTGCACAGCAACACACCGCACCTCGGGGCTTGCACACAAATCAGAATCGGAATATTTCATTGTGGTGTGCGCGTGCATCTTGGGCTTATTTCACCGCCGTACGTAGCCGACCCGTGCATTTATACCGGAGGTATCAATTCTTGCTGCCACTCGGATCAGGTTATTTATACCGGAGGGATTCAGTTCCTGCTGCCACTCGGATCAGATTATTTATACCGGAGGAATAAATTTCTGCTACCACCTGGATCAGATTATTTATACCGGAGGAATCAATTCTTGCTGCCACGCGGATAAGAATATTTATTTATGCCGGAGGAATCAGTTCCTGCTGCCACTCGAATACAGATGCCAATTCCCAGACTCTCCCAGTTAACCACGGACAGGTGGCAACCGTAGTGTGTGTGTGTGAGTTGGAGGGTGGGTGAGAGGGTGAGTGAGTGGATAGGTGGGTGGGGGAATGGCAGAAAATTCTCCACAGCCCAAACTCAGACACATTTCTCAGTCGGCACTCGAGGTCCGTGATCAACGCTGTGCAGTTCTTCCTGCAATGAAGTCAAACGGGACGACGCCCGCTACCAGATCTCAGTCACAAATCAAATCATGCCACCTGAACACGTGTGCCAACCTCAACCCCGAAAAGGTGGCAGCCCTCTCTATCACCGTGTCAAACAAACTCATGAATGCGTCGACCGCAGACTCCTCGGCGGTGTCACGTGCTTGGCATGGGCTCCTTGCCCAAAGAAGGATTTAAATATGGGGGGGCCCTATTCAATTTCGGCCCTCCCTCGCCGATCCCGTGTCACCTGGCGCCTCGTGGATTTATTGTTGCATCGTGAAGCCGTGAGAGATAGTGACAGCTTGGGGATTGCTTGTTGATGACGATGACGATGCTGACAACTGTGGCCGCGACTTTGGAGTGTGTTGCTTTAGAATGTGACCCCGCGACCCCCCGTGACCTTCCCCGTGTCTTCTTCTCCCCGGCCCCCTCCCACACCCCCCCCCCCCCCCCCCCCCCCGCTAACCCAGCCGCCACGGCAGACGGACGGACGGGGCGCGGGGCCGCGGCACCAAGTCCGAGCAGCAGCTGCGGATTGGAGAGCACGACTTTACCATGAGGCCCGGCTTCGGGGGTACGGTCCCTTCCGCCGTGACGCCGCACGGTGCATTTCACGACGCGAATTGGCCGTAATGCGACGACGGTTTGCGATTGTGTTAGGGAAAGCGTGTGTTTCCATTCCTTCTTTCCCTTGCACTTACACGGAGACCCACAGACACAGAGACCCAGACACGGAGACCCACAGACCTGACACAGAGACCCAGACACAGAGACCCACAGACACAGAGACCCAGACACAGACCCACAGACACAGAGACCCACAGACACAGAGACCGAGACACAGAGACCCACAGACACGGAGACCCAGACACAGAGACCCACAGACCTGACACAGAGACCCAGACACAGAGACCCACAGACACAGAGACCCACAGACACAGAGACCCACAGACACAGAGACCCACATACACAGAGACCCAGACACGGAGACCCACAGACCTGACACAGAGACCCAGACACAGAGACACACAGCACACAGACCCACAGACACAGAGACCCAGACACAGAGACCGAGACACAAAGACACAGAGACCGAGACACACAGACACAGGGACCGAGACACAAAGACACAGAGATCGAGACACACAGACACAGAGACCCACAGACACAGAGACCCAGACACAGACCCACAGACACAGATACCCACAGACACAGAGACCGAGACACAAAGACACAGAGACCGAGACACACAGACACAGAGACCGAGACACAAAGACAGAGATCGAGACACACAGACACAGAGACCCACAGACACAGAGACCCAGACACAGAGACCCACAGCACACAGACCCACAGACACAGAGACCCACAGACACAGAGACCCAGACACAGACCCACAGACACAGAGACCCACAGACACAGAGTCCGAGACACAGAGACACAGAGACCGAGACACAGAGACCCACAGACACAGAGACTCACAGACACAGAGACACAGAGACCCAGACACAGAGACCCACAGACACAGAGACCCACAGACACAGAGACCCACAGAGACCCAGACACAGAGACTCACAGACACAGAGACTGAGACACAGAGACCCACAGACACAGAGACTCATAGCACAGACACAGAGACCCACAGACACAGAGACTCAAACACAGAGACCCACAGACACAGAGAGACACAGAGACTCAGACACAGAGACCCACAGACCTGGCCAGAGACCCACAGACCTGACACAGAGACCCACAGCACAGAGACCCACAGACACAGAAACCCAGACACAGAGACCCACATACCTGCTGAGAGACCTACAGACGTGCATAACGATTGGCCTTTCAGGGTCGTGTTCTGGGCAGGAAGGGGCCAACGAGGCAAAAATCAATTGTTGTACGGCACTTCTTTGCTCCAGCATCCACGCTGTAGCAGCGGTCGCGGTGACGTTGAATGCTGTGTGGTCCCGCCAGGCCCCGCTATCCCCGTGGGCCTCGACGTGCAGGTGGAGAGCATCGACAGCATCTCCGAGGTGGACATGGTGAGGAGAACGCAACGCCCGCTCACCGGCAAACTCACCCTCGCTCTCGTCCCCCCTTCGCTCACCCTTCACCGCATTGCGACACGTTCCACGTAGGGCTGTCGGGGTTGATTGACGCGGGGGGGGGGGGGGGGTCCAGTGCTCGACCGATTCATTTCAGTCGCGTCCCACGTGCGGAGGAGGTTGAGAGGTGCCTTGAAGGAACTGAATCTGCTCCCGGCGCATGGAAGGAAACGCCAGGCGGCACGCGGTAACAGTCGCGGCGGTCGGCGTCAGCTGCCACTTGCGGTTGCCTGCCGCAGGGCACCTCAAGATGCACTGCATGGGAAGGGCAACATAAATTTATATATATTTTAAAATTCTAACAAAAAAATACTTCAAGTGGCCAGCAACAAACAGCACTCACCTCCAATAAGCACGGTTGGCTCGGTACGGTGTAAAAGAAGTTCACCATAAAAACATTATCAAAGTTGTGATAGTAGTTTGTTTCCTGAACTTATGAAGGTTATTTTTTGGAATAGCTTGGGTAAACAGATGATGATGATGATGGGTATTCCAAAGTGGAGCAGTGCAAGAAAAGATGCAGACAGATTAGTGTCGTGACCTGCAGTGTGGCGAGTGAGTGAGTGGGTGAGTGAGCGGATGAGTGGGCGAGTGTGTGCTGTTATGACCAGCGTTGTGGTGGGTGAACACACTGAGGATGAGACAAAACGGTCAGTCCGGTAGACCGTGGTTCTAGTGACGAGGAGGGGGAATGACATTCCGGTGAGCGAGCGACTGAAATGAATCAACGGGTAAAAAATTCATGGGAAAAATAATGGCATTGTATCGGCACGAGGCGAGTGACAAGGAGGCGACTGACCACTGGTGAGCGAGTGAATGGGGTGAACTAGCGAGCTCTGGATCTCCAATCAACCCGACCAACTTAGCTAATTGTGCTAATTGGCGGTGCGGGGAAGAACAAAAAAAATGCGTTTTGTTGTCCTTCCCCGCCGCGTCTCCGATTAGCCCGGTTGGCCATGTACGGTGCGAAAGAAGTTAAACGTACATGTACATACAACCCAACTGCTTTACGTTGAATTCTACCACCGTTGATGACGATGATGATGCCAATGACGATGCCAACGATGACGATGCCAATAATGACGATGCCAACGATGATGATGCCAACGATGACTATGCCAATAATGATGATGCCAACGATGATGCCAATAATGTTAATTCCAACGATGACGATGCCAATAATGATGATGCCAATGATGATGATGCCAATGATGATGATGCCAACGACGACGATGCCAACGACGACCGCACCGCGCAGGACTTCACGATGACGCTGTTCGTGCGCCACACATGGCGGGACGAGCGGCTGGCCTTCCCCAGCTCCAGCAACCGCAGCATGACCTTCGACAGCCGCCTCGTCAAGAAGATCTGGGTGCCCGACGTCTTCTTTGTGCACTCCAAGCGCTCCTTCATCCACGACACGACCACCGACAACGTGATGCTGCGCGTCTACCCCGAGGGTCACGTCCTCTACAGCATGAGGTGAGCGCCCCGCGCCTCCCGTGACGACGGGGCCTTCTCAAGGCCCGGTGCGGTGGTGCGTCTAGACGAGGCAGTCTCGGTAGGGCGGTGTGTCTAGACGGGGCTGTCTAGGTAGGGCGGTGTGTCTAGACGGGGCCGTCTAGGTAGGCCGGTGTGTCTAGACGGGGCAGCCTCGGTAGGGCGGTGTGTCTAGCAGGGGCCGTCTCGGTAGGGCGGTGTGTCTAGACGGGGCCGTCTAGGTAGGGTGATGTGTCTAGACGGGGCAGTCTAGGTAAGGTGGTGTGTCTAGACGGGGCCGTCTAGGTAGGGCAATGTGTCTAGACGGGGCCGTCTAGGTAGGGTGATGTGTCTAGACGGGGCAGTCTAGGTAGGGTGGTGTGTCTAGACGGGGCTGTCTCAGTAGGGCAATGTGTCTAGCAGGGGCTGTCTAGGTAGGGCGGTGTGTCTAGACGGGGCCGCCTAGGTAGGGCGGTGTGTCTAGCAGGGGCCGTCTAGGTAGGGCGGTGTGTCTAGACGGGGCCGTCTAGGTAGGGCGGTGTGTCTAGATGGGGCCGTCTAGGTAGGGCGATGTGTCTAGACGGGGCCGTCTAGGTAGGGTGATGTGTCTAGACGGGGCCGCCTAGGTAGGGCGGTGTGTCTAGACGGGGCCGTCTCGGTAGGGCGGTGTGTCTAGACGGGGCAGTCTAGGTAGGGTGATGTGTCTAGACGGGGCCGTCTAGGTAGGGCGGTGTGTCTAGACGGGGCCGTCTAGGTAGGGCGGTGTGTCTAGACGGGGCCGTCTAGGTAGGGCGGTGTGTCTAGACAGGGCCGTCTAGGTAGGGCGGTGTGTCTAGCAGGGGCCGTCTAGGTAGGGCGGTGTGTCTAGACGGGGCCGCCGAGGTAGGGCAATGTGTCTAGACGGGGCCGTCTAGGTAGCGTGATGTGTCTAGACGGGGCCGTCTATAATGACACAACTTCAACAACCACATTTTTAACCACAGCAATCACGATCTAAGCAGAGCCATAACCACATAACCTCGACCATAACCACAACCATAATCACAACCATAACCACATAACCACAACCATAACCACATAACCTTAACCATAACCACATAATCACAACCATAACCACATAATCACAACCATAACCATATAACCATAACCACATAACCTCAACCATAACCACAACTATAACCACATAACCTCAACCATAACCACATAACCTCAACCATAACCACATAACCACAACCATAACCACATAATCACAGCCATAACCACATAACCACAACCATAACCACATAACCTCAACCATAACCACATAACCACAACCATAACCACATAACCTCAACCATAACCACATAATCACAACCATAACCACATAACCTCAACCATAACCACGTAACCACAACCATAACCACATAATCACAACCACAACCATATCCACATAATCACAACCATAACCACATAACCACAACCATATAACCACAACCATAACCACATAACCACAACCATAACCACATAATCACAACCATAACCACATAACCTCAACCATAACCACATAACCTCAACCATAACCACATAACCACAACCATAACCACATAATCTTAACTATAACCACAACCATAACCACATAATCACAACCATAACCACATAATCACAACCATAACCACATAACCATAACCACATCTATAACCACATAACCTCAACCATAACCACATAACCTCAACCATAACCACATAATCACAGCCATAACCACATAACCACATAATCACAACCATAACCACATAACCTCAACCATAACCACATAACCACAACCATAACCACATAATCACAACCATCACCACATAACCTCAACCATAACCACATAATCACAACCATAACCACATAATCACAACCATAACCACATAACCTCAACCATAACCACAACCACATAACCACATAATCACAACCATAACCTCAACCATAACCACATAACCACAACCATAACCACATAATCACAACCATATCCACAACCATAACCACATAACCATAACCACATAATCACAACCATAACCACATAATCACAACCATATCCACAACCATAACCACAACCATAACCACATAATCACAACCATAACCACATAACCACAACCATAACCACATAATCACAACCATATCCACAACCATAACCACATAACCACAACCATAACCACATAATCACAACCATAACCACATAACCACAACCATAACCACATAATCACAACCATAACCACATAATCACAACCATAACCACATAACCTCAACCATAACCACAACCACATAACCACATAATCACAACCATAACCTCAACCATAACCACATAACCACAACCATAACCACATAATCACAACCATATCCACAACCATAACCACATAACCATAACCACATAATCACAACCATAACCACATAACCACAACCATAACCACATAATCACAACCATATCCACAACCATAACCACAACCATAACCACATAATCACAACCATAACCACATAACCACAACCATAACCACATAATCACAACCATATCCACAACCATAACCACATAACCACAACCATAACCACATAATCACAACCATAACCACATAACCACAACCATAACCACATAATCACAACCATAACCACATAATCACAACCATAACCACAACCATAACCACATAACCACATAATCACAACCATAACCACAACCCGTAACCACAACCAACAACTTTGTGGGGAGGCCTTCAATGTTGGATTGACATTGACTACGGTACTATTGTTTCTTGTTATTGCTGCTATTATTATTGTTGCTGCTGTTGTTGTTGTTGCCATTTCTGTTGTTGTTGACGCTGTTGTTGCCGCTGTTGTTGTCATTGTTGTCATTGTTGTCGTTGTTGTTGTTGTTGCAGGATCACGGTAACGGCTATGTGCAACATGGACTTGAGCCGGTTTCCTCTGGACACGCAGACGTGCGCCCTGGAGCTCGAGAGCTGTGAGTTGGGGTTGGGATGAGGGACAGGGTTCGTGGATAGACGAACGATTGAAGGGTTGACTTGGATACCAACACAACAATAGCAACAACTACTACAGCCGCCATTCGCCACTTAGTTGTGGTCACGTCACCAAAGTGCTTGTGCCAGGCTAGGTGCACTTCGAGCCCACCACGTGAAACGTCCAAGGCGCTCGCTACTGGCAGGAGGTTGCGGGACATACCCAGGTGTAATGAGTCGGGGATTTTAAATTTTGCCATCGAAAATCGTCACGGAAATCGTTGTGGAAATCGTCGCGGAAATTGTCAAGAAAATGTTGTCCACTTCTGTGAGCGTCTGTTCTCTTTGGCCACATGGCACTTGGACAGTAACTGCCAAATTCAGAAGAACAGAATAGCGTTTGTTCTGATGAGTCCGGAGATCAGGGGCGGAGCCATAGGGGGGGCTGGGGGGGGCTCAGCCCCCCCTGAATTTTGGGAAAGTCGGTAATCGTGATAACCGGATATCCGGCTGCTGCAAAATGCTGCAGGCTGCCACCTTGTGCTGCCCTGCAGGCTGCCACCTTGTGCTGCCCTGCAGGCTGCCACCTCGTGCTGCCCTGCAGGCTGCCACCTTGTGTGCTGCCCTGCAGGCTGCCACCTTGTGCTGCCCTGCAGGCTGCTTGAGCGGCAGCCTTTCGAACTTATCAAACTTATTAGCCACATCAGCGGCTCAGACCTATTAATAAACTCCGCGTTCAAATCCAATAAAATTTGTTTCATACATTTGTGGCGCCCATTGGAAACCATAAAGACTGGATGTCTCAGAATATTGAAGTCAGCCCCCCTCCCCCCCCCAAGTCAAAATCCTGGCTCCGCCCCTGCCAGAGATCCACAAATGAATCGTTCACGATCCACCCAAGGACCCACAATCCACGGGGTACCACCGTTGGGGTATGAACAATTTTTTTAACTTTTAACCAGGTAAGGCCCACTGAGATATATAGCTCTTTCTCAGAAGGGACCTGGCTATCACAAATGGTAGCTCAACGAAGGTGCTTATCGTGTGGAAATGTACAGCAGCCAAATACTCCCCGACGCACGGCGATTCTAAAAATGTGGAGGGAAAAACCGGAGGACCCAGGGAAAAATCCACACGACCACTGCGGGGGTAGAGATGCGCAAGCTCACAAATATACAGCGGTCAAGGGTCGGGATCGAAGCCACGACCTGCTGCTGTCTACCACGCGGGGTGGTTAGCGTCTCACCAATGTGGCGCAAATGAGGCTAAACCTGGTCTCTCGACTTCTCACAGGGTTCAACAAAATCAACGTAACTACTCTCTTGCAGTCTCATCACCAGCATCACCTGGCTTTTAGGTCTTCTCTTCCCCTGGGGACACCGTTGCGGCCGAGGGTTCCGGCGTTGACAAAACGAAACGCCGGGGAGGCCGAGTGATGCGTGCCGCGGTGTGTGGGGGCCGTGCAGATGCCTACACGGAGGACGACCTGATGCTCTACTGGAAAAACGGCAACGCCTCTCTCTCCATGGACGAGGACATCTCCCTCTCCCAGTTCCTCATCCAGGAGTTCATGACCACGTCCCGCCTCGCCTTCTACAGCAGCACAGGTGCCGCGTCCCTCTCCCCACATCCCTCTCCCCGTGTCCATCTCCCCGTGTCCCTCTCCCCACGTCCATCTCCCCACGTCCCTCTCCCCGTGTCCCTCTCCCCGTGTCCATCTCCCCATGTCCCTCTCCCCGTGTCCCTCTTCCCACGTCCCTCTCCCCGTGTCCCTCTCCCCACGTCCATCTCCCCGTGTCCCTCTACCCGTGTCCATCTCCCCACGTCCCTCTCCCCACGTCCCCTCTCCCCGCGTGTGTCCCATGCTTCGTGTGTGTATGCGTGCGTGCATGTGTGTGCATGTGCCCCATGCTTCGTGTGTGTGTGTGTGGAGGTTGACTCAAACGAGTACCTGGCGTGGTGTGTAAACATCGCCACTGGGGAGACAACCAAGGTGGCCGGGCGTGGTGCTGGCCACCCACTCCTTCTTGTGCCGTGCCGCCCTTCATAGGCGTCCGCCAACAGCACTCGCCCCAACAATCTGGTAAGGCTACACGGGGGATCTTTGTCTATGTGTGTGTGTGTGTCCCGTGCTGCGTGCGCAGGCTGGTACAACCGCCTCTTCATCAGCTTCACGCTGCGCCGTCACGTCTTCTTCTACCTGCTGCAGACGTACTTCCCCGCGCTGCTCATGGTCATGCTCTCCTGGGTCTCCTTCTGGATCGACCGCCGGGCCGTCCCCGCTCGCGTCTCCCTGGGTCAGCGCCAACCCCCTCCCCGCGTCGGCACTACCGCGTCTCATCGTGTCCCTCCCGTGTCTCCCGTGTCTCCCCGTGTCTTCCCGTGTCTCGTGCGTACGCACGTTGGACCTCTTTCGCGCCGATACGTAGCCAACCGTGCTGATATCGGAAGGGAAGGGCGTTCCGTACGGCTGCAGAAACGCATCTGAAAGCGCCGCGCGATGCGGTGACCCCACCGCCTTTGTTCGATCGTTAGCCAAAAGGCCGCTGCGGGGATGACCGGAGTTTGCGTTATGATGGTTGATGCTCCTTGACGAAATCAAGAAGGTGTTGTGGTTCGTTTGTGCCAATAACTCTGTGTGTAATGAGTGTGACCTTGTAATGGATTTCGTTCACCGCAGCTCCCCGTGTCTCTCCGTGTCTTTCCGAGTCTCCCCGTTCCTCTGTGTCGAAGACGTCTCTCCATGTCCCCCTGTGTCTCTCCGCATCTCGCTGCTCCAGGCATCACAATGGTGCTCATCACCATGTCAATGTCTCCCTGCGTCTCCCCCGCACCTCCGATTAGCACGAATGGCTACGTACGGTGCGAAACAAGTTCAACATGCATGCATGCTCCAGGCATCGCCACGGTGGTCACCGTCTCCGCCATCATCACGGGCGTCAACTCCCCCGTGTCTCTTCCCCGCTGCAGGCATCACCACGGTGCTCACCATGTCCACCATCATCACGGGCGTCAACGCGTCAATGCCACGCGTCTCCTACGTGAAGGCGGTGGACGTCTACCTGTGGACGAGCTTCGTCTTCGTCTTCCTCTCCGTGCTCGAGTACGCGGCCATCAACTACCTGAGCACCCTGCAGGAGCGGCGCCAGCGCTGTGCCTGGAAGAGGGTGAGGATGGCTGCCCGGGAGGGGGGGAAGGGGAGGAGGCGGTGGTGGTGGTGGTGGTGGTGAGGGGGCGGTCAAGGTGACAGCTAAGGATAGTGACGTGGTAGGATGTAGGCCAGGGGCCGTTCGAATTTTCGGTGTACAAAAAATTAAAGGCAACTTCATATTTCGGGTGCCGCGACGCTCTGCGATGAATGCGAGATGGGCGGGTGTCCTTAATAAACAACGCCACGAAGCGGCGATCCTCAAAGAGCCGCCGCGTGCAGCTCGGAGCCGCGGGTTGCTGGCCCCCGGCGTAGAGGTACGGTAAGGATGAAGGATTAGGGGAAGGATTAGGGCAAGTTATAGGGGTGGTGTTGGGGGTAGGGATAGGTGAAAAGTAGAGATAGGGGTAGGAGAAATCATAAGTGGTAACGTTAGGGGATGGTGATAGGGGTAGGAGTGAAGAGTTAAATGTAGGGTGGTAGGTAGGGATAGGGCCAGCGAATTATCCATCGGCCCTGCACAGACCCCACAGACGACTGTGCATCCCCCCCCCCCCGGCTCCCTCTCTCTTCCTCTATCTGTCCCTTCTCCTTCCCCCTCCCAGATCATGAACGCCTGCGTCTCCCTACAGCCCGTGCCTCTGCCGTACGACGCGCAGGCCCGCCCCGGCGGCCACCGCGGCTCGATGGCCCTGCTGGGCGACCCGCCGGCGGCGCCGTCCGCGACGGACGGCGGCGCCGACCGCGGCGTTCTGGGCCGGGGCGGGCGGTACCTGGAGCGGCAGCGCGAGTACCTGGGCCGGGTAGGCGCCGTCATCCTGCAGCGGTCGCACGCCATCGACTCGTACTCGCGCGTCCTCTTCCCCGCCTCGTACATCCTCTTCAACGTCGTCTACTGGGCCGTGCTGTCCTAGCGACCGGCGATGCCGCCGGCGCGGCCGACAGCGGCGGCTGAAAGCGCAGGGAATGCGTGAGGCTGCCCGCCGCCTCCCAGCCCGACAAAAACTAAAAAAAACGGGATGGAAATGTCACAAGTACTCGAATTGTAATTGTTGTGGGTTTACCCTCCAGCACGCAACCGGTGTGCTGGAGGGTAAACTGGCTGGCACGTTCTGTTTACCTGACAACCCTGACCAGTTGGCTGTGTCGGGTGGTGGCGGGTTTAACGCCACATTTATATTTACGTGATCTAACCCCCAAAAAAAACCTCTTATGGATAACCTGAGATGCCACGAGCAATCGCCCGTGGTTTCATAACGGATGTCCTCGTGTTCCCGAAGCTCTTTGCGAAAATTATTTTTTTTGTACAATTTACCAGCATCATGCTTCACGCATGATATAGTGGGGAAAGGCGGGGCTACCTGATCAGTGGGCGGGGCTACCTGGTCAGTGGGTGGGGCTACATAATATGTGGGCGGGGTTACATGATCAGTAGGCGGGGCAAATCCACTCGCTGTGTGGCTCGGGCTAGTGGTTGAGTGGGTGTGGCGCATGGAAAAGTGGGTGGGGCTGTATAGCTCTTTTTCGTAAGTGATCTGGCTATTATATCCTAATGAGAGGTAGCTTATCACGTGAAAATTGCAGGAAAAACCGGAGGACCCTGAGAAAAATCCACGCCACCACGGGGAGAGAGACAGAGACACTCAAACTCCAAATATACAGCAGCAGGCGTCAGGGTCAGGATCGAACCCCACGACCTCCTGTACCCCAGGCGAGGTAGTTAACATCTCGCCACTGTGGCAAAGGGAGGGGCTGCCAGCTCGCCGTGTGACCCGGTTGAGCCTCCCGAAGAAATTTGCAGCATTACTCTTGAGGATGCTGTAGGGGCGTACGGTTAGCACGCTGGACTGGGAATCCAGAGGTCGCCGGTTTGACCCGGATCTCCGGGCACGGCAGCAGAAAGGAGTTTATAAAAGTCCTAACCCCACCCCTGTCCACCCAGTCGTATAAGTGGGTACTACACCGCAGTCTCCGGCGTATGATCGGCAGGTCGTGTGCGGCGGGGTAGAGTGGGGATATTAACGCCTCTTCGAAGAGATCTGGGCGGCGTGGAAGAGCAGGCCAAGGTACCCCTCGAGAGGTGTTCTCCGAGAAGCCCCTTCCACAAGCAGTGGCGTGAGCGAGGCAGTAACGTAAGTGGGTTTCTCGCGAGGGAACAAGCCATCTGTGACACGACCACGCGTGCGGTCGGTCGTTGGATTGGAGACTTGCTCGAGGATGCCAGGCTGTTACAGGCCAGCCGATGCAAGGTGACCAGAAGTCGGGGTGGTACAGCAATGGAACTATTGAATCCATCCGTGTGGAGCGTTGCAAATTGTCCCCCTTCGTACGTGCGTGGGTTTTCTCCGGGTTCCTCCGCTTTTCCTGCCACGCGAAGGAAAAACTCTCCCGATTTAAGATGGGATTGGCAAAACGTCTCAAAAGAGAAGGCCCCTCCCCCCGCTGAATACAGCCTCGAGGCTCGGCGAGGCTCACCTGAGTAAACGATCGACATTTATTATTATTATTATGATGACGGTGACCGTGTGAGGTCCGGAGAGTCATGGGTATCGCGTGGGAACGCAATGGGGGGCAGGCAGGCAGCTGCCCCCCCCCCACCCCTCCCACTCTCAGTGACTGCTAGCCGTATAGTCGTGCCCTCCTCAAACTGAATATTAATCAGTATTCGTGGTCTTTATGGGGCTCCTTGGCTACTCGCCACTCCCAACGTCGCCAAAAACTTTACCCCCGTCTGCATCTGCTTCGGAGGGAGACGTCGGGCAATCTCGGACTGGGACTCGTGGGGACTTCGTAACTTCTCAGACTCTTGAGACTCCCTGCGACTCGAGCACCCGGAGACGTGGGACTCTGAAAACTCCGAGACTCCACGACTATGGAGCTCCAAGCACTCTGCGGCTGCAGTGGCTCTCGAGAACTCGCAAACCATGTCGCTCGAGGGACGTTGAACTCCATGGGACTCCCCGCGGACACGGAGGTGCAGGTCTCGGCAACCGTGGAACTCGCCGGCGCCGAAAACCGAAGGACTCATCGCGGACTCGCGGAACCCCACGATGCTCAAGCACCGAAAAGTTCAAACATTTTTGGGCTACTCCGTGACCTTGGACTCCCGGATACCCGTCGGGGGAGAACTCTCCGAGTCCGACCTCCTGTGCCAGGTCCCGATGTTTCGCGAGTTGAACCTCCTTCGCCCGCCGTACGTAGCCAGCCGCGCCCGTCGGGAGGTGCCGGCGGCCGTGCGAGCAACGCGGAGGAGCGCCGACGACTCCCGGGGTCTCGCCTCCCCACGGGGGACTCCACAAGGAACGAGGGGGGTGGAGCGGGAAGGGTGGGGTCTCGTTGGGTCCCCGCAGCTGGGGGGCTCCATGCCGCCCCTCCCACTACGTCCCCCCACCGCCGAGCTCTCAGCTGCGATCATGAGCTTGTTGCTCCCCCTGCCACCCTCCCCCCCCTCCCCCCGTGTATTTTAACGATCCCCCAACTAAGGCCGGAGGGGGAGGGGAGGTCACGGGGAAGGGGTCACGATGGCGCTCGTCAAGTTGTGTTGCTGTTGGCGACTCGCCCTACAATGCACTCACGGCATAATGCACTCACCTCCTTCAAAATAGGGAGTCACCTCCACTACCCCTCCACGCCGTCTTCTACCTCTCATCTCACTCCACTCCCCTCCATGCACTCTCCTACCTCTCCCCTCTCATCTCACTCCACTCCCCTCCACGCACTCTCCTACATCTCCCCTCCCATCTCACTCTACTCATCTCACTTCAAGTCTTTCCGTCGAAACCCCCCGGCCAACCTTCGCTCGGTGTGAGGTCGCCCATTCTCCTCGCGTTCCCCCATAATCTTGAGCTCCCTTCCCCCAGCCAGCCGTCCATGCTGTCAGGGCCCTGTGCCCCCTGCTCCAGTGTCAGGCTCAAGGCATTCGTTTTTGCCTCCGCCTATTCTCCCGTCGTATGTCCGCACGCATGCTTAAAATTATTTCGCGCCGTACGTTGCCAGCCAGAAGCACGTGTCTGTGTCCACGCCGAGGTGGGCGAGTGTAGCCACAGCTGACGGCTTCCAGGAGTTACCTGGACGACTTGTCAGAAGCACGTGTCTGTGATCACGCCGAGGTGGGCGAGTGTAGCCACAGCTGACGGCTTCCAAGAGTTGCCTGGGGGAATTCTCAGAAGCACGTGTCTGTGATCACGCCGAGGTGGGCGAGTGTAGCCACAGCTGACGGCTTCCAGGAGTTGCCTGGGGGACTTGTCAGAAGCGCTACCGGCGAATGCTGCAAGCGGGCAAGTGGCGTCCTTACTCTGTGGGGCCCATGGGTTTGAGATTGTCGATCGCAGTCGCACCGTGCGCGCGCGTGTGGGGGTATTCTTCATGAATTGTCCGTCGGTGTAAAGAGATAAGCTGCATCTTCCGTGCGATGTTCTTGCCCGTGATTGGCCGCCTCTCTCTGTAAAATAAAATTAAATAAAAGCGCCCCTCCGTTTCTGCTGCGCGTCTTCGGACACGGCTTGCATTTCGCCGGCGTTTTTTTTAATCGACAGTTGCGTTTCGCGGAGTGTTCGGCGTCGATTGTCGTTCCGCGTGATGAAGATCACAGGCCACGCTCTCGAAGAAGGCCGAGAGGAAGGAGATTGTGGGGGTGTCGAGCAGATTATCCCAGTAGCAAAAGTAGCTGCATACGAAGCTACGGGCCCCGCACTTTCAAGGGCCCCGCGCTAAACGCTTTCAAGCTATCAATTCCGGTTCGGTGATCCTGCACTTGCTCTATTACTATAGTACTATACCGCCTTCGACTTTTACGAACGACTGGGTGTTTTAGGTTCGCGATTTGTCGTATTATCTGGCCGGTGTAGCAAAATGAAAAAAATACAATTACTTTACTATGCAAGTTAAAACATTTTTTTTTTAATGTTCATGTTTTTATTTTATTTAGGACCCTTCAATAACAACAAATGCTACAGGCCCCGCACGATCTTCATCCGGCACTGGTGTCAAGTAAGAAGGGGGGGGGGCAGCGCTTCCTACGCAACAAGGCAGTAGGGGGGATCACGTCGGCCACAAAATCATGCTCCAGGATGAACAAAACGACGCCGTCGCAGAGAATCCATCGAACGGGACGCCGAGGAGGAGGGTGGTGGACGTCTCCAAAAGTCTTGTGGTGGTGGTGGTGGCGGTCGGAGATAAAAGCAACAGCAGCAACAGTCAGTCAGCCAGCTCCGGAGGTTAATGTCACCACGGCATGTCGCTGACTGGACGGTAATTTATATAGGCGCCTTAATGCGGAGAATCTAAGAGCGGTGGGGTACACGTGCGTGAATGTGATGGTTCGAGACGAGGCGAATGAAATCGTCGACGAGGAAGCAATGGGGGCGAATCTGCGATGCGTGGGTCCGGTGAGAAGGAAATTGATGACGACGATGACGAGTGGATTGAATGAATGGGGCGAATGAGTGATGACCGTGAAACGAGAAATGTGAAGAGGGAAATGCAGCGGTGGTGGTAATGAAAGGGAGATTAAGAGGGGGGGGGGGGGAGGGTCGTGGGGTGAGCTAGGGAACAAGCGGTGAGTTTTTTTGTTGAGTGAGGAGCGGTAACTTGGTGAGCGAAGGTGACCGCTTCATGTGGAGGGGAAAGACTTTGGTTTTTTCGGTAAAGTCACGTAGAAAGAAAATAAATTAAATAATAGAATGCACACATAGACACACAGAGGCTCTGTCTCTGTTGTGTGTCTCTGTGTCTCTGTGTTGTCTCTCTGCTTGTGTGTGTGTCTGTGTGTCTATGTTGTGTGTCTCTCTGTCTCTGTGTTGTCTCTCTCTGCTTGTGTGTGTGTCTGTGTGTCTATGTTGTGTGTGTGTCTCTCTCTGTGTGTCTCTGTGTTGTCTCTCTGCTTGTGTGTCTGCCTGTGTGTCTATGTTATGTGTCTCTCTCTGTGTGTCTCTGTGTTGTCTCTCTCTCTGCTTGTGTGTGTGTCTCCGTGTCTGTGTTTTGTCTCTCGAGTTGAGTTCTACCTGATAACGGTTGCTTGTGTCGCAATCGAAACGTCGAATTCTATTACCTAATG